GCTATTAAAAATCTGATTGTACATGAGATTATACAGTTAAACTGTTATTTAAACATAATTGGACAAAGTGTTTCAAAGGGCTTCAATACATATTAATTACCAATTACTCAAGTCACAAAGTAGTCATTCATGTATAGTATGATCATAGCTGAACACATGTATTCCAATATATTAGCGTTCTGCAAAGGAGTGGTATGTTCTCTCAGTTAATTAATTACATCACATAAATGTCTGCTTTATCTGTCATGAACAATAGCGACTGGTTTAGTAAACAAGCATTAATCAATAAAGATTATTTTTACCACTGATACCTGTTATTCATGATTCCAAATGGATTTAAAATAAATAAAACAAAATAAATAAAATCGGACTTCTAATAAAAATCTCAATGTAATCACCAACATAAAAATTACGTTATGCTCAATCTATTTCTTCTCAAAAGTATAAAAATTTGCAAAAATAGCTAATTAAAAAGTAATTTTTCATTATTTTTTTATGAAGATATATAATAATGGTTCGCCTTTTCTTCAAAATCAGTATATACAGGGTGACACAAAGGAACCGGACGTTTTTTAAACAGCTGTTCCATTGTTGGTGCACGTGGTAGGAAGATTTAAGTTATGTCATTACCTTCAGTGAGGCTTGCCATTTTTGTTGAAATGGCTCAGTGGACCCTAGACCATCTCGTTTTCGCATACGATACTTTGGTCCGAAATGGTGAATCCGTCGTCAAATCCAGCGGGAATTTAGTCGACATTTTAATATTGCACGCCATGGAACGGTTCCAAGCCGAAATACGCTATTAAGATGGGTTTCAGGGTTCCGAACAACTGGGATATAACAAGAAAGAAACCACCAGGCCTTGTTAGAACTTCGAGAACACCCGAAAACATCGCCAGAGTGAGAGCAATATTGAATGAATGTTTCCTAACAAGGTGATTTCTCGCTTTGGTGACATGCCGTAGCCGCAAAGATCACCCGGCTTGTCCACTAGTGATTATATCCTTTGGGGGTTTCTTAAGGTGCGTGTTCATGCTCACAAACCACGCACTCTAGAGGATTTGAAGTTTGCAATCACAGAAGATATCAATGGCATTGAACCTCCTGACCCGAGATTCAAATGATTTTCAGACCAGAATGAACATTTGTAGATAAGTAGATGGCCACCATATGCATGACGTCATTTCCAAAAAATGACGGTTTTGTAACAAATGGCAAATGTTTACCTCACTATGTACAGTATTAAAACCAGTTTATTCCTTTTAACTACTGTGTACTACTTATTTAAAAAACGTCCGGTTCCTTTGTGTCACCCTGTATTAATACTTACCTACCACATATTCCAAATAGGTGCGTGCCACCTTAAGAGGTGTGCATGTGTTTTTATAATATAAATTGGAATGTAACGACTATAGTGTTTTTATTGAATTAAATTTGGTAAAAATGGTTATTCGTGTCAAATTATCTGTTTCTAAAGATACGATAGAGTTTTTAAATTCCAGCCAGTACTTTATATAGATTAATATACTCATCCTTTTTAAGCCAATTCAGCCAAAAGCTAATTAAGAAAAGGTTTGACTAAGTTTTTTTTATTAAAAATAGGTCGAATATGTTAATGAATTTACGAATTATGTCGTTTAATATCAGTTTTAGTTGTACCTTGTACAATCGGGCTTCCTTGAACTGATTGTAGTACAGAAAGTTGCTAGTTGCTGAATTTACTTACTTACCTTTGCCACACTCTTTTTTGCCGTACTTTTTTTGCCGCACGCCAGTATTCCAACCAAACAACACAAAACGGCGTGCATTTATTATGCACGTGAAAAATGTTGGCAACACTTAAAGATACTACGACTATGATCAGCTTGTGCAGTGATTTCCCATTTAGTTCAACGTTTGGATTTAACCTAACGTAAAACGTATTGTTTAGTGTTTGAAAGACTAATTATTTATATGTTTTATAGTAACTGTAGGAAAAATATAATGTGTAACGCGAGTGCCACTTCACCCAATAGTTAAACAATAAACTATTTCACAATGGTATTTTTGCTTTAAAAATAATGGCACAGCATAAAATTGGTTTAACAATTTCTTATCATTTCATTGGCTTTCGAAAACCAGGTTCTACGTTCCAGGAATTTCAACTAAATAAGCTTCAATCCCAATTTGTCGATGGGTTTTTCATGCAATGATAACACCTATAACTCTTATTACAAAACTTTGTAACCTATGTTTTACAGAAATAACCATGATATCCGTTCATTTTATAGCTGTTATAAATTCAAGATAAAATAGTTAATATTCTAAGTAACATATTTTTTTACTGGCTCTCCTGATTGTTTAAAACTGACTTACTTTCCTGTTAATACTCATTACCTTTTTATTGTTTACACAATTTACTTACCGGTAGTTAATTTGATTGGACATGAATAAAAATTTATTTAAATTAAGTTATACCACTTATAGCACATAAAGCAGAACATAAAATATCAGATTTCATATTTAAGTAAAATGATTTATTCTTACAATATCGGTTTTATCTTTAGGATGTATTATGTATGTAGGATGTATGCTGGAAAAGACAACTAATCATGACTGTACACTCCAATCACTGAACAATAATTACATCCATTAGGAGAACAAGCATTGAGATTGCGTTCCTACATGTTGCTAAGGTCAAACGTACTCACTCTGACTTCTTACTCAATGCATGCTAATATTCTACAAATAAAAAAAGTGAAAACATTACACTTATTTCAACAAAATTACACTTATTCAAAAACATGACTATTAAATGTTTTTTCATCACTCCGTAACAAAAGTAACTATTTTCGATAACAGCTGACATCAATGAAAGTAGTCGTTTCCCAAGCTCTAATTTAGGGCGAGGGAAAATCGAACAGCTGATTTTCCCTCGCTCTCAATTAGTTCTCCATTTATTCACTACGCGCTTTAATTTAATGATTTGAATCAGCTGTGTGTATTGTTAAACGTTGTTTTATTCTTTAATTTTGATGTTTAAAAAAATTCATTGAGAAATATACGTAGGCTAACTTTAGAATATTTTTTAATATTTTTATGTTTTAAAAATTAATCAAATATAGACGTAAGTTTCCTTTTAGAAGATTTTATTTTATTTTGATGTTCAATCAAATTAATTGAGAAATAAAATAGTTGCAATATTACTGAGGTCTGCTATTCTGTGTTTTTGTATTTTTGCGTCGTGATGAAAAGTATCGTTCATAACTTGTACCGAAAGTTATTATCCGGCACTTGCTCCATCATTCCCGTCCTCGGCTTCGCCTCGTACGTGAAAATAGCTCTCATATACTCGGCTTCGCCTCGCACGTGAAATTGGGGTTCCCTGTGTTCGGCTTCGCCTCACACAAAAACTTGAGCGCGTGACGGAAAATGCCACTTTCGGTCCTAGTAATGAAATATACTATTCATTACTGCGTAAAAAATGTGTCTTATTTCGATTACAGCAGCAACGAAATTAATGTTTCCCAGCTCTAATTAGAGCAAGGGAAACCCTATCAACTGTTTTCCTTTGCTCTAAAATTTACATTACTTTGCTATCGCTTAGTTCTACATTTCTCCCAATTTCTCCTACTTTGCTAGAGTTCTTTGCCATTTATGTTTATACTTTAAATCAGCTGTTTTACTGCTCAACAATACAAAATTAATGTGATCATAAAAATAGGTTTAGACTTCAGTATCCAATAGTCAATGGTATAGGCTAGTTGGCTATAGTTCGGCCGCTTAGAAAGCGACCTCCTCCAGCATTGGTTTAGCATTAGCGCGCAGGTCGTTTTCTAAGCGGCCGAACTATAGTTTTGTTGTGTTTCAATCTCATAGTGCGTGTTCACTATACACAGTAAACATAACATTCAACTTTTTACGTTGTTATAGAAGTTTTCTATAACCTAGGCCTATTTTGCTTTGCTTTAATTAAAATAATATTAGTTATGAAATATAATCGTTTAAGTTATACTGAGGTCTATTATTCTGTATGATAGGATTTTTGTGTCGTGATGAAAAGTTTCGTTCATCTTGTATCGAAAGCGATTTCCCTGCATTTACTCCAATTATCACCGTCCTATGCTTCGTACTTGAAAATAATCCTGACATGCTTGGCTTCGACCGGTGAGCATAAAACTTGACAGTGTACCGGAAAATACAACTTTTGGTTCTCGGAAAGAAATATAGGGCTAATATTTTTTTCTATTTCAGAAAATTTGTAATAACATTTTTGTCACGTTTTACTTAGTTTTCAAAACAATGTGGTGTAGATAAAGCTAGTGCAAAGAGGGTTAATAGAACGTACTAATTATAATATTTTTACGTACACACAAGTACGTAAAGTACACTAAAGTATTATGAAAATACCTGATTACCTGCTTAGTGCTCTGATTCCAAAGGAAATATTGAATTGATCCATGACAGTGTGCTGGAATGGACATGTTTCTAATGGACAGAATAATGCAGATGTGTTTGTTTGTAACAGTTATACAGCTGAGGCCAACTATAATAGATGGTCTGGTCATACCATCGATCTCTATTGGTCATACCCATAAGGAGAACCAATGTGCCGGCAGAATAGTCTCTACTATTGATTGACCGAAGCAAAATAAGTCCTCACAAATTTATAATACTATACTGAAAACCCAAAGTAAATATGAAAATGTAAAAATGAAAATGAAATTGTGGGTTTTCATTATGGGAAAAATATTATGTGCTCAATACTATTAAAAGATGACCATGAAAATTTCATAATAGGTTGGTGGCCTCTTTTAACCTCTCATTTGCCAGTCCATATGGGCTACAGGCCTTAGAACGTATCTAGCATAGCAAGGGGTGAGTGATAATTTGTTGTGATAGGTACCAGGATCCGAACTCACGACATCTCTGTCGTGGATCTGATGTCAGTCGGACCACAACAAAATTAAATTTTCTTTTTGCTACTTTCAACTTTATTCACACCTTACATTTGATTACAGCTAATATTCGACGCCTTCAACGTGGGCCGGTTCTCTGCCACGGCACTGGACGGTTGTCCGGACGGCCACATGCAGTTGATGGAGTTGGGCCGACCCTACACTGGCGGCTCCTGGTGTGGTGCGGCTGCTGGTCACGCCGTCTACTACAGTGAGACTGCCACAGTCACTCTAACATTGAGGGTCTACCACGCTGCGGCCCCTTTTGAGTTTCTGCTACGCTTCAAGATGCTAGGGGCGGACGAAGCCGTTGTGCGCTTTGGAAGCCCTGGGGCACCCATTGACCGAGGGGAAGTTGTTCCAGGTAAAATCCATTGTGTAAATATACAGTTTGAGGACATTAAATTTTAATACAAACTTTCCAGTTCTAGAACCAATCAGAATCGATGATAAATTGATTTTCACCAGGCTACAATTTTCACACACTATCAGCATCGTCAATTCATTAATAAAATGTCTTAGAGGTACGGCGTCAATCTAAAATTAAGGTGGTTGATTTGAACCACTAACAGAGAATTCTGATGCCAATTACTGATTTCTGTCGAATACACCTACTTTTCAACCAACGGAAGAAATAAAGGAAGAAATATAATTTTTACTATCACACTTGTGAGCTTCTGAATCTTCTGATTCAACTATACGTTCTATTAGAGTATGCAATCAGCTACATGTGGTACAAATAGGAAGTCTTCTGTCTTATACAGAATCCAATTAACATTACAAGTCTACAAACTTTTTACGGAGAAACATAATATTTTAAAATGTCAAACGTTTCCAGGCACTTACTGCAGCCGCAACTTTTATGAATGCTACCGCAAAAAGTGTCGTCTGCAGTCACCTAACTACCCTGGCATGTACCCTCGGAATGTCACATGCTACCTGACAATGAGACAGAAGACTGTTCCTACCTGCAAACATGCAATGATCTCCGTCCGCCAACAGAACCACCATAAAGTGAGAAAATTTGTTAAGCACAGAACATTTACTTGATGTTTGCATGCAATCATTAATGGAAATGGGCCTTATCATTCCTTCCAGGGAACAATGAAGTTGATGATTGTATATCAAATTGTGCAGGACGAATGTGTTGTCAGCTACAATGAAAATATATGAAATGAAAATCAATGTGAAATATTGAATCTAAAGCCGTGTGTTGCAGGCTTGCCTCCTTGGGCTATGCCACATAGGCAGTGTCAGTGTTAGCAATATAGATTTGAAACTGAAAGATGATGACTTGGTTTGTGCTAGGTGGTTGTGCTAGGTGGTTTGTGCTTTGTTTTAAAATGTGTTTTATCATATTTTATCTAACAAGTTATGGATCAGCATTAAATTAGTTGTCATAGATTAAAAGCTTAGAAGTTTGGGAGGTGCATTGAATGGTTAAAACGTGCTACACGATGTAAAACTATTAACATAATGAATAAAATAAATATTACTTTGTGTCTTTTATATTCAATTTGTGTTGTTCATAAAAAACCTTTGTCCAGATGCAAATTCGCTCTACAGTGACAAGTGACTCAAGCAACAATGGAACATCCGCAACCAGTGGGGGTGGAGGAGGAGGAGGAATTATGAGAGAGTTGAGAGCCTGGTCGGAATGTACAGGAGACCGAGACCATCTCATCTTCTACGACGGAGCTTCCACAGACGATCCTGTCATTGCCAAATACTGCGGAGGTACTTGGCTGCCAGCAGTCATCAGCCGGTAGGTATACCACAAGTATCCTTTTAAGTATTATTTTATAGAGGAAACACGATTTTTTCCTAACTTATTACTTGGGCATTTTAGTCTGTGAGGGTTTAAATCTAGATTTAAAGAAAATACTCACATAAAGTATTGTAAGTAAGTGCTTAATTGGTATAAGTTATTAATTGGTATCCAAGCCTACCTTAGGTTGTATATTATTTGTAACAAAATGGGCTGTATTTTTTACCCTTGTAAAAAATGGACCAGTGTCATTAACATCTCTATTCATAAGGATGAAGCTAATTATTTCAATAATCTGAACAGTTGACCGAATTAAGTTTGACAAATGGTGTTTTTCAGCGGGCCAGCCATGTTGGTAGCGTTCCATTCTTCTCCATTTAGTGTGCCTCTACGTTCGGACGGAGCTGCCAGTCCTCTCAGAGGCTTTGAACTCGACGTGGACATTCTCTACAGCGACTCCTTCTCTTTGGACTACTCCCGACATGCTCGCAAGTATGTTAAATGTATACAATATACCATATTAATATAAATTCAAAAATAGTTTATCCAATTTACAAACATTTTACAGTGGCTATGTTCAAGATTCCAAATGTTTATTATTTCAACCCAATGGGAGAGGCCTGATGATGATCGGTGTGACTGTTCAAAATCTATGACCATTGTGACATATTACATACATTTTTATGTATTTATAAATCATCTTGTAAACATGTTTACAGTATAAGTGATAATGTATAGAATAGTGTAGGGAGACATATTTAGTTTAATATAAGTCTATAGATACCAGCTGTTACATTAACATTGTGAAAGAATAAAGAAAATGGTTAAAAGAAACATAATTGGATCACTGGGTCAAAGACGATCTTGATTTTAAGTAGCATAACATCATAAAACATTTTTATTGTGTATAAAATCTATATCCCGTACAAATGCTATAATGCATTATTCATGTATGGGGTGTTGAAAGAGCTCCTATCCAACCACATCATAAATTTTACCTTTTCCACCACCTCGTATTAGCAATTTAATCTTTTAACTCTATATTTATAACCCTAAAACTGTTTTGATACTATATACAGTATATACCATAAATACTTAGGCTGTTCCAGTTTTCAAATGTTGATCTGGTGTTACATATTTTTCGGTTTGAACATTATTATCAGACATTTGTTTCATGAACTACCATGCTATAGCCTTTCGATGAAAAATCTTGCAACCTAATTTGAATGAATATTCTTTTTTAACAATATTTTCATGATAATTATCTTTGCTGCTTAGCATAAACATAATTTCATTATTAGAATATTATTTTTAAAGTAACAGAAAAATAAACAAAACATTCATCAAAACACTATTTTTGTGTTTGAGACTTTATCACATTTGAATTTCATTTTGGTTGTAATACTTTTAAAACGGTCAAGCATTTTAACAAAAAACTTTATTTTGAGTCATTAGTCAATATCCATCATGTGTACAAAATGTTTACGTGATTTAATTTGAAAAATCACTAAAACGCAAACTATACACTTGACAAAATTATGTTTTGTGTGCATGAGTCAAAGTGGCACTGATTAAATAACTGGATGTTTGATATTTGATACAAAAGGTGAGAGCTGAGAGCACTCCAACCTAACTAATGTACTTCACTGTTTATGAACTGTGTTCATCCATCTATGCAAATAAACTTGTGTAGAACCATTAATTCTTTGGTTGATTTTACGTTTCGTCACTTTTAGGACTATTAATGAAAACTACTATTTTAGCTTAAATAACAAGTAAAATTACTTGTAGACCTAACATTTAACATTCTTCCATTTCTTTCCAAAATAACTAAAACACCAAAATACTCAGGGATCAAAGACGTTTAAAATGAATTAAACAGGACCAACCTTTACATTTGAACATTTTCCAAAATCCACCCCCCCCCCCCAAAAAAAAAAATCTGCCCTTTACCCAAAAGGATGCTTTATAGAGTTTAAAAATAATTTTTCTGAATTTGTTGGGTCAAAATAGGGGGTTACAGTTGCAATTAGGTTTCTATTTGCAAATTGGAGTCATAGAAGCCGGCTGGGTGGTCTGGGACACCCTGTATATAGTTATTACATTCAGGACAACTAATGTGATGTTTGGGTATTTCAGATGCGAGTTCTGGGTGAACGCAACACACCCAGACTTGGACGATACGGCTCGGACCCGTGGACGGACCGGGTATGTGTCCAGCCCCCGACACACCCTCGCTCCCAACACCACCTGTACTTACCACTTCCGAGGTCACTCCCGAGACCACGTGTGGCTCTACTTCATCAGCTACTCTCACCAACCACTGAGACCCAACACAACCCACAACTGCTCCACCAGGTTGAGGATCTGGGACGGAGGTTGGTAAAGCACTCGACTAAGTAGGAATCAGGAATACATTTTTGGGATATTCCTGGAAACATCAAATCCCTAAACACATCTCAAACAGAATTTCTTTAATTCAAATTATTTGTCTGTGTAGTTGAGTGATTATATAGTCCAGGCAAATTAGATCAAATATAGGGTGTGCTCCCCAAAAAATCGTCTAAAGCTGGAAAGTGTTTTAATACCTTCTGGGGGTCCCAAATAAGACTCCTGTGAGTTTGCGACGGATTCTGACGTCTGCTTAAGTTTTGGGAGTAAAAAAATATGAAAATTTCGCACTTTTTTCAGTTTTTCACTTATAACTACTAAATAACGAATCCTAAGGAAAATGTTGTTCAAAGGTGTCTTTTAGTGCACTGAATTCCGCATCCATTGGTGTTAAATACGTCAAAATCGTCCGAGCCGTTTAGCTGCTGTAGCTTTTCAAAGTTGGGATATTTTCATCAACATGGCCAAAAGGTTGATTATTTGACCAGTTTTCGACTTACAACTCCTAAACGACGCATGCTATACAAAAATGTACCTGTAGTTAGTTCATAAAACACAAAATTCGGCGTAGAATTATGATTATGAATGAATTATGAATGTTATAAGATATTACAACGAGAAAGATTTTATCAAATGTAGCAAACATTTTATTTTTTGGCTTAGTAAACGATAGATGATAATGGGACAGATGTACATAGTTTTACTATGTATTTAGCCTATAAAAAAACAATTGGGATTTTTCGTAGATTTTACCATATAACTTTTATACTTCTCATCATTGGAATCTTAAGAATTTGGATTCATTCTTTGCTCTTATTGGTCTTGCCACAAATAATGGTGATTTCCGAAATTTAAAATCTTACCATTGAAATCTGGCAAACAACCAGCCTAATTACCAAAACCATAGGGGATATGGCAGTGAATCTATCCACTAGTGTGGCGTCATGGATCCTGCAGCATGGCCTATGAACAAGTAAGTGCTCATGAGAGCAACATCCCACTGTGGAGAGCTTTTCCGAGATAGGGGAATCAATGATGTGTACTCATATCAATCAACTATACTCATACCGTAACAGTTTTAATATAAGTTTAAAATTGATATCAAAACAATTTTTTTCTCGTTTTTCTGCTACTTGGGAGATTTCACCCCTACACAGGGGCCTACATAGGAGGAAGTAGTATAAAGTGTATTTTGTATGCTGTGAACTGCTTGAAACTCTTTTCATGGGTAAGTTATTAGTGTATTAATTTTCATTTTCCCTAATATATTTCTACGCCAAGTGTGAAGTGCCCTCTCCTCCAAAACTTAAAACATGAATAGTGATATAGGTTTAATTATTACAATTAATATATAAACTATATACATATATATATATGTTATATATAAACTATAAACCCCCACTATCCCCATGTTAAGGTGGGTCTCTATTGGGGGACCATTGTGATGGACCGCGGTTGTGTGATCACACGTCACTACGCAATCTCACCAGAGTCACTCGGCCCTGTCTGATCACAGAGAGCTACGTGACTAGAACCAGCGAGCTGTTGGTTCAACATCAGAGTGACGATGGCACGGCCCTTCACCCTTCTCACTTCCGAGCCAGGTACAGACATCAACTTAGTAAAATAACAATAATATGTGTTTTTGAGAGTTGAATGTTAATTTGGTTTCATTTTCAGATCAGATTTGTAAGAGTAAAGTTGGTATGTAAAAAAAGAAATTGCAAATAATAACCTGTTAATAATCATGAATATTGTTTTTCAATTTGTAAAAAATAATAAATATAGATCAGCATGCCCTCATAGGCATTAAATTTACCTATACTTTTATACTTTAAATAATTCCAGTGATATTGCATCTGCCACCTCATCAGTTTCTTTCCTTCATGGAAGAGTGTTATACCTTATTAGTTAGCTTATTAAGTGAGTATGGGCTATTTAACATGACAGAATCTTTATTTATAATTCATATAAGCAAGAGTAACTAAAAACAGCTACATAATAAGCTACAGCCTCCGAGAAAAGTTTGAAGCTTCTGCCCTAGAACACAATGACACGTTTAAAACCACCATGGAATACCTAGACCATAATCATAGTCTAATAATGAGTATTTTATATCAGTTGATAAACACAGAGTTTATAAGTAAGAAGACTTGGTAAACATCACAAACTTTTTTTAATAAGTCACATTATTTTTCTTTTAAGGTACGAGTTTGTGGACACGTGGCTCGGAGGAGAGCCGTGGACGGGCAGACGAGGTGAGACTCCCCCTCCACAACCTTGCTCCAGGGTCTTCCGCAAGGTTAAATCTGGTGGGTACATTTTCTTAATCTTAACCTGTATTTTCATGAAACTAGTATCTGAAAATCGCCAATAGAATATTTTTCATTTAATGTAAAAACCAGTCATTTGTGTAACTCCTACCATGACTTTCCAGAGGCTAGTAGGTACCGACTAGCTGGATTCATTTTAGAACCATCAGAACATGATTAGTTTGCCTTGATTTTGTCTAGCAATTCCTTTACCTCTCATAAGGGTGAATGACGATAGTTTCAGTGATTATATCTTTTTCTTCTGATCCTCCTCATGAAAGCTTCTTTCATATTCAGGTAGTAAAAATATTAAATACACACACACGAATCTTAAGGCTTCGGAACACACTGCTTGAAAACCAAACATGTGTCAACCTAGCAAAGTTACCTATAGTTGCAGTAGTTGTTGAATATTTAATTTTTTATGTTACTCATGTTTGTGCAATTTTAAGGTTTTGACACACTCAATATGTGAGAAGCTTGTAATTCTTGACAAGGATCTAAAGAAGGTAACACAGTCGCCAAAACAATCATCATTAATCTTTAGAGGGGGGAGGTAAAATAGCCTCTTCTTATTTATATTTATATCGAGACTACTAAAAAATTACATCAGAAAGCTATTGACTTGTCCCAAGATCAAACCAGATATACTCTTACCGTAATAGCAAGCAATATAACAACTCCCCAATCCAACTACAGATTGTTTTATGTAATTAATTTAGTGATTTAATACTAGCCTTCAAATTTTGAATGATTCTTAACTGTAATAACAGTTATTAATACTTAATAACTTTTAATACTTTTCACTGGAATGGACACCACACAAAGTAGGTATTTTAAGCCTAGTATGAATGGAGATGAGTGTAGAATAAAAATAATAACGATTCTTGAATTTTGTCACAGGTTACATTAAGTCTCCCAGGAACATATTTCTGTACGGCCGAGGAGGTGCCAAGAATCTATCTTGTGTGTATCGTCTAGAGGCGAGTCCCGGAGAGAAGGTACGTCTGACACTTCATAACGCATCGTTTGGGGAGACTGACTGCTCGGCCGACAAGGACCCTCACACTGGACGGACTGTCTGTGTACGACAGCCTGGGACAAGACTGGTAGAGCTACAGGTTGCTGATGTGCCTTGGAGGGATGTCAGGGTGAGTTCATAATCACGAATGAGAAACAAATATTTGTTTTCAACAAACAACTCTGTTTTCATTATTTATATTTTCCAAGCACAGATTTTGTCCTAAAAAAAAACTGTTAGCCACCTACCTAATCAAATACGTTTTTATTACATTAATTAGGTACTTTTTTATGTCCCATCTTCACATCCTAGGACGCTAGTTCTAGCCCAAAACTGTTTTACACATTACTTCAGGCTAGTCCTAGAGGGTTGCAGCATTATCAAATAGATAAAATCCATTGGTGATTAGTGGGATTTGAACCCGGGAATTTGAATCTGGTAAACACCTTCTGGACTAGTAACATAATATACCATTTAATTGTTTTATTTTATTTACATGCTTTAATACAGTTTACACCATTTACCTTGAAGCAGTTATTAATTAAGTTATCGATTTATATTGTTGTGCAGTCTTTGAAAATAATTGTTCTCTACAGTACTGATCATACCAAATTTTAAAAGCTCAATAAGAAAATGATTTTACGAGAAATATGATAGTGATATGTGTTTTGCTAGGGCAGGTGGTGCGAGGTTGCTATTGTGACAACTCCTCCCTGCCCACAACCTCGACTGCTGGCTCTGTGGTGTTCACTTCACTGTCTAGAGTGCTTGAGATTACATTTGTCATATAGTATAGTGATATGTGTTTTGCTTGTGCAGGTAGTGCGAGGTTGCTATTGTGACAACTCCTCCCTGCCTACAACCTCGACTGCTGGCTCTGTGGTGTTCACTTCACTGTCTAGAGTGCTTGATGTTATGTTTGTCATATCATAGTGATATGTGTTTTGCTTGTGCAGGTGGTGCGAGGTTGCTATTGTGACAACTCCTCCCTGCCTACAACCTCGACTGCTGGCTCTGTGGTGTTCACTTCACTGTCTAGAGTGCTTGAGATTATGTTTGTCATATCATAGTGATATGTGTTTTGCTTGTGCAGGTGGTGCGAGGTTGCTATTGTGACAACTCCTCTCTGTCTACAACCTCGACTGCTGGCTCTGTGGTGTTCACTTTACTGTCTAGAGTGCTTGAGATTATGTTTGTCATATCATAGTGATATGTGTTTTGCTTGTGCAGGTGGTGCGAGGTTGCTATTGTGACAACTCCTCCCTGCCTACAACCTCGACTGCTGGCTCTGTGGTGTTCACTTCACTGTCTAGAGTGCTTGAGATTACGTTTGTCATATCATAGTGATATGTGTTTTGCTTGTGCAGGTGGTGCGAGGTTGCTATTGTGACAACTCCTCCCTGCCTACAACCTCGACTGCTGGCTCTGTGGTGTTAACTTCACTGTCTAGAGTGCTTGAGATTATGTTTGTCATATCATAGTGATATGTGTTTTGCTTGTGCAGGTGGTGCGAGGTTGCTATTGTGACAACTCCTCCCTGCCTACAACCTCGACTGCTGGCTCTGTGGTGTTCACTTCACTGTCTAGAGTGCTTGAGATTATGTTTGTCATATCATAGTGATATGTGTTTTGCTTGTGCAGGTGGTGCGAGGTTGCTATTGTGACAACTCCTCCCTGCCTACAACCTCGACTGCTGGCTCTGTGGTGTTCACTTCACTGTCTAGAGTGCTTGATGTTATGTTTGTCATATCATAGTGATATGTGTTTTGCTTGTGCAGGTGGTGCGAGGTTGCTATTGTGACAACTCCTCCCTGCCTACAACCTCGACTGCTGGCTCTGTGGTGTTCACTTCACTGTCTAGAGTGCTTGAGATTATGTTTGTCATATCATAGTGATATGTGTTTTGCTTGTGCAGGTGGTGCGAGGTTGCTATTGTGACAACTCCTCCCTGCCTACAACCTCGACTGCTGGCTCTGTGGTGTTCACTTCACTGTCTAGAGTGCTTGAGATTACGTTTGTCATATCATAGTGATATGTGTTTTGCTTGTGCAGGTGGTGCGAGGTTGCTATTGTGACAACTCCTCCCTGCCTACAACCTCGACTGCTGGCTCTGTGGTGTTCACTTCACTGTCTAGAGTGCTTGAGATTATGTTTGTCATATCATAGTGATATGTGTTTTGCTTGTGCAGGTGGTGCGAGGTTGCTATTGTGACAACTCCTCCCTGCCTACAACCTCGACTGCTGGCTCTGTGGTGTTCACTTCACTGTCTAGAGTGCTTGAGATTATGTTTGTCATATCAAAGTGATATGTGTTTTGCTTGTGCAGGTGGTGTGAGGTTGCTATTGTGACAACTCCTCCCTGCCCACAACCTCTACTGCTGGCTCTGTGGTGTTCACTTCACTGTCTAGAGTGCTTGAGATTATGTTTGTCATATCATAGTGATATGTGTTTTGCTTGTGCAGGTGGTGCGAGGTTGCTATTGTGACAACTCCTCCCTGCCTACAACCTCGACTGCTGGCTCTGTGGTGTTCACTTCACTGTCTAGAGTGCTTGAGATTATGTTTGTCATATCAAAGTGATATGTGTTTTGCTTGTGCAGGTGGTGTGAGGTTGCTATTGTGACAACTCCTCCCTGCCCACAACCTCGACTGCTGGCTCTGTGGTGTTCACTTCACTGTCTAGAGTGCTTGAGATTATGTTTGTCATATGATAGTGATATGTGTTTTGCTTGTGCAGGTGGTGCGAGGTTGCTATTGTGACAACTCCTCCCTGCCTACAACCTCGACTGCTGGCTCTGTGGTGTTCACTTCACTGTCTAGAGTGCTTGAGATTATGTTTGTCATATCATAGTGATATGTGTTTTGCTTGTGCAGGTGGTGCGAGGTTGCTATTGTGACAACTCCTCCCTGCCCACAACCTCGACTGCTGGCTCTGTGGTGTTCACTTCACTGTCTAGAGTGCTTGAGATTACGTTTGTCATATCCAAGTTCAATATCACCGAAGACTTTGCGGACTTGTACTTCCACGCCACCTTTGAGATGATAAATTCCCCTGATTGTCCGAGGAAGCAGAGAGTGAGAGGATCTGGAGGAGAGATTGAGCTGGTTAGCCCCCCTCAGGTAAGGTATTCTCAATCTCTCAATCAAAATTACAACATTTTGTATGGACCAAAGAATCTTATCCATTTTGTTTTTGATACAAAGTTTGTTAGCAAAGCAACCTCAACAACCACTAAAGAGGCCCTCTGCCATAATCATTGTCTCTCTCTGTATGGTTACAGTTATTGTACACAGAAGATGATTATTTCATATTTCAGTTTATTTTTTTTATAGTATTCTTAAGTTTGTTATTAATTTGTCAGCCTGGTAAAAACATGTTGACAGTGGTATATTGTTACGTAAACCTAAGTTTACTGTTATAAAGCACATTTGTCTCTTTACTATTGTGAATTTTTTCTGTACAATAATTGTGAACGATGCACTATGTATCAGAATTGAAGGGAGAAAATAAAAACTATTCTATTTCATTCTATTCTAAGACTCTATAGTAATCTATAAATTAATCTTAGATCAGCTTATAACCTAAATACGTATAAATCCCATCCCATTTTCAAAAACGCTATATTTTAAAAACAAAATACTTTGCTCATTAAAATTATTTGGATTTTTTTAATTGTTTGAAAATATATTTTAAATTATTATTATTTTAGTCCTTATTGTAAAAATAGACACTTCACAATTTTTTACAAACAGATATAGCATGCATTGGTAATTTTTCCTGACTGCATTGGCTTATGTTGCTCAGTTGAAACTATCAAATTTTTTTTAGTTGCGCGCAGATGTCAACTGCGAGGGGTTGCCTTGGCTGGTTGAGGCTCATGAGAACAAGAGTCTGTTTCTGCTGACTTGGGGCCACTTCCTACCTCTCACTGGGGAGCCAGACGCTGCTTCATGTAGCACAAAGAACAGAGTACTCTTGTACACCGGCCGACCACTCAGGTATACACTATGGGAGCGAGCTGGTCTAGTGGTGGAGCTCGGGGCTTCAGAGCCCGATGTCCTAGTTTCAAAGCCCGCCAATCCCCAATGGATTGTTTACTGGCTGAGGAGGACATAGTCCTAAAACAGCTTCAGTTCAGTAGGTTTTCAGCTCACTGTACTGGAACATCATGAGAACAAACGAAATATTCGCTTAACTTTTACTCAATTTTTTTAACCAGGCTCAGGCCCCATTTTTTTCCACATTACTTCAGGCTAAGCCTGGAGGTTGCGGCATTAACAAATCTTATCATTATTTATTGTATATAAAAATATAAATCCATTATTTGTTGATTTATAGAAATATAAATCCATTTACACTATGTCTATTTTTATTATGATTTACCTAGATAAAATCCATTATAGTGATTGGTGGGTTTATATCCGGGAAACTTGGGGACAAGTCTCACCAATACACCAGTTTGCTCCCCAGATTTGAACTCCCTTTTCCTTTACATATTTGTTAATCAAGCTTTGTACACAAAAACCAAAATTGCCATATACAAGGTTATAATTAACTGTAAGAGGAATGTTTTGATTTATCTAGCAGGAAAGTGGACTGCTTTAATTTCTCTAAAAGGAAAGTGTACAGGAATTATCCACCAGATTTAGTAGATTGATGGATCCAGAGGTCCTGACGTACGTCTAGTTGACAGAGAGAGTAAAGACTGAGGACTGTCATTTCGACGACCTCCCAACAACTGACTGCAGGGCTCTTCTGGACCTCATTGCTCTGCTGAGGAAACGGCCTCTCTGAGCCGGTTTCCGCTGCACTTCTGTGTGTCCACTGGACTCGTTTTATTTCACTGTACTCTAGATTTCTTTGTGGCCAGGTGTCGGGTTGTCGGGGAACACTTCGTGGTGGGGGACCTCACAAAGACACTAGCAAGAGCGTCCTTTATTTTGCCACTGGCTTACCACTGTTTTGGCTGGTGCATATTGTGGATGTCTCAGATATTTTCTTGGGAAAATTATCATCATTATTATTATTATCATTATTATTAGTCATTTAGTCATTATTTTGGGAGATTGATACTTTGTCAACCTCCCATCCTCCTATCTGTCATGTGTCAACAAGCCAAACCCTGAGTATAAATGTATAATCCCAGCCAAAGGTCTAGCACAAGGTATTTCCGTTCCACCTCGCTATTATCGACCTTCTTGTTGTTTTAGGTATTTAACTTCCCAAACAAAATTTTTGGGTTGTCTTTTTAGCCTGATTAGACCTTCAGTGTTTAAGTTATTTTTCAAATCCATAACTAAAAATTTGTATTTACAGGCTGCTGAAAGTTGTATGTCCCTCAACCCCCAAAGAGCGTCAGTTTGCTGTACACGTGTTCTCGGAGGAGTGGTACCTTCAGCCGACACCAGGTAGCAGTAGTGAGCCGTTCCTACAACCACCTAGACCTCCCAGTTTTCTGTTGGAGTTTGTGGGACGGGAGAGTGGAGTGGCAGCCCTGAACTGGCTAGAGATCAGCCGTAGCAAGTCTGCATTGCTACAGCAGCTGCATACTGACTACCCTGACACTTTGGAGCCCCCGGGTAAGCTGTGGATTGTGATGATTTATGTGATTTACGATTTATCACAATCTTATTTTACTCTTAGAACCTCTTTGCGTAAGGTGTTAAGTGTAGCTAAATTGCAAAGAATGCCAAACAAAGCATGACCACTCTTCATTACAACGTTTTTAGTATTGAGCGACAGAAACACTCCAGGGACAAAAATCAGTTAACTAAACTGTTTATTTCGTTTACTCCACGCAGAGACAACAAAGGTGATAAACATTGGTAAGAATTTGGCAGTAAATGTTGCAACAATTTTGTGTTTAAAATGTGACTTGTTATTTTTTTCTATCCAACGACCTTTTCTCAGAAAATCCACTTATCAACAGTTTCATTGGGGGTCAAAGTTTCACAAAAGCTACAAAATCAAGCGAGGACCTTCTTACACGTAGTCGAGTACGCTTTCCTCTTTGCTACCCTACTTTACAAGTCACAGAATCACTTTAAAACCTCAAAATTCATCAATAACCAGTAGTATAGTCATAAATCTTCAAGAGTAGGAATGCTCACCATTGTCAAAGAAAAATATAGGTCGCTTTCCAAAATATAAGTTCTTAGGAAAAAGCAAAGAACAAGTTCCTGTCCCACTACACCACTGGCAATAACCACATCTTGAATAAGTTTGTGTTTACTCATACCATTGACTATACACAGAATAGACTTCCCATGTGATATGAAAGTTTGAAGCCAAGAAAATAGATGAAGTTCAGGACCATCTCACCAGAGTTTACTAGTGTATTGGGTTGAATATTAATTCAAACCAATGCAGTGATCATAGCAAACAGCTGATTGATTTATCACTTAACACAGAATAGTGTCATTAGTTTATGGTGACCATCTCAACATATTGCACCACGTTTTTTTTTTCTTAAAATCTTTACATTACATGGGAAGTCTATTTCTGTGTATAGTAAATGCTCATACATACTATTGTTTATCAGCTGGAGATGACTATTTTGCTAAGTAATAATGAAAGTATTTCTATTCCCCGCCAAGGTAACGAAAGTGTGTCAGTGCCGGGCTGGGAGTGTCCGTATCGGTGTCCAGAGTTGAACGCTTGCATCTCATCAAGCCTGTGGTGCGACGGTCGTCCCAATTGTCCATCGGGGTATGACGAGAGCCCGACACACTGCGGAGTGGGTCGCCAGTTGCTGGCTATACTGCCTACCTACGCAGCCTTTGGTGGCGTAGCTGCTTCCATCGGTTAGTGTTGTAGAGATGATGATTACATTCAAAGAATTATTCTAATTTGAAGGGAGGTAGGCTATAGTTCAATTTAACCCAGTGACCTGATGATTAGTATGGCAAATCTAGTAAATTAAAATTATGGAAAGAACCATGTGTCCAATAACACATGGAGATGTACCTAATTAAAACTAAAAAAAACAACTAAAAAAAAATAATTCTCGAGAAACACTACCTAGATATTAATTAACTTTTGAAAACGAGTCATCGTAGTACCATGATAGTATTTAAATCATGATTTTAAATTACAAATTTAATAGTGTCTGGTACTGGAATAATTTACAATTAGGTGAAACATCATTACAAAGTGTGAACAGGTTTGCTACATATGGTTTGGGAAAATCAAAGCGGGCCCCTTCCCCCAGGATTAACACAGAGAGAATCAAGGATAAAATTACCGAAATCAGGACTGTCCTGACACAATCGCAATGGTTGGCAACCATAGAAACTATTCTGTTTACGATAAAAAAATTATATGGCTGGTTTTAGCTTTTCTGCATCACTAAAAATCATTACAACCTGTTACAGCTGCTCTACTGCTGTTTCTATTGGCAGCACTGCTACACCGTGTGAGACTACGGAGACAACGACGGCTGCTCGGTAAAGTAGGCTCCGCTCATAGAGTTCCCACAGAGGAACTGCTACTGGACCCTTCCACTGCAACGTCCACAATGTCCTCCTGACATCCGAGACAGTCTGTGGAGTTTATACACGTGGACCGCGAGACTACCGTCTAGGTGCCTTTCTCCACAGCCTAACCTAACTACCAAGCCGCTACCATGTCACGTGTGTTAACTGTATCCTGAGTTTCTTCAATTTAAACAATTTTTTCATACCAACAAGAAACTGGAGGTGCATGAACCATATCACAAAAAATGAATGTAGGTTTTGTGTGGAAACAAAATTCCAGCATATTGTATGAATAGTAAATATATTTGCCTGAATAATAATTTTTTTTCTTTATTATTTAGATCAGGTAAAAGAGTACCTTTTACGATACTTGTTTAACTTGGTGTTAACGCTTGATTATAAAAATTTAATTACATCTTTTTGTACTAGTACCATTTCAGTTCAGAATATTTGAGGGTATTTTATAAGTAAAAATTAAAAATAACTGTTTAGTATCAATTTTAAGTTTTTGCACAATAATCAAATAATTGAACATGTATGGCCTCTGCACAATGCTGAACAAATTTCAAAGGAATTTGAATACTTTAACAGAAAAACGTTATTTAGGGTTGCACAAATAACATGATGTGGTATATTTCATTATTCTTCAATCTACTTCTCAAGGCCTACCTTAGATTAAAAGTCTATAATAATTATGTTTGTTAATACATTCAGCTTAACCTTCAAGTGGCTGGTGTGGCAAAGACTTTATGAAACTACTGAACTTTATTAGCCCATTCAGTGAATTTTGCTTCTGATGAGAGAAGTTTCAACCTCCGGCTGCTCAACTCGACTATTTCTTGTGATAGACTGTAAACAAATTCACCTGTTTTATACAAGCAGTATGTTTAAGATGTATTACACAGTTAGTTGTGGTAGGATCAGAATGGCCATAAATATTTAAAATTAAAAAGTTAGTAAAGAAATCAATCAGAAAGGTACCTTATTATATCATTCAGAACATGTAGAATCATGGGTTTGTGATTATCGTGTTCTGTGACAAATAACAGTTAACTGTATTTTAAAGATATTTCTAAGTGTTTTTGTTTGACCATTACCATTAATGCCTAAATAAATCAGATGACAGACTTTATTCAAGCAAAATAAAAATAAAATGAGCACAGTAAAACATCTAGAATGAAAACAAAGAAAGGTGCACATTTTTTTCCGATTTATATGTAATGGTCTGTTTATATTAATAAATAACAACTGCCAAAAATACTACTGTGAATTTTAGATGCTGTAGTTCCAATTGTCTTATTGATTCTACCACGCGGTTCTGATAATAAATAAGTATTGATTATATTACAACTGTACATCCTTTGTGTACAATCACTAGTAACAAATTTACTCCTAAAGCATTAAACTAGGGTTAATTATATAGAGTTTAACAAATGTATTTACAATGTTACTTAAAGAGATAAGTGCTATTTAGTGAATATATTAGGAAACAAAGTTTACTATGTAATAAATATTTATCTAGGTATTATATTTTAAAAATGTATAGTTTAAAATAGACATTTTTATTACTATAATTTACATTGTTTTCATTTAATCTTGTTGTGGTTCATTCAGACACAAATAAGAGCATAATGTACACCTAGAATCAATAATTAGAAGGGAATAAAAAGTCTTGAATCATTTCAAACATTAAATTTTGTATACAAGCCTGATAAATATAGCAGCAGGTTATACTGTAATATATCATTATTTACATGTCGTGTTTCAAATTGTTAAGATCATAAAAAAATAACTTCTTAACGCACATAAAGCTAAAGCCATTTTACGGACAATTTCCAAAGTTTCAAACAGAAAGAGTTACCTCCATGACCACACTCCTATCCTTGTAATACTAATTTGTATCATTCAAGACGATATTAGTGAATAAGGCTTTTGAATTTGAAATATTAGAATCTCAAACATCTCAGAAATCAGAATATATACGTTTTTCGAATAGTGAAAAGGATGCTATAAAAATACCTTAGATTATTACTTGATGTGTATTGAAAAAAATCAAGTTACTATTGAATACTGTTCATATTAATTATTGCCTTAGTTATAAATTGACTGTTCATCAATGTTATTGCATTCAAATTCTATTACGGTTGTGAGTTTAAATATAGTTAGTTGTAACTAAACGTTCATAATATTGATGAGAAAATCATTTAGTTCAGTAGTTTAAGCGTATTTCACAGTTTAGGTGTGTTAATTTATTTATAAATCAGTTGTGATATTATATTTTCTGTAAATTATATTTGCTATTTTCTTCAAACAACATTTAGTAGTAGGTAGTAAAATAAGTGAATGCATATATTCAAAAGATATTTTTATGAATTCATGTTATCATAATGTTTTACAACTCTGAATGAGTTAAATGATATTTTGGGAAGTAATGCCAGTCAAAGCAATAAAACTTTTACCTCTTGAAATTGTTATTTATTGGTTTAAGTTTTTTCTTTCATTCAAACAATCTCAAGAAGAAATATGGTCTGCCATAACAATGTATTTTGAAATAAAAACTGTCATAGTATGCTACTACCACTAAACCTAATGAATGGTTAATCCAATAGTCAATGTAATACTGTATGTGATATTTCAATTTTTCAGCAGTAAATTTGTTTTTGGATATGGAAAAAACCTCAACAAGTGAAAAGCCAGGAATATAAAAGCATAACATTACTGAACTATACTTTTATATCAGAAACTTGAAGAGTACTTTGTTTGAGCCATTAAATTTAAATTCCAATCCGTTTAAGTTTATATTTAGGTGAAATGATTAGCTTAAAAATTGCTGTTTTTATATGGTACTGTTATTCTTTTACTGTTTTATTTTAAATTTTAACAGATTGTAAGTATTGTATATATACTAGACACTAGTTATGAACACCAATTGATCTGTAGCTGCACAGTAGTTAGCTAGTGACTATAAGGAATGTATAGTGTGTTGGCTATATTTTTGTTACTCTGTACTTTGGTGTAATTATTTGAATACTATAAACCTAAGATGGGCCATTATGGAGCCTTTACCAAAATTGTTAGTAGATGATATGTAGTTTTTTTTAACACTACCTAAATCTAAATGAACAATAGCATTATGCCTACGGTAAAAGAAAATAATAATATGATCATATTTAAAAACATGATACATATAATGTGAGTTTCACTTTATCAGTTCTTAATAGAATTGAAAAGATTCACTTAACATCATTGTTTTACTTAACATCACGAGTAACGGACCAAGGATTGATAGAAAAGAAAAAAGAAGTAAAATTGTAATGCTTCCAACTTTAACTAACCAGCTGTTTGCCAATTTAATTGTTAATTGTTGGTCGGTGCAATTAGTGGGTAATACAATGAGTTGTACCATCTCTGTCAGTGTCACGACACCATCTGTACTGTATGCGATAAACTACTATTACTTGGAAGTACACTTTTAGGCAATACTTTATTACTAAACTAACAAAGAAAGATGTAACAATGTATTTTTTTCTTATAAGTACAGAGTAACACCATTGTCAATGAGTACAATGATGTAACAAAGAGAGCTTTTATTGAGATTAAAGTCCAATATTTAAGATCTATTTAGGTAAACTGATCGTGTAGCCATAAACTCAAGTTGTTCTATACTAAATGAAACTTTAACTGAGATTTCTTACCAATCTTTATCAGGTGGTGCTCAACCTAAAGATGAGGTAAATAGATTATAACACAAACAAAACCAGACATGTTGTTTGATAGAGTGAAACGAGAATGACCAAACTTTTGTGCCAAAACAATATAAAACAGTGGTTAATTTTGCCTAGAATTTTAATTAAATAATTTTCTTTTAACACAGCCAGTGTAATGTCTAGATTTTTGTGATCAAGATGTGTTCACAAATAAAAAAACAGCATGAAACTGCCTGTTAATATTATAACTTGATAAATCTTATTAGTTTTGGTAATGCAATTGGTTTTGTCATTTAACACTATAATAAACAGTTATATAATTTTGGAAAAATATGACATGAAATGTTATTTTATTTTGAAACATTCCATTGATTTGGAAAAAACCTTCACCTAAAGAATTAAACAAAATATTGAAGAAAATATTAGTAAAACATTTTTAATTATTCTAAACTTTTTTCATGTTATTTTAAATAAATCTGTAAACAAATTTCAGCCTAATAAAAAATTAAGTTTGAACTTTAATATCTATGTTATGGTTATATACTTATTATTTTTAGAAGGGTGAAGCTATAACTGTCTTCATATTGCACATAGGTAGGTCAACTGCCAGATTCACTGTAGGATAGTCAATACGGTTGCCAGGCTGTGAATAAAGCAGGATTATTTAGAGATAAATTGTTTCATTGTTCCACAACTTTTTCTCAGAATAACCCTCTTCAGCATGGTAACAGAACGCATAAAATGTTATAAAAAGAGGTTTTGAGTATTTCACCTGAAAAGCAATAACCATGCACAATAAAACAGATTAAGATTGATCATAAACATAAACAAATTACTTTCACTGGTCTAAAAGTAAATATTATGTTTGTATTAATAATTAAATAGAACTGTAAAAACCGTTACGGTTATTATAATATTCGGGCCAGTGACACCATGCGTATGTTTACTAATCTCTGGTTACTAGCGGCTAGTCCCTGCCCACCAAATACCAAATCTGTTCGGGAGCGAAACTTCTACCCTCCCTCCAGCCACAGCCAAGCTGTTATTTGGAGGCTTCTGATTGGCTGAGGAAACGGGGTAGCGGAATTTTATCCCCCTGGAATTTTACCCCCTGGGCAAACGTGACGTCACAAACCAGGGGGTAAAATTCCGGCCGCGAACTTTTTAGTTTCGCGACATCAGCTCGATGGATTAAACGCGGAATTAAACATATATTTTCACGGTTGTGAATTTAATCAGAACACATCAAATTATAAAAACCTAGAGTGTACGGCCCGGATTTTTACCCCCCGGAATTTTACCCCCGGAATTTTACCCCCCGGAATTTTACCCCCAGAATTTTACCCCCGGAATTTTACCCCCCGGAATTTTACCCCCCGGAATTTTACCCCCGGAATTTTACCCCCTGGCTAGATATAAAAATTAGTGAGAATGATTCATTATCTTCATTCTGTTTTAATTTAATAGTAAACATTTTATTATTAAGTAACCTATCTTAATTTATTTGTGACATTAATTAATCGAACATGTTTTTAATTTTAATTTTGAGATTCTTCAAGTATTAGGATTCGATCTTTGAAGCCAACTTTTGGTTAATATGACGTATATACAATCAACTGAATGATAATTGTTTCGAATATTTCTTTAAAGAATTATTATACAACCATGGTAAAACATTGTTTTTCGTGTTTATTTTAACAATAACAAAATATGCCTTATTGTTTCTTGAGGCACAAACCATGAGCTTGTAGTTGTAGTTGTAGGCATCCAGTATGCCTACAATGTATTCGACCAATTGTTGTGTTGACTACTGCAAGGAATCTCATCAACAGTACTTGGAAAGGAGAATGAATCATTATGAGTGAACAGTGCTCAGTAAGTTATGTTAATCCCCTCGCGCGTTACTGCGAAATCCCAATGCCCTTTAGAATCTCTTTTCACAACAGGTCATTCCAGTCATGTAGAGTCTTTTGAGAAACATTCATTTTGTACATAATATGCGTATTGTACAGAAAGACTTTTACACAGTTTTGCCAAACCTTTTTACTATATATTTATTCAAACTATAAAATCTTAACTTATTTAAAAAAATACAAAAAATAATAATCTTTCCAGCATAGTCTGTTAGGTTTTATTCATTGTATGTAATGTGATCGCTTGTGAAAAATAGTGAAATAACACAGTAAATCTGTTATTAAAAATTTTTTAAATATTAACAAAAATGTAAAAGAGAATACAGTAATCATAAATTCAGTGTAGTCTACTTTGTTTTAGTCTTTTATGTCATACACGTTTTATGTCAATTCAAAATGATAAATGATAAAATGATAATGATTAAAGACGTTAAAACGGTTAACTAACTACCACTGTTCATATTTTTTGGAACAGCTGTCCGAAATTGTAATACTGAGAACCTGCCGAGATACTACGTCGTCTAGGCTATAAACTGATACCGATCAGCTCTTTAAAAATATTTGATTTCATTAATCTTTTACATATGTTTATATTTACAACCAAGCGATATACAGTATCTATGATTTGCTTCGTGGAAGAAACGCGGAAGAAAAACAGTTGGTTTGTTATTATCTACCGTATGTCACACCTAACACAGACATTAAACTAAAAAATAAATCCAATTGCACCGTTTTATCAGTAAAAGTATAGTGTATTATAGTTCATTTGGGAATTTTCAGGTCACTTGGTGCGAATAACTGATAAGCAGATGAAACTGTATGATTTAGATATGAAAAGTAAATTTACTTTAAACCCTACCTAGATTGAGAATCAACAGGAAAAAATATCTCGCGATAGGGTACTGCCGTGAACCAAAAATCAGTCATTTGAGCATAAAATAGAGATGTGTTACCCAAATGTCGCATTGAGAGAAAATGCAAAAATACAAAACTTTTACAACCTGGTAAAGAAAACCGATTCCTTTTGTTCATTAAGAAACAAATCTCATCTAAATATACAGGGTGGAATGAAGTTAGTGTTAAAAAATTTTATGTGTTAAACTACTAAGTATTGGTGACAAAATGGCACCAATTTAAGTTTCCATACCCTCACAGGTAGAAAATAACGGACAATTTAAGATTTTTCAAAATATTTGTATTTGCTTACATAAAACGGCCATAAGTGCACTAAACATTGTTTTTATTCCGAATTCATTGTCATTTTTAGAATCCCCGTAAAATTTCCAATATTAATGTTACAAATTCATTGAGAAGAAACATCTGCATAAGCCCTTATTTGGCATTTGAATTTTGAATTTGTGATTTTTTAGAAAAAAGTAATAACTTTTTCCAAAATTTTTCCATACTACACTGGACTCTAGAGAGTGTCAAATATTACTAAAAACTTCTGCAGTTAATATCCTTTAAAATTATGTATAAACATAAACATCTACTGTTCGTTTGATTTGTTGCTCTCAAATTTAAGAATTTCTCTTGAAAAACAAGGAACGGCTAATGTTTAATTTATTGGGTATTATTGCAATTTTCAGAATCCTTGTAAAATTCCTAATATATTTAGGAATTGTTAGGATTAACACTTTATGAACCTATGTTTTGTGATGTATCTTTATTTAGGGGTTTTTTCTTATTTATTGGCATAGCTTGAATATCGTTTACGGTGTTAGTTCTATGGTACATTCAACCGATGTGCGAGATTGACTTAATGCAAAATACACAACTTAAATGATAACAATGATAAAGAAGAGTTATATGGTGTGGCTTGTTGGCATGCCAGGTCGCCAGACCTTAAGTCCACTAGACTTGTTTTGTGTGGCTATGTGGAGTACTTGGTCTCCTCATTTTTAGTGGAAGATAATAAGGAAATTTACAACTGGATAATGAATGCAGATGTGCTAGTCAGAGGAACGTTGTATTTTAATGTTACTGTTGGTGCCACTTGCAAAAAAACTTGGCTGTATATCAGGGAAAATAAAGGAGATTTTGAAAAAAAAACTCAAGTAGTTGGCATCAAATAGAAGGCAACTATTAAAACGTTAAGGAAGTAAGGGACCGTTATTTAAGTTTCGAATATTGTGTGTTTTAGAATTAACTTAACGGGGTCAAAAGTGAGAAAACCCAATTTTTACCCCATAAAACCCCCCGTAAAGCCCCGTTCCCATGGTCCGATCGTGCTGGTTCGCGAACTCATTCAAGTTTATCCCGCTTTACACCTTTAAACCAAATTTCATCAAAATCGGACAAAAATTACTCAAGTTATCGCGTTCACGGACGTATATATATATATATATATATACATTTAAACGAATAGTGTTTTTGGCCTCTGGGGATATCAAAATGAAAAAGTAAATCGGTCCCGGGTCTAGGTATTACCGTGCCACCTACGGTAATAGCTACTTCCCTATAGGGAAATTCGCTAAAAGGTTGACAGGTAAAAAAAACTGTGTAAAGGTCTATCTGTACAATACGCATATTATGTACAAAATGAATGTTTCTCAAAAGACTCTACATGACTGGAATGACCTGTTGTGAAAAGAGATTCTTTAAACTAAAGTGCATTGGGATTTCGCAGTAACGCGCGAGGGGATTAACATAACTTACTGAGCACTGTTCACTCATAATGATTCATTCTCCTTTCCAAGTACTGTTGATGAGATTCCTTGCAGTAGTCAACACAACAATTGGTTACATTGTAGGCATACCGGATGCCTACAACTACATTTCACAACATGTATTTTGATCACCTTTATCATTACAAACTATAAATAGCACATGGTTTGTGTCTGAAGAAACAAGAAGGTTCTTGTACAACTGAAACTAAATACATTGTTTTTCATACTTATTAACATGGCCTATTTACTTATTTACCTACTTATTAACCAACAGTTTGCCCCAAAGGCAAATCCCGTACATCAAAATTAAACAGCGAATTCGTTTGACTTAGTTGAGATTACAAAATAAATAAATAAAGATAGGCCACTAAATAATGAAATGTTTACTATTAATTAAAAACAGAAATAGAAAACCAATCATTCAATTTCTAAAATCGGCCAGGGGGTAAAATTCCGGGGGGTAAAATTCCGGGGGTAAAATTCCGGGGGGTAAAATTCCGGGGGGGTAAAATTCCGGCCCGTACATTTCAGTTGTCTAACACTAGTTATATGGACAGGGGGTAAAATTCCGGTTTTTATCGCTAATTTAATTAATCACGCTCTGACTATTTTCATTAGACTTCGAAATCCGCGGGGGTAAAATTCCGGCCGCGAACAAACTTTTGGCCACTCAGGTTACTACGTCATAGTGACGTCAGCTTTGCCCAGGGGGTAAAATTCCAGGGGGGTAAAATTCCGGCGACCCGAGGAAACACCATTACCGCAACGATACGGCCAGATGCCATCGGCCTCGGTGGTATAGTGGATAGAGTGCCGGGCTGATGAACTGAAAGAGCCAAGTTCGAATCTCACCCATGGCACTATTTTCGTGTCTCGGATTTTTTCATTATCAGCAAGTTTGGTTGGTTTGGTTAGGTTATGACAGTTTAATTTTATAATTAAAACATAATAAAATTGAATTTGAAACATTTATAGTTTTATTTTATTAACAGAACATTTTTTTTTCGATTACACCTTTATTCGATTTTTCATTATCAGCAAGTTTGGTTAGGTTATGGCAGTTTAATTTTATAATTAAAAATTTGAATTTGAGGCATTTATAATTTTATTTTATGGACAGAACTATTTTTTGGATTAATAAACCTTTATTGGACTTTTTTTTCATTATCAGCGCGTTTGGTTGGTTTGGTTAGGTTATGACAGTTTAATTTCATAATAAAAAATTATGAAATTGAATTTGAGGCAGTTATAATTTTATTTTATGAACAAAACTTATTTTTAAATTAGTAAACCTTCATTATAGTCAATCAGAAGCCTCTAAATGACACTGTTGGCAAAACTAATCCTGGAATAAAAATTCTGCTGGAGGGAGGGTAGAAGTTTCGCTCCCGAACAGATTCAGTGGGCAGGGACTAGCCGCTAGCATAGAACTAATACGATCATGTTTTATCTATGCCGCTAGTCTCTCTGGTTAAACAATAAAGGAAAACGTGCCACTGTTTTTGCTGGTTTGTTTTCGGTGTTTCGTGTTGTTATGTTGGCCGTACAATCGGTTGGTGGGATGCTGTCAAATTCCAGTTCTTGGTTTATGATCTTGTTAAAATGGGTTGCTCCGTTGCTCGTAAAATGAATAAACAAACTTATATTAATTGCAATCATAATGTTGACATATTTTTTTTACTATCAACCTATCACGAAACTCTTAAACAAAACCAGCAAAAACAGTGGTACGTTTTTAAACAAAGAGTGGTTACTCGAGTTATTATTATTGCTCAGTGAATGTCACTTATCTGCCATGTTATCTTATGGGACGCCTGGCGCTAGACAACAATACTTGCAACGTTGCCAATCCTACCAGGCCGCAGCCTGAAGTCAAACACGAGTTAAATAAAGATGGCCGTGCACGAATACTACTATCCAAAACCACAGTCTCCAAAACTAAAAACAATGCGTCCGCTGTCTACTCCACCGCTGGTGGCTGTCTTGTCTCCACCATCCTGTTTCTCGACCTCGTCTCGTCTTCTGCTTCTCTTCTCTCGCTCCCGCCATTCACGTAGCACCAGTGCTCTTGTCCAGACGTCTGTCGCGCCATTTCTTTTATTCATATTATTTTATTTTGACTTGGCCCTTTTGTGCTTGTGTAGTCTTCATATAACAAAACCAGCGTGTTAATCATTAATTAAGGATTCAATTACTTGGTGAAGTTTGAATTTTGTTTTTACAATGGCTGTGCAACCTTCAGTCGTAGAGTATTTTAATAGTCGCAAGAGACCAGCTGTTGATGAACCACGAAAAGGTCCCAAAGCTTCCAAAGTTATTGTGCTGGATGCTAGTGAAACTTCTCAGGACACTGAAAAGCCTACAACTATTCATAACTCACTTGTTAAGAAGTTAGTATTCAAGAGCAAAGAGGCAAATAATTTAACTCAAAAGAACATAAGTGTTTCTAGCTCCAAATCGAATCAAGCCAAAAGCAAGGTAACTAGGCCTAGGCCTAGGAGAAGTCAAAAAGATTCTTCGCAACTGGATATTAGGACAACTTTGTTTAAGTCTTGTAGCAAAAAAGTAGAAGGTGGCAATGGTGTCTCAAGTTCTGATTCCGTCGGAGTTGTACCAGAACCTAAGGTAAGAAATCTAGCCCTAGGCTATCTTAACTAAGAACAAGTTTGGTTTCTGTTTGTTCGGTAGGCCTATGCCTAGTTTTTAGGAAAAAAATGTGGTTCTTACAGTTCCGCAGAGTACTTACAATATGTTAACTTTTTGGATTAAATGTTCATTAGAAATAAATAACCTACCCATTACAATATATCGTTGGAGCTTATTTTTGCCGTTATTTTTATTTATGCATAGGATACACGTCCGGTAACCAAACGTGTCCGGCAGTGGTGTCACTGGGTTGTGAAGGTCCGGAACACCATTAACCCTTAGAGTGCCAGGCGAGAAATAAAAGTAACGCTCAAAAAATGCCGATGATTTTTCCCGAAGGTCGCGCTAAAAATGCCGAGCGCGATCTGGCGATTTTTAGGTTAGAATTTCGTAAAAATCGAACTTTCGATATTTCGACCAACGAAAATCGATGTATCGCATCTAGTAACTTTCGACTCAATGTTAATAGGTCTATATGGGTTAAAAGAATCCGAGTATCCATCCGGTTGTTATGACAACTGTTTGACCATTACGAAACGTCCGGTCAGCCGGACGTTGGCACTTTTGGCTCGTTTTAAAAACGTCCGGTTCCCCGGACGTTGGCACTCAAACGGTTAAGTTACCACAACTCTTATGACGTAGGCCTACAGCCAATTGGTGTTTGTGGTGTAGTGGATAGAGTAACTTACTCGGCTGATGCACAAGAGGTATCTAGATCGAATCCCATTGATGACACTAACTTCTTGCCAAAGATTTTGGTAATTATTGACCGTACTTACACTGGGATATAATGTAATTTTGATATGTCTACTTACAGTCTTTTTAACGCTGAATCCAAAAATGCAATCAGTTTTGGTCGGAGAGATTCCAAAGTGGCAGTACAGTTAAATAATGAATATTAAGCTTCAGTTTTGTTGATTTATTAACATATTTGTGGTATGGACGAGTCCAAGTTCTAGTGGCGACTAGCACTAAAAGGGGTGGAAGGTTTGTGGAGTGGAAACAGCTGTCAGTTGTTTACATTCGATACTAAACATTCGATACTAAACAGACAAAACCACACACGACACCATGAGAGCAAAATCAGAGTTACAATATGCAATAACTATCCTAGATTTTTAAAATAAAATGGACTTTGGTGCTGTTTAGAAAATACAATAAATCAACTACGATACATAAACTATTACTGTAATCACATGAACATAAATTATAAAACAGAATAGGATTTATTCACGTAAAATATCAGTAATAGAAGCTAGGCCACTGCCGACATGATCATCGTCCTCATTCCAATCCTCAACCATTGACTAATGCCTCAACGTCTGTTAATGAACGTGCCATAGTGCATAATCCCATAGACAATCCCATTGTGTCTAAAAGTGAAAACGTGCCACAGTGCATAATTTAGAGGCGGTTTGGGAGCTCGGTATTAGTGCTAGTCCGTGACTAAGAACCGGATATTTCCAGTATTTAGGCTGCCGCCTAGAAAACGGGTTTGGGAGCTCGGGATCAGTTAGGCGCGTGCCTAACTTGTGCAGGGATAATCTCGCGCCTAAATATTGTTGGTTTGGGAGTCAAGTAGACTTATTTCGGGACTAAGTAGGCCTAATATATTTTCGTCATAAAAATTAGTGACTTTAGTCCCCAACTTTAGTCCTGTCAGGGGGCAGGTCTAAGTCGACATCATGCCGGTATTACCTCATTATTAAGTTAATTGTTTACATATTAACAAAATGAATGTTATATTTTAATTCGTTATTAAATTCCGAACAATTTCATTACTCTCAAAGTATATTAGATAAAAGTTTTTTTAAGGTTTCTGTTGTTCAAAATTTTAAAAAAAAATCTTGCAGAAAGCTAAATTTAACGAAAGATTATTTGTTTTTTGTTTATTACTGTTAACTGCAATAAAAAAATGGACCCTAAATAGAATTTATTTCAACTGAGAGTTTGGTTATAAGCACCCGTTTCTTAATAATAAATATTTTATGAGCTAAGAAAATATTAGTGACCGCATACATACCCCCCCCCCTACTCACCCCTTACGAAAGAGTGAAGAGATAATAAACAAAACAAAAAAAACTGCAAATAGCTCACAGTCATAATAGTTTTATTTTTATTGCGTTGTGATTGAGCTCAGTTCAGTGTCAATGACCAAGTGCTAGTTACATCAAAATGGAGTACCGTACTTAGATATTTGGAGTATAAGAAAATATATACATAAAATATATAAAATAACAAGAAATAGGATTTTAGAACAAAATCCGGTTTTATTTTAAAATAGTATGTTATAGTCTTTAAAGTTTTGATAGTTTATTTCTTTTTTAAAAAATTTTTATTTTTAATGGGAATTTTCCCATAAAACCCCATAAAATAACGGAAAAATAGGATTTTCCCAAAAACGGCTAGAACCATTTTGATAAAAGTTTTGTATGTTAGTCCTTTATATTCTGAAAAAAATGGTACAAATCCCATTTCTGTAAAAATTATTGTTCAAAAGTTATTGTAAATTATGTTATTTTCCCATAAAAACCCCATAAAATAAGGGAAAAATCAGATTTTTACAAAAATGGCCCGAACGATTTTGATAAAAATTTAGTATGTAGTCCTTTAAATTCTGAACAAAATTGTACAAATCCCATTTCCGTATATTTACTCTCACCGCTTACACATGATAAAGGTTGTTGACAAACTTATGGGAGAAAGTATGTGTCAGAATGCTGATACCGTTTATTTTTTTTTAGGTTGACAAAACACTGTGGTTAATGATAATACTGTACAGGTACCCATGGCAACAAAATTATTGAGTTTGATTCTTGTTCAGACTTAGATGACCACATCTCACCCTATTGGCCTAAATAAATTTTGAAATTAGAGGACATCAGTCAAATAACTAAACTAGACTCAAACGCCATTACTCACTCCGCCATCAATCTTGGAATTCCAAATCATTTAGAAAAGTAGGCCTAATTTAGTTTTTGGAAAAAAAGAGGCACAAGGCATACCCATTCTGCCTTGTTAAGGCGGCATATTCTTTACTCATCCTACACTCATCTCCATTCATTCTTGGCTTAAAATACCTACTTTGTATAGTCGCCATTTGATTGAAAAGTATTAAAGTATCACAGAACAACTGTTTGGCTTAAATCAGTTTTAGTAACTCAACAGCATGTCACCAATGTAACTCCATACCTTTTCCCATCAAGTCCATAGAAAACCGATCCTTGCTGTGATGGTGGTCCTGAAAGAATATTATTTCAACTGGATGGCAGTGGCTTGTTTGACTGTACCGTATGTTAGGGAAGTGGGAGAAATTTAGGTATTTTATTATTTGTTATGTTACTAACTTAATTGCCTTTTATGTCAATGTTTAGTTGTTGCTTTTTTTAGCTTAACTGACCACGAGGGCCTAATTTCGTCTCAATAAAGAAGGATTTTCATTTCATTTCTATTTGGTGGATCTTGTTCCACATAATTTGAAACAAAGAGGGTTGTAACCTTATCAAAATATTGTATTTAGTTTGACAATGGCAAATATTTTTTGCAGGATGAATCTCCAAATGAAACACAAAATACTGAACGGGCCAATTTGCCAACTGTGCCTTTCCTTATCAGAGGAGCACTGTCTCCATCTAAAAACAAACAGTTACAGCCAAATTCTGAAGAGGAAAAAGAGGTGACAGTAAGAAATCCAAATGTCCCAATAACTACTGAAGCGTCAACATCAAAATCAAGGAAGGTTTGTAAAAAAATGTATTCTAGTTACTATAGTCTGTTCAGAATATTTAGGAGGTTTTAGGGAAATTTCCCCACCACTTTTTTTCTTGGCTACTTAGGCTAAATGTATGGTGCAGATAATTGATGTTTTGACAAATCTCAGCTGTTGAGCTATAAGTCTAGTCATATTTGAGAAATTACCTAAAAAAACTCTTATATGTGTAAAACTTGGTAAGTAAATAGTTTAGGCCTATTTAAAACATTTTTAAATCACAATTAATGTTTTTTTACAAATTTTCTAATTTATCTTCTAAATATTACATTTTATGGCTAAACAGTTAATTATATAAAAATATTCTTAATACAAAGTTGTAGCTCTTTCTTTAGCAAACATTCTTTAGGCCTACATTTATAGTATGAATAGTTCTTTTATGTTCTTTTATAGGATGAATAGTTTTTGAGTAATCAGGGGGAAAAACTGGTTTTTAGACGCCATTTTCCAAGATGCCGGCCGTAGCACAAGTTTTTTTTAGGTCTTTTGGTATGTTATTTTAGAAGTAAAATTCAATATAGCCTACGCACCAAGTTTTACACTTATAAGAGTTTTTTTTAGGTAATGGAGATATTTTGATTTAAAATGACTAGACACTATATGTTTTAATGGTAGGATCAAGATGTGGAGGGAATAGATTTCTTCCCCTAAATCCACCTAAATTTTGCGAAGGAAGTATAGTTGATGTTGTTTGCTGATAACTAGGGATGGACGAGATTGGATTTTTAGTTTGAGACGAGACGAGACGAGATTTTTTATTTCTCATAAAATTTCGAGACGAGATCGAGACGAGATTTCTCTTCTCATACACAACGGGAAATGCACGTTCAAAATTTTTACCTGATTTTGTAACATTGTTAGATGACTGTTTAAATACTAAAATAATGATAATAGGCAAGAATATTTACAATCTTTCATTAAATAACATCAGCATAACATTTTTTTATTATGTAATCACGCCTAACTTATTAAAAATGCCTACGATTAGGAAACATGGTGATATCAGTTAGGATAGAGTTCAACTTATCCTAAAATAAAATAAATCATAAAATAAAAGCAATATTAATTTTTATAAAATAGTTACTACTTGTTTTGACTTTTTTTATAGTAATAAAACATTCCTCACACTGCTTACACTTAACAAAACTTCTCAAATGTTATTAAAGTAATATTATTAAAATAATGAAAGTAATATTTACATTAAAAGAATTAAAGTAATATTTACATTAAAAGAATTAATTAAATAAGAACGCCTTCGAAAAGGAAACGCAACTACAACACGCTCCTGTATTGCGGGTATTGCATTGACTTTCTGCAGGCGTTTTTTTTTTTTTTTTTATTCTTGTCTCGATAAAAATCTCGGCCAAAAAGTAATCTCGTCTCGTGTAACGAGATTGAAAATTTCCCGAAATTTTGAGACTTGACCATCCCTACTGATAACTTTTGCTTAGGCCCACATTTCCAATAACTGTATTTGGTTTACCGTCTTGAGAGTCAACAGTAGGCCTATAAGTAAGTTAGTATAAAATATATTATTGCTAGTGTTATCAGAAAATGTTTAAATTGATTTCTTATTACTTACTGTACCTACCTCTCAACGAGTGGTTTAGGTGAAATAATCGAGAGTGCTATTTAGTTATTACTATTTTCTTTATTTTGCCACAAAACCTTTTTACATTACAACATGGGTAGAGGTTGTCGAGATAAGTTTAGAAGATACACTTGGTAGTTTTTGTAAGATCAAAACCTGTCTTTGTATGATCCGTCTACATTTTTTAAGGACAACTTCCATTTTTGCCGTTATATGAAATTGACCATCACATTCACCATTCACATGTTTACATTTTGTAGGAACTGAATTTGGGTAATATTAAAGCTATGATGACAAAAAGCTCTCGACTTGAAGAAATGAAAGCTGCCCTCAAGAGATTCAATGAGAACAAAACAAAGTTGATGGACTCGGTAAAACCCACTCTAGATGATTCCGAGCAGATTGAGATAACAGTTCCTGTGCCAGCCAGGTGAAACCACAAAGTTTTATATTTTTATACTTTTTCAGAAATACACGGTAGGCCTAAATACCGTTTGAGCTAAACGGCCCAAGTGTAACAACCATTTTGTGCCCATTAAAATAGCTCAGACTTACTTAAAAAACTCTCCTTCTTTAATATAATAAAAAAAAAGTCTTATGTTGAAAGTTACCAAATAATTAACACCTTTTACTAATTTATTTTCAGGTGTTGTATAGATATTCTATACTAAAGTTGACATCCCATTCCCATGTCAAAGTTGTTGCCAATTTCAAAATCATAACGACTTTCATAAATTGAGCCTCTTGGTGTATTTAATGTCTCCTTATTTATACTCAGCCTTTTTAATAGTGCCAAACTGGAATAGCAAAACTCATTGCACTTTTATTAAAGCAAACATTCAAGGACTGGAATATGTCTGTTAATTATGTTGTTTGTAGTTTGTAGTAGTCTTTTTCCTAAGCTTAAATAAAGCCAGAGTTTCAGAGCTTTGCTCCCTCCCCTCAAAAACTAAAAGAGTGAATCAAAATCACATACTAGCATATTCTCTATGAAAGACTGTCATTCATCTACCTATGTTTGTTTGAGTCAACAACTAGCTACAACCTTGACCACAGTGTGTCTTCTTCACCATTAAAAGTCTATACTTTGCAACTAAAGCCAAAGGAGTTATTCTTGTGATTAGCTTGTCAATAATTTTAACCTTAAAAATAATACAGTTGAGTAATGTATGTTACCTTTACAAAGATTTTCTACCATTTTAAAATGTAACTACCACAACTGCTTTTGCAGGTTCCAAATCGATTGAACTTATGTCAACATTGTTTTAAAGCTGTGCTTTACCCACAGCCCCATGAAAACCCCCAAGAAGCTGGATCGTGGTGCTGCTTCACCTCAATTCAAACTCAACCCGACCAATCTGTTTGCTAGCCCCCCCACTCCTGTGCCAGCTAGTCCACTCAAATCTCCCTTCAAGTCCCCGGCCTTCCAACGATATCAAGCACTCGTCACTGAAGGCAGGTCAGTAATAATAGAAACGTTCCTTATCACTCCATCACGATTTAAATGCTAAATAATTTTTTCTCAACATGAACATATTATGTTTGTATATCTAGTTCAGCCACTAGTCTTGTAATATTACTTTAATCCTCAATTAATTTGATTGTTTTGAATATAATTTGATATTTAAACGTTACAGTATCTCTGATCCGTCAAAAGTAACTGTGCTGGCATACTACATGATCTCAGAATTCTTACACTTACCATCTTCAAGCCTCAAACTAGAACAAGTTTTCGGTTTAGGGCCTAAGAGAAGTTCTCAAAGTGAAACATTATTCATAATAATCTCTTTATTGCTCTCAAACCAACATTGCGTTCACAAAGGTCAATACATTTAAGTAGGTGGGGATAGCCTGCAATAGCTTTTCTCGCACATAAGAAAATAAAATTGTGTTATAATAGGATAGAATTCAGCTAAGCTTATCTGAGAAAAATAGCTCCAACAGACTCTATTTTTCTTAGCTAAACAGGGTGAACTCCATCCCTTTCCAATACACTTTAAATTTCAACATTTATAGGAAAATATCTTTTACTCAAACTCAATCACACTATCATCTTTTAATAGAACTGTTGAAAGATCTCAGCAGAAAAAAGTTATACTCATATATTGAATAAAACATTCTACACCGGTAAAGGTTTTAATTGTGCAAACACAAGTGAATTGAAAGATCACTTAATGCCATTACAAATGTACAGTTTTATTCATTATTGTTTTATTTGGCTTTTTCACACAATTCATTTTTATTCTCTTACTATTAGTTCAGTTTTCAACAATTTATTTAAAGTTAGAACTAACCTAGATACAAAATGTAATAAAAATCAATATTTTAGATAAAATAGGATTGGTTACTGGTTAACTAGGCCTATATCATATTTATGTGTCCATCAGGCCAGCTCTGGTTTTGCCGTTCAAGTATCGGGCCCTTGCTGAAACGTTCCGCTGTGTTGATACTGTAGCCTCCATGCTACACAACCGCAAAGAAACTATTACTCTCTCCAAGCTGCGGCCCGGTGTGCAGGAAATTTCTAGAAAGTAAGTCAGTCCAATTATTTCTTACTTTAAATTAGTATGTTTTAAATCATTATAAGATAGGCCTACTTATTTTACTTGACATTCATCGCAAGTTAATACCTCATATTTGTTGAATGATGTTAACGTATTATAGTTTATTATTAATTTTTTTTTACCAAAACATAACCCTAGTTTGATACAAATAGCCATCATTTTATTACACAATAAAATTCAAATTGTGAATATAACACAAGTTTCACAATCTTATATTTGGGATTCGTCCTAACTTAAATAATACTGTCAACAGTTAGTTAAGTTGTTCTTGCCTTAAATAAAAACACATAACTTAATCGTCTGCTCTGCTTCAGTGTTGATTTTTTTGGAATATAATCTGATTAATTTATTAGAATTTCTAGGCTTTAGGCATAGTCTCCTCTAACACAAGGTTACGGCATTGGTTTGTGGCAAGGCTGGCTTATTGCCATGGCAATAACAGTAATAAAAAAATATGTAGGCTAGGCCCGTTATCATAAATATTGTGGAGAAGCTCTCTTATGAATTTGTGCAACAGCTGTTTCGGTTGGCTGGGGCTACAGAATTACAACTTTTGTCTCACTGCAGCTTTGTGGTAAACGAGGCTATGCTTTAAGACAACCTAGTTCTGTTTGTATTAGAAAAATGATGTGCTGTCAAATCAGAAATTAGTAGGTAGTCACGGGGAAGGTTTAAATATAGTTTATTTTGTTTAACACGTCACACTACTAAACAATCTCAAAATATTTCTTACATGGTTCCATATCCTAACATTTCTACTAGGGATGGACGAGATTGGATTTTTAGTTCGAGACGAGACAAGACGAGATTTTTTATTTCTCATAAAATTTCGAGACGGGATTTCCCTTCTCATACACAACGGGAAATGCACGTTCAAAATTTTTACCTAATTTTGTAACATTGTTAGATGACTGTTTAAATACAAAAATAATGATAATAGGTAAGAATATTTACAATCTTTTATTAAAAAACATCAGCATAACATTTTTTTATTAATCACGCCTAACTCATTAAAAATGCCTACGATTAGGAAACATAGTGATATCAGTTAGGATAGAGTTCAACTTATCCTATAATAAAATAAATCATAAAATAAAAGCAATATTAATTTTTATAAAATAGTTAGGCCTACTTGTTTTGGCTTTTTATAGTAATAAAACATTCCTCACACTGCTTAAAGTAATATTATTAAAATAATTAAAGTAATATTTACATTTAAAGAATTAATTAAATAAGAACGCCTTCGCAAAGGAAACGCAACTACAACACGCTCCTGTATTGCGGGTATTGCATTGACTTTTTGCAGGCGTTTTTAATTTTTTTTAAATTCTCGTCTTGATAAAAATCTTGGCCAAAAAGAAATCTCGTCTCGTGTAACGAGATTTAAAATTTCCCGAAATTTCGAGACTTGACCATCCCTAATTTCTACCTTATATAACCAAATTGCACAATACAGCTGATATGTACGTTTTGTAAGAATCTTAGAAATAGTGATTTGACATATTATCTTAGTAAAACTGGATGTAGCCTAAATAAAACAACTAATAATATAATGAGAATAACTTAGCTCTATAATTATTTATGTCTTAGAGTTAACTTTAAATATAAAAAATTATATTTTTCAGAAATCTGACTGAATATGACTTAGGACAAATAAAAACAGTTTTCCCCGACGCTTTTGAATTTTCCATTGAGAAAATGCGTTCATTGGGCTCTGCTGAAAAATATGAACTAGTCTTAACCCCTCAACTTGAAGAATTCACCAAAGGTAAGAAAATGTTTTTCATTAGTGAGATGGATTGAAAAGGGGGTTTTGTTGGTGATAAGGCCTATATGGCTTGCGACATAATTCTGTGATAGGATATCCACAGTAAATTTAAGATCATTAAATTTGAGCAAAATAGTTTATTTTCCCTACCATCTGGTCCAAGGTTGGTAATGCACAATTAATTATATAGGTATTCAGACCTTTTGGGTTATGTTAGTGTCACAAGAACATTGTAAAAATTAGGGAGATCCAACAAATACATCTACTGTATCTTTCCTGTTATTATTAAACCAGTTATTGCTTTAAAACTCATGCACTGGGTGTCCCATAGCTAAAAAGCCGAACCCCGGGAAATGGTGAAAGTAAGTCTATAGGCGAAAGTAAAGAGATAATCAAAAATGAAACTATTTCCAAATTTTTTTACATTTTTATCTGTAGATTGTTCTAACCAATATGAAACTTGGTATGTAGGTATGTTAAGGTAGATGAGACCCATGTTAGATAAAAGGAAGGTGAAATCTGACTCTTGATCATGATTCCAGATGAAGTAGTGAGCTCTGATGACAAACATCTGATGATGAGTCCCAGTGTATTGCTTGCTCGCAGACGCTTCTTGTACAATGCACTGCTAGAGCTTACCAAGGATCATCATGAGGTAAGCACTACTCAACTATGAAACCAAAGCAGCAATGTTTTATATATGGGTCCAGGTGCCAGGTGCTGAACTTTATGATTAATTCTTGTATGCATTGACTCACCCCTTGACATACGTTCGACAATGAGACCTATGTGGACAGGAAAATTCAAATCTACAAGAGGCTACCATCCTTTTAAATAAAAACAGAAGTAGCAAGACGCCTAGTTACAACTTCAAAAAAATTAAATACAATTTGTGTTTTCGTGTTCTCTTCAGCAAATTCAATTAGTTTTGTCTAACCACAAAAATGTTGTTCAGTGGTTAACCCTGATATGAGCTGTCAAAAAAGCTGTGCTAAAATTCTTTTTCCACCAATAAAAGTCTTCTTAAAAGTTAAGAATTTTTTATACGCTTCTCTAAAGAATAAGTTCCAAGGGAGCCTATGGTTTTTTAATTCAACTGTAAGGAATTTCTTATGAGTTCATGCCTAGACTCTAAGAAAAATCATATTTGAAAATAAAAAAAAAAACCCTTTGAAAAAAGCCATATATTAGGTAATAAGAAAAATTTAGGTAAATTTAGCTTCAGTAAACTTGACCCACTGGATAATAGTCCAGTGAATAGAGGTATGTAAACTTACAAACGGTCCGGTAAGTCTAAATTTTTTATATGTTGTCTAGGATGGTAAGTAGGTGTTAAAACCGCAAAATGCACAATTCTACCCCCTCCGCGCCCGCCGCCATTGAAAAATCGAAAAAAATCGGTACTTTCTAGAGATTTTCACCTATATCTCCGTTTTGGTGCGTTTAGCGAAAAATATGTAATTGCAATGTTGTAGACAATTAAATTTCCTATATAAATTCAAATTTATTTAAAAAATTGAAATCTTACTACACATTGTAGTCTGCTGTAGAACAAAGAATAATATTACATTAAATTTTGCAAGTTTGATTAAACCTAATAAGTATAACAATTTGGTTCTAAGACTTATGGATACGAAAATATTCAAATTATTTTACAATAAAACGTAAATTTTTTTGTTATTTTGCCAAATCTCTTTCTTTAGGTCGCTGTAATTCAGTAATGAATTATTCTAGGATAACAAGTATCCCAATCACATGTATAGAGCATTTAATTACCTACAAAATGCTTCTATTCTTTAGGCCAACCGTTTGATGTGGGGCTGAAAAACAAACAAAACAAATTAAAAGAATGGGTCTATTTTTTTGCTTTTGTGACCTAAAAATTAACAAATTAACTTTCAGTTTTCGGGTTAATTTTCAGTTGATGAAACCATACTTACTGTACTTACTACATGTAACAGTGCAATGCTCATGATGCAGGTACTATATTCCTCCCTTACAAATATACACTGGTGAGAGGAGGTGTTAAATTTATAACAACCCACCAACACAGCAAGTAAATTTTTAAAGATTCATTTATTTAAACAAAATAAGATCAAATACTGTAATAATAAACGTTTAATAAATAGGCCTAAGTAAACTAATGGCTAATAGAATTAAAATAAACTAAATAACTAAAATTTATTACTGGAGCTTTGCTCGTTTAGTAGGCATCTTATGGGGTTATGCATATTATTCCACCCATGGCATGAAAAGTCCCTCGACCATCTACAGTATTGACGTTGAAGTCGGCGTTATCAAAAACCAGTTGGCAGAAAGCATCGCCACGGTTGGGTTTCACCAGAGGTAGTTGTTGTTGCATGATGGTAGACACTTCAAGTAATTGTGTTTCGTGATAAGAGGAAGAAAATCCAAAAGATTACATTAAATCTACCAGAAGCTTTGAACCAAACTTGTTGTACATGAATACACTTAATCCAGTCAGAAGGGGTGACACAAAGGACCTTGGTCTTGCAGCAGCTATGACAGCGTGCAATAAGGCCACACATTTCTTTTTCAATTTCTCCAGAGATCTTTTCTTGTTCTTTGTTATAACGGATGTCAGGAGAGTGGGCAAAGATTGTGGAATAACTGTTGCAACATCATTCAAAAACTGGTCAGTGTGTGGGTATTCTGTGTTATTGTACACCTGACATCTAATATCTTCCAAAACCATATCTGCTGCTGCTTTCACTACTCTTAGTCTCTCTCCTTCTCGATCTGTGGATTTCATTGTACTGTACCAGTTGTCGGTTAGTATTTTATATCGTGTATTTAAAACAGATTGTCGTTTTTTGTGAGTATCAACAATTAGGATATCTTCACCGTACTTCTCCAGTAGGCGGGATTTAATTGTTCTTGAATCGATTTGATGTTCACCCTTGATGCAAGAAATTTTGCAAAATAACAGAAAGTTTGATTTGTTACAGTTAAAAAAATTGAATATTTTCGTATCCATACAAGTCCACACAAATTACTATACATAATATATTAGGATATTTAACCGTCTACAACATTGACATTACATATTTATCTTATTTATTTTGATCTTATTTTGTTTAAATAAATGAACCTTTAAAAATTTACTTGCTGTGTTGGTGGGTTGTTTTAAATTTAACACCTCCTCTCACCAGTGTATATTTGTAAGGCAGGAATATAGTACCTGCATCATGAGCATTGCACTGTTACATGTAGTAAGTACAGTAAGTATGGTTTCATTAACTGAAAATCAAACCGAAAACTGAAAGTTAATTTGTTAATTTTTAGGTCACAAAAGCAAAAAAATAGACCCATTCTTTTAATTTGTTTTGTTTGTTTTTCAGCCCCACATCAAACGGTTGGCCTAAAGAATAGAAGCATTTTGTAGGTAATTAAATGCTCTATACATGTGATTGGGATACTTGTTATCCTAGAATAATTCATTACTGAATTACAGCGATCTAAAGAAAGAGATTTGGCAAAATAACAAAAAAATTTACGTTTTATTGTAAAATCATTTTAATATTTTCGCATCCATAAGTCTTAGAACCAAATTGTTATACTTATATTATAGGAAATTTAATTGTCTACAACATTGCAATTACATATTTTTCGCTAAACGCACCAAAACGGAGATATAGGTGAAAATCTCTAGAAAGTACCGATTTTTTTCGATTTTTCAATATGGCGGCGGGCGCGGAGGGGGTAGAATTGTGCATTTTGCGGTTTTAACACCTACTTACCATCCTAGACAACATATAAAAAATTTAGACTTACCGGACCGTTTGTAAGTTAACCCCCCTATTTTTGTCTCTATTTACTGGACTATAAGTGAACTTTGAAATGATTAGTCAGATTTAGGGTGAGAGCACCAGTGAATGACCGTTTTGTTTAAAACACATCATATCAATCTCTTTGTTTTGCCTATAGTCTATCACTAATGGTCTAAAAAGTAACTTTGGGACCTGGTTGTATTCTACCCTGTAACAGGTTAAAAATAAAAATAAAGTATCAATCATCCTTTTGTAACTAAAAAAAAAAAATTTTAATAAAATATGTTAAATATGTATGTGGTACGGTACGTTAATTAAATGAGTTAAAAATAATTTATTTTTTAGCTTCCAATTCTGTCAAATTGTAGGCTACATAGGTTTACTCTTTACTTGTAGTCTGATGATAAGTGTAACATTCAATTTTCACTTAGATGATATTTTTTATTTTTTTTTACTTAAAAATATTAAGTTTAATGGAATATACCATTTTGTTTCACTTTTTAGAATGAGATTAAACACTCTGAATTTACATTTATTTGTTCAAACTAGATAGAAAGCGGTTTAAAACTATAAAACACTTAGTGCTAATAAAATATGTACTTTTTATCCCCAAACAATGTTATAGTTTTGAAATGTCATCAGCATCAAGTAGGTTAGTTACGCAAGAGTTGAGTAGGTCGGAATGTTAGTTTCTCCTCAGCAACTAAATCAGCACAATACTGGCTGATGCTAACTAACTGTCCAGCAATATGGGCCATTTAAACTTGTCCTTGTCATTGTTGTTTAGTGTGTGTGTCTACTTTGATAAACTATGCGGAGGTTCTAAATAGCAACAAGGTAAACATTTTATGGATAAGGAATAAATGGCAAATTATGTTGTTTGATTAGAATCAACGTTATAGTAAATTTTTATTTTGTTAAAGAGATTAGGAAAATGTTAGGGTTTTGTTGTTGTTATTAATAATTGAAATAATTTATATCAAATTAAGGTTGTTAATAAATTAGAGTATTTTTACTTAATTAGAAGTAAATCATGTTTAGCAATCATTAATATAATTTTGGCTTTGTATGTTAAGCCTATTTTTAAAATCAAATCATCCATACCAAAAGTTTATAAGTATTATTGGACATATAGATAGTTCTACTAGAAAAATAAAGACAAGACGTTAAAAAATTTATAAAATTGTGTTAAAAGCTTCACTGAAAATTGCACTATAAATTCTATATACAGGGTGAATAAAAAGTCAAGACCCCCCCTCTAATATTTTTCCAAGTAAATATACAGAGATATCCTTTAGGTGGTCGAGCAATCTTAGCAGGAAGTTTCATTTTATCATTTTGAAATTTTTGAGTGTCCCCCCAAAAGGGGGGATTTGGGGGGCAACTCAAATATTTTAAATGTAAACCCCCTTCAAGTGACACCTCATTTTGAAGTGTTTACAAAAACTTAAAGAATGGTGAAAACTAGAGGTCGATATCTCTTCTCTATCCAAAATGGTAGCCCGTCAAATGTTGTGGAAAATCAACGGTAAAATTGTTAATATTGGCTGTCATTTTGGACAGAGAAGAGATAGCGAGCTCTGGTTTTCACCATTCTTTAAGTTTTTGTAAACACTTCAAAATGAGGTGTCACTTGAAGGGGATTTACATTTAAAATTTTGAATGTCCCCCAAAAGGGGGTATTTGGGGGACAACTAAAAATGTTTCAATAGAAACCCCTATCAAGTGACACCTCATTTTGAAGTGTTTAAACAAACTTAAAGAATGGTGAAAACCAGAGCTCGCTAACTCTTCTCTATCCAAAATGACAGCCAATATTAACAATTTTACCGTTGATTTTCCACAACATTTGACGGGCTACCATTTTGGATAGAGAAGAGATAGCGAGCTCTGGTTTTCACCATTCTTTAAGTTTTTGTAAACACTTCAAAATGAGGTGTCACTTGAAGGGGGTTTACATTTAAAATATTTGAGTTGCCCCCCAAATCCCCCCTTTTGGGGGGACAATCAAAAATTTCAAAATGACAAAATGAAACTTCCTGCTAAGTTTGCTCGACCACCAAAAGGATATCTCTGTATATTTACTTGGAAAAATATTAGAAGGGGGGGTCTTGACTTTTTATTCACCCTGTATATTTTAGTGAAGAAAAAAAACTGAGTATCTATTAAAGAAATAAACAGGCTATTTGTTGCTAAATAGGACTGTTTCATTTGTTACATTATGAGATATAATTAAAGATTTGTTCATTCAAAAAACATTATGAAAACAACTTTCTATTTATTAAATCTGGCTAGACTAAAGAATGTTTTGGAAAATTGGTGATTAAAATTAATAAGTTGTCTGTTTAAATAAATACTAAAACCAGGTTTTCTTTAGTTTTTTGTATTTGTCTACACTTTTAGATGTCTAATTCTTTCCATAAATACATACAAACTAGATATTTTTTTGTATATAGTATAGAGGTATATAGTAGGCTCCCCTTGGCTCCTATAATTTTGTTTTAAAAAGTGTTGACTCAGCTCCAGTTTGTAATAACTTTTCTATGAATAAGCTGGGGATATGAAACCGAGTCCTCTACATCACAGATGAAAAAACGATAGCATGTTTTCTTACTTATTCACCCCAAAATATATTTATTCTAATTAATTTCAATTAATATGTTAAAATTGTTATCTAGTGATAACATTTGATTTTTAATCAGTTAGTATGCAGCCAGTGAAGTCTGTGTGATTATTTCTGTACGTGTAACATAATGCTGTGTTGCTATGTTTTTAGGAGTTTTTGTCGTCTCTAGATCCCCCGATGAAGATTTCCCGAGCCCGTCTCACTCGCTGGCACCCGGAGTTTTGTGTTGACGAAGTCCCAGATGTTCTGTCCGAACCACTCCCACAACCACCCAACATTGAGAAGGTGGCCTCTGCTAAAGATGTCCTTGGTAAATTAATAATACCCTGATGTAACAAACCTGCAGACTAAGCAAATTTCCAATCGCCTGATTGAATTTTTACTCAAATATTTCGCTAAACAACTTTGATTCTTTCCATATTTAAATAACATAATGTTTAATCAGTACTCAGGTTTGCTGCTACAGAAATTGAGTAAAATGCTAATTGGCTTGTTGTGAAATAAATAAAGTTGTAAAATTTGATTAAAATATATTCACTAAACAAGCAAGCTGCGACAATTTACTTATTCTGCATAAAAATTATTAATGTGCAGTTCCCCCCCCCCCCCCCCCACGCCACGTATGATATCAGACAGAATGAATGACCGCTTTAACACCAAGCATTTTAACGCCAGCAATTTGTGCACTATTTCGTGGTTCCATGATTTTCTGTTTTTGTTACCTACATTAAACTTGTCCGTGCACAACCTTTTTTTCTTAGATTACGTTGAGTTCTATGTTTAAGTGCATAAATGAGTGAAGTAATCACAATGTTGGAGAGAGCGGCTAGAGAAGTGCATTGCTCAAAACTGCCGTCACCTATTAGGCTATTCCCCGAATTAATTTTGTAGAGCAGTAATATAATGTGAGTGTGATTGTAAATTTAAACTAAGTTTATTTTCCTAAAGTCACCTGACAAAGTGGGCTTCCTTGCACTGATTAGTACAGAAAGTTGCTAATTGCTAATTTTGCCGCACTCCAGTATTCCAACCAAATAACACAAAACATAATATAATGTGTAACACGAGTGCAAATTGCCTTTGCTGCACTCGAGAAACTTTCCACATCGCCTGCGGCGAGTGCGTAAATATTTCTCTGTGCAGCAAAGTGTCACTTCGCACACTAGTTACACTAGTACACTAGTTTCCTTTTTTTTTCAAACAACCGCTCTTTCTGCCTCGGGCTGTAAACTATACATATTCATATTTTACAGAACGAGCCCGTAACCTGTTTGTTGTGAACCCTCGTATGGAGCGTGCATTGCAGAGGTTGAGTGAGAAGGCTCCAACTCTTACCCCCGTCACCTCTGTCACTGCACTCCCCACACTAAACAAGCCAGCATTGCACGGTGTGCCGGCCAGCTTGTTGGAAAAGGTATCGTAACAAAAATCTCTATATTATCACTACTGTTCTCTTTTATTTGAATTTGAGTTTATTTCAAGGTACAGCCAAGTAAACTTTCAGTATGATTAATGTCCTAATTCTGCACAAAGTTCTGTTGCAAGTGTAGTTGAAGGATTCATTTCCTAGGTGCTGTAATAGATTGATGTAACAGAGATCAAGAGTTGTAGATTGAACTGTTTTCAAAAAAATACTATGGGAAAAACTAAATTAAATTCTATTGAACACCAAAATAGTCTAAATAAGCAAAGGACTATTTTCTTGGGAAAAAACTAGAATTTCCCAACATTAAATTCGGGTTATCTTTTGTTTTAAGTTTCCTGAAACATTCTGTCAATTATTGCTCTTAAAATTGGTTGTAGAGTTTAACAGCTACTTTGGTGGGGGGGGGGGAGGGGCTTTTATGTTCTTTAGTTTTATTTATTACATGATATGCTCAAAACATAGATGACTCCAAAACATAGACAATACTTGGAATACTTACTAGATTTATTAAGCTTCCATCCTCTACTTCAGCCTTCTATATCCACATTTAAACTTACTACCCCAAATTGGGGTACCAATCATTCAACACAAGGACAATTCATTTATACCCATAAATTAATTGGTTGTGAACAACAGGGATTGACGAGAAGTGATTTTTTTAAACATAAAGTTTAGTATTAGAGCTTCTACTTGAGTATTGAGTAGACTCAAGTAGCTTACTAAATTCCCAATAACTAATCATACATTTAAAATTTCCAAATTGTTTTTTGAATTATATAATAAGCCTAACTAGTTTATCTAATTGCTTAGAAGACGGCAAATTCGCCTATATCCGTGTTAAGTCCCATGTCCTCTATCAATTTCACAAAAATATACAACAGCTGCTCAGAAAATAGACACATCTATAGAATGATTTATGATTGTTTGATAAAATTATGTACAATATACATTAGAAACAGAAAGAGCAACTTCGCAACTAAACTACTTTACTACATAGGCCTAGGCGCAAAACAAATTGAGGCACTTATAGAGGTGGACAAGCTTGGTAACTCACAACTTGCAATCTCGGTTACTTAGTGTTATCATAGACTAAAAGAATTAAATATAGACTGTCAGCCGTGCTGCGGTTACCATGGTTACAATAGGTTCTAGCACACACCACTAGATGCACCGTGTAGTTACGTAGTGCGTAGGCCGTAACTACATGGCGCCCCCAACAGTGTGCGCCAGAACCTATGGTAACCGCAACACAGCTGACGGTCTATATTTAATTCTTTTTGTCTATGGTGTTATACAACTGGAGCTTATCCAAAAAGGGTTAAACTGATCGTAGATTTAAATGGACTATTTCTTAGTCTGGTCTAAAATCATTGCAATTTTGATTTGCTAAAAATAAATCTTTGTATCAGTTAGAAATATCTAACACTAAATCAGCAGTATATATTACTCAAACATTGTCACTATTCAGGTGAGAGCAAAGCAGGCTGCGCGAGCGTTGGAGGCGATGACTCGGACCCCATCTCAGGCCAAGGAAGCTGTGAGACTAACTAGGCTACCAGAGATTGCGAGGATCTTACGCAACCTGTTTGTGGCAGAAAAAAAGAGTGTTCTGCCTCGGGAACTTGTGTTGCAGAAAATGGCCGACAGCTACAGAGAAGGCTTATCTCACAGTAAGTAGAGAAACAAGATTGTTGCACACTAAAGGAATGTTTAAGTAAGGATGGGTTGGTTTTTGGCGTTAGTTATACAGGCTTTAGAAAAAAAACCATTAAGGCTATAATTGATATTTATTTTCACTTCTACTCTGGATTTCTAGCCATTTCCCAGATCTATCCTTTGGTTAGGCAGCCTGCCTCAACTAATTCAGCTCAAACTATGTTAGTTTGGTAACTGCTATTTTACTTTTTTTATTTTCCCCTTCTAGGGTTACTTATCACCTATCACCTAATTGTACCTATCAAATTAATTGTATTTTTTTGTGTATCTGCCAGTTAGTTGAGTGCCGATTCCTTCTATTCTTATCTTGTAACTCTTACTTGAAAAATGTTGATACTGTACAACTTATTTCTCAAACTTTCTAAATACATGTGTTTCAAGTACTATGTATTGTCTTGACTTGGCCTTTTGTCTTATTGTGTTTAATTGCTGAATAAGTTATTTGATTTGAGTATATTTGTTCATTCGAGTTTTTGGTTATTTTACTGTTCTGTTTCTGTTGTTTTATTGTTTTTTTTTTTTTTTTTTTTTTTTTTTTTTTGTTAGAGCTATCAAAGTTCCACTGTATTTTAAACTCCTCCACTCTTTTTTGACAAATGAATTTAAAAAAATTATTTACAGGTGAGTTGGACGATCACTTGGTGCTGCTAGCAGAGAAGACCCCAGGCTGGATCTTGTTTTGCACACTGCGGAAGACTGACTTTGTTAAACTATCACGGAACGCAGACATGAGCAAGGTGATGACAAGGCTAGAAACACTGGCGGAAGAGAAGTGCTTGTAAAGAAGGGTTTTAACTTTTTAATGACAGTTTATATAAGTAGTAGGCATACATGTGTTCAAAGTTTAAACGAAAATTGTCACTCCCATTGATGCCATTTGTAGTATAAGGTAGGGAAAGTATAACTTTTGAGTGTAAGAACAGTTGATGATTAATCTTCTCCTAAGTGAAGTGAAGAGATGAGATTGGATAAAAAAAAAGGTATACTAAGACAAAATGTAATAGTAGAATTTGAAAGGGAGCATTGAAAACACCAGTACAAGGATTTATAACTTTTTATGAGATAAAATGGATCTTAGCTTTTTTAAAGCTATTAGAGAAAATTTAAGATATCAAGTTATACACCAACAGATAATATTTAACATGGAAAAGAAGATTGTCAATACCAATTGAGTCAGTATCACAGTTGTAATTTAATTGAATTTTCAACATTTAACACATTGAGAAACCCTTTGATTTTAAATACTTTTTTACGAAGTGTACATTAATTCATTCTCATGTCAAAGTTGTCGCAAATTTTAAAATTTAGTTAAAAACTTAGTTAAATTTACTAAATTCAGTCACGACAAAGTGTGTTAATGTAAAAACATTTTATTCCTTGCTCACCAACGTTTTAATTAGGCTATGTTAACTGAATTGGCAACTTACTTATTGGAATTTAGCACATTTTATATTACCTTAACTTATAGTATAGCGAACTGAAAGAGAAAATAGAACTATCATATGCCAGAGAAGGCTCGTGTGTGAAAAAAAAAACACTGGCACCTAGTCCACATAGATAGGATGTTTAGGCTACTTAAAAAATCAATTATAAACCCCAAAAGCAAGTTTACTTCATAAGCCTTGAGAGTCGTTCTTTTAATGTTTTGCCTAATTAACTATTTATTCGTAATAGAATCAGCAAACATGACATATTAGGATATTTTTCTTTGTGAGTGGTTTTTGGTTACTAATATTCATAAAGTTTTGGGTCAATTATTGTATTGATAAATTTATACTACCCATTTGGGATAATAAAACAGTAGTTACATTACTGATCGTTTCTAGTTTACTTCCTGATTAAAACCAAGGATTTTAACTTAAAATCTTCAATATTAATATTTTTTGTTCTTTAGCTTTTAATATTAAAGATTAAGCTTCTCCGTTGCTTCTTCTTGAAGCAAATTACTGAGGTTCCTTCTAAATACTACCAAGAGAAATCACTACTACTTATGATACATTTTTCAAGTTTTTGTTGTTCAGTCACAACTTGCCCAAAATAGCTGTATTTACAATAATAATATAACAGTATTTTGAGTGGTTTAAAACTGCAAAAGAAAGACTCCCAATCCCAATAATGAAAGTTCCGAGTTACAGTAATGTAATTTAAAAATAATATTTTTACACTGAGGTATTCAACAATCTAAATAGATATAGTCTGAATTATGAAGCTATATAATTCTAATGTATTAATTAAAGATCTCAATTTCAACTCTTAGTATTTTATTGGTTATAATTATTATGAATCTGTTTCTTCTTGGAGTTTTGCTATTTTCTGTAAAGATGGCCTTTTAGTTTGTATTAATATTAATAGGCTGAATTTGAAGTTTCTGTAGACCAATTGATTACTGGAAAATAGTAATCTGTTAGAGTTAGGTTTGTAGTTTTAGTGTGATTGTAATTATTTCCTGATGTTTTTTGTCAATATTGGGATTATCGTTCAATAAGCTGATCTCATTTTACGTGTTGGTTGTGACCAAAATCATTAGGTTAACCATATATTATGTTTCCTGACCATTGCAGCCTACTTTTATTTTCTCCAATTTCATTTTTTGTGATGTGTAATAGGGGTGTGCAAAGCAGCAAAAGATTTTAGATTCAAAGCAACGATTTGATTCAAAAGATTTTTGATTTGAATTGATGCAACTCGATTCAAAGCAAAACGGCATTTTTATACATATTTTTCAATGGAGTGAAGTTACAATAATTAAAATTTAACACATTTGTGTAATGCAAATTTTTTGTTGCAAAAAAGCTTTATTTTTGCCATGCGATTAATTTTTTCAATCAATTAAATTGAATATCCACTATTTTTTATTTTTTTGTAGATATTTTATGTGGTAATAGGCCTATTCTCATACATATAAATTAAATATGACGTTTAGATGAAAAATATTTATTTTCAAAAATTCAATCATATATGACGATATTAAATCCTTGTCCATATACGTACGTAATTGAATCAGTGTCCATATATGTTATTGAGTTACTATCCATATACGTTATTAAATCTGTATCCATATACATTATTTTGATTTCAATAACAATAATATATATGGATACAGATTCCCTCATGAATCAAATTGTTCTTTTGATCACCACTGATTCAAATTGTGATTCATTGCATCGAATCAAATCAGAATTTTGATGCATCACACACTCCTAATGTATAATCACTTAAAGAACACTATATCAATCACACAATTCTAATAACAATTTAGACTGACCACAAGGCGGACAAGTTGGTACTCTAGTAAAGTTAAGAATGCTTCACTACGCAATCTTTCAGTGTGTTTAACCCTTCCTCTAGTTATTTTATTGTCCAAGAGGTTTTTATGACTATTGTCACAAGTAATTGATTAAAACAAAATAGCAGAATTTGCTTATCAGCCTGATAGTGATTTTGTAACTGTAACATATTGTGTCTTGTATGTGTGGCCTTAGTGTACTATTTAATGAATAATTTTATATTAAACTTAGCAACACTGTATTTTATTTATTTTATTCATCATTTATTTTATTCATCATTTTATTTTATTCATCTCCAACTGCTCTGTAATATTTCTGACTAAATAAACAAAAGTTAAAATAATATTTTGGTTTTTTTTACCCTCTACCTGGCAAACAATTAGTGACAAGTCGCTACAAGTTTTCCTCTACTGACTGGCAAACGATGAAGTTCAGAAATTCAGGGAAGGACAGAACAAACAGATTAAAAGCTTGGCCCTGAGCTTAGACAGAGTTAGTGATGTAAGTAACAAGTAACATCAGCTGTAATTCACAAACTTTATCATAACCCCCTGTGTTACATATTTAATAACATTACTGATGAATTATTCTTAAAACATTTTAAAACAATAACTAAGGCTACAATTATACTAGAAACCTAGCGGGCATTAAATCAAATGGGGGGCGATTAGACTAGGGATGCCAGCATCGGAAGCTAAACAATTTTGTGCGTCCCAGCCGGGACTATGAAATTCGGGTGTCCGATGACTTTTTGCATCCCTTGATGCACAAAATCGGTTGTGGGGTATTGGTTCAGAGGCGGTGCATTATACTAGGCTGCTAGGGTCAATCCATATCAAGTGATCCAATAAGAGTATTTTTTTATTCATTGTTCCCTCCTGTTTTGGAAGTTCAAACATGACTTTATAAAATTTGTATCCCTTCCCATTTATTTTAGCAGCCATTATCAAAGCATGAGGGAAAAATTAATAAAAAAAATATTAAAAATGGTCAAGCAACCAAATTATTTTTTATTGGGTCACTTGATATGGATTGACCCTCTAGCATCCGAGACGCTCTCTTCCAACAAGTGTGCAAATATGTCATTTTTGTCCAATTTCATGAAAAGGTGTAAGGCGGGATAAACGTGAATGAGTCCGCGAACCAGCATGATCTGATCTTGGGAACCACGTTTTATGGGGTTACAAGGGTTTTTTAATTCTTGATCCAAAAAAATTAAAATTTCCCAATTTCTCTCTTGACCATTTTAAAGAGCTTAAAAAGCAGATAATTTAGTATATTAAAGTGTTGTTGTATGGTTATTAGTTACAGAGAAAATTAAAAAAATGTACATTTAAATTTCTCATGTTATTCTTATGGAGGAGAATATTGTAATTTTCTTGTTTATGGATACATTTTGATAAATCTTAGCAGTTTTATTTAATTTTATACTAGGCTAAGCTATCAATATTTTACTAAAAACACACTTTATTAGCCTCCCTGAATCAGCAAACCTAGGTACTCATTAAACCTAAATATCCTTTAAATAGATATACTGTATACAAAAAGTGACAAAACATTCAATTAAAATATCATCTCAACACAAATCACGTGTTCAATAAATCACAAAGTGGAATGCTAGCATCCCGGACGTCAGCCTCCTAGTATGATCGTAGCATTAACTAATCAAAGTTGCACAACTATCTTTATAAAAAAACAGGCCTTTGTTTTATTACAGGGAGTTTAAAAAAATACTTGAGGGAGCTTAGAAAGATTATTTAGAACATTTAAATCATTGTATATTTTGTACATTAGAAAACCTTCAGTTTGGTATTTAACATGATATGGGAGCAACTAGGTAATGAATACACAAAATATGTTTTAGAACTACACTGTACCAGTTTTGGGGGGCTCTTTAGCTGTACAGCAAAAATTAATATCAAGCGTAGAATCATAAAAATGCACAACAAAGGGGTTCTTGTTCTTGTGTTGGGTATGACTCTTTCCCTTTCATGTAGACCTAAATGTAGGCTACAAAATGTGTCTTTATTGTGATGGTGAAATGTAAACTTTAAAAAGTAAGTAAATTAACTGTAAAAAAAAATGTTAACAATCACAAGCAATATTTTTGTCTTAAAATAAATTGTCTTCTCAGATGTAGTCTGTTTTAGTGTTTTATTCAAATTTTGTGTTGGTACAAAAAATAGCAAACTTGGTCTATTCTTATGGATGAAAGTAAAAAATAATTTCCAACAACAAAACGTTAAGTTAACAAGGTAAGCCTGATTGTGTAAGTTAAGCCAAATTATATTTATAATATTAAAATTTGCCAAATAAGTAGTTAATGCATCTTTAGAACTTAATGTGGTATTTTTACATCAAACTTTATCAGTTGAACATTTGTCTCCAGTGCTTGATGCTATTCAATGATGCTAGATGCTAGTAATTGATGCTAATCAATGGTTCACAACACAACCATATTTTTTACATAAAAAATCTGTAGAATATTTGGTTTATTTATTTTACTCAATTCAACATATTCAAAGCTAATAAAATCACAATGGACTATTGAAAGGATCTAGAGTTTTTGTTAGGATAGCAGCAGCCGTATCACAAATGAAATAGTCCATCCAGGCGAAAAAATGTAAAAAAAACCAAAAACTTTACACTAGACACAAAAAATATTCCACTGGAACTAAGAGTTAATCAACCAAGTTAATCTGGAGGTAATTATTCCTTGATAAAAAAATGCACAACTAAGGGGTTCTTGAGTTGGTTTTGACTCTTTCCCTTTCATGTAGACAAAAACAAAAATACCTAATAAAGGCTCTATGTTGCATTATCTATTAAAACGAGAAGTTAGGCAGAGCGCCGCACCACTCTGAGATAAACTTGAAAGTGTCCTGCAGGTCTGTGTTGGTAGGGGAGAGTCTCGCAGCCATAGTCAGCCGGTTCCAGTCCTCCCGGTTAGCCACACAGCCAGCACGCTTGAACGTGACGGTCTGCGAGGGCACACCAAACACTGGGTAGCCAGTGACCACACAGGGAGGGACCGGAGTGGAGGCGGAGTCTTGGCCGACCAGTGCAGACGGGTAGAGACCCCTAGAGTCTAGGGGGAGAACCTACACAACACACTGACTTAGTTAAGCAGCCGAATCAGTGCAGTTCATTCCACTATAGGAAACTGCATGGAGCAATTTAATGAAGATTATGTCAAATTTCTATATAAATTCAAAGGAGTAACAAAAATTGTAACAATTTTTAAATTTGTATCAGTCTATTGTTGTGCGGTATCTTTAGTATGGAGAGAATAGGAATTGTATATAAATATATCAATCAAACAACCTTCTAAAAGTAAGATACTGTAGGTCTAAAGACAGGACGTACACTCCATTTTCTAAAGGCAATGATATTTCATTCTTCCTTTAAGAAATATTTCAATCATCTATCAAGCAATAAAATCTTTTGAAGTGGTTGTTCAGCATTACCTGCTGGACGCTCTGGTCCATAGAGACAGCCAGCACCCACTCCTTGACTGCCTCGTGTTCTGCTTGAGGCAGGTACGGACCTGCAGGCAGTGGGATCTCCTGGGGAAAGTCTGTGGCGACAAAGTCTGAGTAGTCAAGGGAGTCGAGGCTGCCTTCCTCAATAGCCTCAACAATGTCGAGGTAATGGTTGAGGAACACAAACGCCTCACTGTCTCTCCCCACCTCCTGACAACAAACACAAAGACTGATAAAACATGTGTAATGTAAAGATAATAAATAAGACAGTGTTAGGACTTGTGCATTATTTACAACAAAGTTATGTAGCACTTTAACCAAAACGGAAACGATAAAAGACATTTTTAAATTATACTTGATATATTATTTAGCAATCTTGACAAAGTTTACACTTATTTTATAATTTTTGACATGACAAGAGGGAAAAAAATGCTAGGGATGTGTAAATTCTTGAACATGAATTAATATATGATTTGAGAATTGATTGCCATGAGTCAATGCCAATCCATACTCAACACGTCTGTGAAGATCATGCAATCAAAAAAATTCATGCTTTTGCCACAATCACAGATGCCATCGATAACGATTCTGTAACTGCAGGAGACAATGATAATGTCAACAGATAGGTTTATGATTTTGCCATGATCATGGAAGACAATGATGATGATCCCGTGACCATAGGTGATATTCAGAATTTTACTGTGATTGTGGAAGACAAGAATGATGATTCTGTGACCAATAAAGATATTCAGGATTTTAAATAAAGTGGAAGCAGTTAAATTAAATAGTAAAAAATTTAACAAAACATTCTTTTGAACAATTAAGAACAAATTCAGACACTGTACAGCAATATCTGCTATCGTGGTTATGTTTCCATTATATTTCGTTATATTTCCGAGATATCCAGGATTTTGCCACAGTTCTGTAAAACGATGATGATGTCCAAACGACCACGGGAGATATTCAGGATTCACATAAGAGCTATTCAAAAAGCTATTTAATAAAACCAAGTCAGTTCAAGTGTATACCAATCAAATAAAAAATTTGCTCGAACATCACAAATGACATACAAATCACTAATCAGTATGGTCTACGAGAGTCTGCAGTTGAAGGAGGAGCCAATTTACCACGTGACTTTGAAGGAGCCAATGAGGACAGTGCGGTGTTGCCAAATCTAATAATACCAGCTGATTTGAAAATATTATTTAGTATATTTTTTTATTTTTATTTGTGTCAAAAAGTAGTGAATGGGTGATGTTGCTAGTCCAGTCTTGGTATTGGCTGCCGCCAACTGCAGACTCTCCTGGTCCCTAGTTTATGTTGTTACTGCCAAGTATCTCACCCTGGCATGTACACCAGCCTCGTAGAACGCTTTGTCAGCAGGAATGACATCGGAGTGACGCAGCATCGCAATGCTGATGTTGGCCACCAGTTGCTCCATGTCCTTGATGCCAGACAGAACGGCCCGTAGAGCACAGTAGTGAGCCACTTGCATCAACACTCGGAACTCGTAATGAGTGGCACTACCGCCATCACTGCTGCCACTCATACCTTCGCTCTTGTTACAAAACATTATTGATTAATAACTATAGCCAACTGCTGGATTTTTGCTAGATTTATAACTAGATTACTATTAAAGAATGTGGTATCTTAATTTTTTTTTGCAATGAAAATATTTGAAAGATTTTTATAACAATTAAGTCTGCCTTTATCTAATCTAAAAGGCTGTTTTGGATCTTATATCGCCTGGCTGGTTGTAATAAGCTTGTATGTTAGTTCATTGGTATATTTGGTTAGGTAATTAAATTCCTCATATTTTGTTGAGTCAGTTATTTTAGGGTTAAATATTTTAAGTAAAAAGTCAGATTGGTGAGCAGATGACGGAATTTGTCTTAATGGAATTAGAGATTAGTAACAATAACAATTTGCAAGTTTTAGTTAAACATCAACATATAAACCCACAAATTTTTTATGTCCAAACCACTTTCGATGTCGTCTATCCGCCTCTTAAAATTCAAATTCCCTCGGAGTAACTCAAAACTTAAGTTTTAATATAGATTTGTGGAAGTAAATATCGATCAGTCTGCATGTCAACCAAAAAAAGAATTACCAATATTTACATCTTAACAGAAGACTTTACTAATACACTCTCTTCTAATAAAGCAACTAGTGTGTGATGTACCAGTTTGTACAGCATGTTCCTGAGCCTGGCCCATGTAGCATACACCTCTGTGCCAGACGCCCCTGTAGTGGCTATCACGTCTACACTGATGCGCCGGTAGATGTTGTAGTTCTGTGGGAAAGCTGGAGCTCCCATCTGAGTGTACAAGCTGAGGGCCTTCAGTGTGTCCCCGTCCTGCCATAGAACATACACAAAGTTATGCTGCAGCAAGAAGTATGTGTTTATCAATACATCAATTGACCAAAAAGTGATTAATTTCAACATGCTCTAGGTGTACTCTAGGTGTGGTATGAGGTTTGTATCCCTTCAACTATTTTTTTTTGCTTTGCTTTCAGCCCTGAGATGGTCCAAAAGTCAGTACCATACAGCAATCTTTTTGCTTCTATGAATGTGTATGTTTATGATTTTTTTTTTCTTTTGTTGGCTACTTACAAAATCATTATTGGCTTTCCATCTGTTCTAATTAGTTTGAGTTTTATGGTACCAACCAAAATGATTTTAAAGCTTCCACTTGAGAGCATTGGCTGATTATACCTCGAGGGGTAATATATTTAATGTTAGGAATCTATCGCCTCCAAGATGGTCAGATACATTTCTAACCCATCTTTAAGAGTTACGCTAAGTATTTTAATAATACCAATCCAACTCATTCCTACCTTGATGAGGTGGGTGGCGTACAGTGCCACGTACTTGTGCAGCACCTGGGGGCCGTGAGGTCGAGCTGTCTCCAGACACTTGGACCACTGGCCGCGCTCACACAGCAGATCCAGGGCCGAGATTATGTCTACATCGGCCAACTGATCCGCTCGGCCTTGACGCCTCAACGACTCCTTGTACTTCTCTTCCACATACGCCTCCAGACTAATTTGAAAAGTGAGTTCTCACTTAAACTGTCATATTAACAATTAAATCCTGGATATTTTCTTTTATAAAGTATTGTAAGTAGATACAGCTATTTATCATTGTTCGATTATTATACACTGTAACCGAAAGTTTAAAATTGAATTCCTCACCTCAAATATCTAAAACCTAAACGCAAAACATTATTATACTTAACTGGTTAAGATAAGAAAAAAAAACAGGTAATACTACAATTTGTGTAAATTATGCAATCAAAACTGAAAGAAACTGTACTTCAGACCCTGGACATCTATCTATATAATACAGAAGCCGTTTTTTGTTAACGCAACTCCTCCCTTATTTGTGGAAAAATTTCAACGTTTAAGGTGTCAAAAGATTGGTCCTAATATGTAATTTTGCAATAAGGTTTTAGAATTTTTAAATTCCTACTCTTAAGGGCGTGAGACCCTCTCAAAGGTCGGGTTTTCCAAGGGTATTTTCTGCTATATTTGAGAAGAATGTGTTAAAGTGTTCGGCCATTTCTTGTGTCGCTTGTGAGTTTGCCATTTATTTCTAATTCTGTAAGGGTTTTCTCTTCACATTTCCCTTTCCTTTCCTTGTTTATAACTTGCCATAGCGCTTTTGGTTTGTTGTCAGCTTGTTCTATGAAGCTAGCTGTTGAGGACATTTTTAGGTTTCTTAGATTCATGTTGTATATCCTTTTTCTATTAATCATTTCTACTTTGTCTTCATTTCTGTTTGTTAACTCAAACTTTTGCATAGCTTTCAAAAAGTTCTCTTTAAGGTATTTTGCTTCGGGATCGTAGTACTTCATGTTTTTTGTTTGTACTAATTTTAGTTTTCTTTAATGGGCATGTATAATCTAGTGCTGTTTGGAGAATATTATGAAATTTGCTGTAGGAGGTTTCAAGATTGGGTGAAGAGTAAACATGTTCCCAATTTTATGGAGGTGAGCCTTCAGTTTGTTTAGGTTTGTGTTGTTTAGGCTTCTTTTCATTACAAATCTTTGGGAAGTGTCTTCTTGGTATGTTTTCAACAGGCACAGCTGCGCAGTGTGGTCAGATAGACCAGTATGCACAATTGCACATCTTGTCCAGTAATATACGCATATGGTATGTTTGAGCATATACAGTCTATGGAAGTGGCTGTGTCATGGGTTATTCTGGTGGCCTCTAGAGGAAATCTCCAGATTGTGTGGTTAACTCTTCTTCCAGCATGGTGTTTTTGGAATTTTGGGTGAGCCTATCAATATTTATGTCACCGATGAGTATGAGGTTTTTCTTGTGCACTTCTTGTAGTTCTAGCGTGTCTGATAGGAGATCAAGGGCAATTCTTGCATTTTCTATTGGTGGTCTATAGATTCCCAGGATGTAGATATCCTTTTTATTTGTTGTCTGCATGCGAATCATTGCTGCTTCAAAAACTAACTCCTGGCATGTGTTTGAAATGTCAATAGCTGATACTGTATCAGCAAGGGTTTCCTTGGAATATATTGCTACACCTCCAAGTTTAAGTTCTTCTCTACTAAAGTGGGTAATTAAAGAGTAGCCGGTAATTTTGGTAGCTTCTAGTTCTGTTTTTTTCAGTCCGTGTTCAGTCAAGATTAGAATGTTTGGTTTTGTGTCACTGAGAATATGATGTAGTCTGTTCGTCTTTGTAGCAAGTCCTCTAATATTTTGGTGCATTATTGCTACACAAGAATTATTTGGAGATTTGCTGATTTTTCTTTTGCTTTTTTCAGGCTGTTTGTTTCTAAAAAAGAGGTTATAGTGTGGGGCACTGTAGAGTGATTGGATTGTTGACTTGAGTTGAGTTCTTGCAGCTGTTAATGTTTCTGTTCTCCTTGGTAAGAGAGGCAGTCCATCTCGGTCATGTTTAGTCGTTTGGTGTGTGACAGAGTATTCTTTTTATACAGGGTGATTGATATAAGTGTGCCAGCCGTTTTATTCGGAAACTATAAGAGATATCAAAAAAAGTTAAATGGTAAGTGCCTTGGATTTTTTATTTTAAAAATTGAAGTCAAGTCAAAAAAATTATTTTAGCCGCAATTTTTCCAATATGGCCGCCAACTTTGATTTTTCTTATAGAACACCCTGTATTGTATGATGTATTCCGGTAGAAAATGTAATTTTAAGACGATTTTATTCTTGTAATTTTTTTCATAAACCTAACCGTTTCAAAGATAATAATGGTTAAAGTTTTGAAATTTCTGCATGAGAAAGAGTTTCGACAAAGGCCTAAGCAAGCATGCCAGCTGTTTTATTCGAAAACCATTCAAAATTTCACAACTTAAACTTTTATTATCTTTGAAACGGTTAGGTTTATGAAAAAAATCACAAGAATAAAATCGTCTTAAAATTACATTCTCTACTAGAATACATCATAAAATACAGGGTTTTCCATAAGAAAAATCAAAGTTGGCGGCCATATTGGAAAAATGGCGTTTAAAATAGTTTTTTTGACTTAACTACAATTTTTTTAATAATAAGTCCAAGGCACTTACCATTTAACTTTTTTTGATATCTCTTATGGTTTTCGAATAAAACGGCTGGCACACTTATATCAATCACCCTGTATAGGTCTATATTTTTCCAAAAGAAGTCTTCAATGGTCTCTCCCGGCTTAAGAAGCTTGGCGGAGATCGGGGGTTTTCCTGTGTTCTTTGGTTTAGTTGATTTGATTGGGGGAGATATAGTGCCCTTGAAAGTAGAGCAAATTCCTTTTGGGACTTTGGCGGCCTTGGGTTTTTTATTTAATGTTTTGATTTTGGGTTTGTTGTGGTTGACTTTGGTGTTCTGGTGCTTCTTTCCTCAACTTGCTTTTTGCTATTTGCAAGGAAACACTGAAATGGGTTTTCTTAGTAGTTGCCAATTTGTTTTTATTATATGAAACTCGTCTTGGTGTGTTAATTGGCTTGAAAGGAGTCTCCTTTTTTCAGTTATTAGGCGCTGGGAATCTTCCACTGTTATTTTATCTTATAATTTCTTCATTTTTGACTCCATATTATTCTGTTTTTCTAGTTTAGGGCCTTTATTTCAAGTAGAATTAGTGTTCCTGTGTTTGATGCTTCTGACTTTTTGTTGTGTGAAACTGTGGTTTTGTTTTTTGAGGTCCTTCGCCTCTGTAGTGATTGTCTGTGTGTTTGTCTCTCTGAATGATTTTGTAGATTCTTCTCTGGTGTTTATTCTGTTGCATGTATTTTTTTGCCTAAGGCATTTAATTTCATTCTCCATGTCCTTTATTTTTGTGTTGAAGCTATTAAAAGTTTCTTCCCTGTCTTTGTCATAATCTTCAAATGTTTTTGTGAGAATGTTTCTTAGGCTTACTTCCTTTTCCAATTGGTGTTCTAGTTCAGTTATTGTTTCGATTAGGTTCTTGTTTCTAATTAGAATAGTATTTTTCTCATCTTTTAGTTGTTCAATTTGAGCGTGGTAGTTCATGATGTCGATGGTTTGTATGTTTGTTAATTTCTGGGCCAGGCTCGAGTCAGGTTGAGTCAGGTTGAGTACTTCTTCTCTTAGTTTGCTATTTTGTGCTAGAAGTGCGTTTCCAACTTCTGCTGCAAGTGTTAGAGAAGTTTCTAAATCGGGATCTCCTGAGTTTTCTAGTTCTAGAATTTTTTTTCTACCTCGCCCATTTTGTTACCCTGACTTTCAGAGGATATTTGATTTGGGGGTGTGGGAGTTTGGTCTTCTTTTAGTTGTAACGCTGGCTTTCCAGAGGTGAGGGAAAGATCACTACAACTGTTACACCTCCATAGGAAAATGTCTTCTTTAGAAAGGTTTTTTAATTGTTTTTCTGTGATATTGACACACCCACCATGAAACCAGGAGTTGCAGGGACCAGTACATTTTATACTGGAGTATTTTACACCGATGTTGCATTCACCACAGGGATATTTTGAAACTTTTGTTTTGTTCTTCGACATAGCCTATTCAAAGCAGATTATGGCTGTCCAGTTGGTAACCCAGTTTGTGGGTAACAAATGGAGCACATGAAATGGTTGATACCCCACTTTTCAGGATTCTCTACGGAGAAAATTTGTTTTATTAGGAGGATGGCTCAAATCAAAGAAATAAAATGCATTCATTAGAAGTTAGTTATAAGTTAAAACTGAGACCAGAAATAATGTAGGTGAACCTTGACGACGCGAATACAGATATTTAAAATTAGTTTCTAACAAGTGTTTAAACAACTCTAAGATGTAGCTAGAATTACTCGAATTTTAGCATAACGTTAACGTTTACCTCGGGATTATGTTTCATACTATGCGGCTCATTGAGCCGCACGGGTTCTCTAGTAAAATCATGAATAAGTGACTTATACTCTTTCAGCCTAAAAGGAATACATTTTTATACAAACACTAAGATAGATTGTTATAATACTCCTGACATTGTTATAATAACAAGAATGTAAGATTAATTCCAGACTATTTTTGATTGAACTTCACATTAAGTCAGTTTGAGAAATTGAAAGCAGACTTGTTGCAACAGTTTGCAAAGTGTTTATTTCCTGATGTGTAGTGTTTTATGTTTGGAGTGGAGAGTGATTGATACAATACCCTGGTTGGAACTCCTGTGCCACCTTCTTGGCCTTGGCCCACTCTTCAGCCAGCATGAACGTATCCACCGCCTCCTTGACCAAGTCTACAGCCAGGTATGTCTGGGCCGCCAGGCTGTGCTGCTTCAACTCTATGAGCCGCGGACCTGCAGCACAAAAACTCTCAAGTCATTTCTTTATACAACCTAAAGAGCTTGCCTTCTGTTCAGAAAAACTACTCTGATTAGAAGGTGGAAATGGAGAGGATTTTACTTTTAGTTCAAGACAGGCAAGAAGTGTTTTTCCTTCATAATTTTTAAACAGGATTGAGGATAGGATTTTTCTTTCCCCAGTTACAAAAATTGGGTTAAAAGTTGTTGCAAATTGCAATAAAGACAAAATCAGTTATCAGTCTTTATTGCCCTGTTCTATGTAACCATGACTGTCAATTGTCACTACCTCCTGTGATCGCATGGACATCATCACCTGCCATAGCGGTAGACTCGCGAACATCTGCCACATCGCAGAGGCAACATCACTGTTACTCGCGTTAAAAATTTCCCAAACTTTGGGGACACCTCCATCTCTATTATGGGGGCATGCTTGGGTTTTGAGGGTGATTGTCACAAAAAGCCTTTATGGTTCTAAAAACACAAATAGTGAGTATAAACTGTACTACTTCAGTTGAGTCTCGAAAGAAACTTACAGAGAGCTCTAGCTGCAGCGTATCCCTCGTCTCCCTCCAGATACTTGTTGGTGATGGACGCAGCCTCTGTGAGAGCCTTCAACACAGTGCTGGGGTCTCGACAGTTGTTGTTGTTGACTCTCAGATAACAGTCCACTGCTGTCTTGTACTCGCCACTCTGCTGCCACTGGTGTGCCTACTCACAAACAGAGTATGACACAATTCATTTGGTGATGGACGCAGCCTCTGTGAGCGCCTTCAACACAGTGCTGGGGTCTCGACAGTTGTTGTTGTTGACTCTCAGATAACAGTCCACTGCTGTCTTGTACTCGCCACTCTGCTGCCACTGGTGTGCCTACTCACAAACAGAGTATGACACAATTCATTTGGTGATGGACGCAGCCTCTGTGAGAGCCTTCAACACAGTGCTGGGGTCTCGACAGTTGTTGTTGTTGACACTCAGATAACAGTCCACTGCTGTCTTGTACTCGCCACTCTGCTGCCACTGGTGTGCCTACTCACAAACAGAGTATGACACAATTCATTTGGTGATGGACGCAGCCTCTGTGAGCGCCTTCAACACAGTGCTGGGGTCTCGACAGTTGTTGTTGTTGACTCTCAGATAACAGTCCACTGCTGTCTTGTACTCGCCACTCTGCTGCCACTGGTGTGCCTACTCACAAACAGAGTATGACACAATTCATTTGGTGATGGACGCAGCCTCTGTGAGCGCCTTCAACACAGTGCTGGGGTCTCGACAGTTGTTGTTGTTGACACTCAGATAACAGTCCACTGCTGTCTTGTACTCACCACTCTGCTGCCACTGATGTGCCTACTCACAAACAGAGTATGACACAATTCATTTGGTGATGGACGCAGCCTCTGTGAGCGCCTTCAACACAGTGCTGGGGTCTCGACAGTTGTTGTTGTTGACACTCAGATAACAGTCCACTGCTGTCTTGTACTCACCACTCTGCTGCCACTGATGTGCCTACTCACAAACAGAGTATGACACAATTCATTTGGTAACTGTGCTATATCATTTATAGAGGATGGATTTGAATATGAAGAAAAATAAATTAATCAATGAGTCTAGGAAACAAACATATTATAATAAAACATGTAAATAACACAAATAATCATCCGTAGCAGAAAAAGTAGTAATTAAATAATAAAGTAATGAGATGTGACGAAACACTACAACAATATAATTCGGTTTGCAAGACAAGAATAGTATACTCACGGAAAAAGAATATGTATGAATATGGTTTAAAGAGTGGCGAGTCTGGTTTGAGAAAAAAATTCCTGGAAGAGAGGAGTTAAAATGCCACAGGAGACCAGGCAAAGCACCATTTGTAATGCTTCAAGGTAAACATGTAAAAGTATTAGAGATAGTTACACGGAGAGATTAATATGAGTCTGAGAATAATCAGCAAACTAAGAGGACTGAACTAAACAACATCTATCTAACCATGTTCTTTTCTTTAGTTTCAGGCATTTTTTACAATCAACGATGATGATGTTGGAAAGTTTTTGTAAACCTTAAAAGTTAAAACCAAAGTGGTGTTTAGCCTCAACTGTGTCGTCAGTTGGAGATTTCTGCCAGAGAACCATCCGCGCTTACTTGAAGAGTGTGAGCCATCCACAGTAGCTACACTAGAGTAGCTATTGGTAGATTCTTACTTCAATGAGGGAAAAATGTCTGGCAGCAATCTGACTATGACGACATGGTTGACACCAAAAACCATCTGTGAAAGCGTACCTTCTAGTACAAAAGCATTAGGTACCTGACTGAGGATGGATGTGACATCCCTAGCACCCCTGGAGCCTACTTCCCTCTCATACTCTGCTTGTAGACTGGCCAGTTTGGCTGGTAGGTATTCTCGACACACTCTTAGAGCATCGACCCACAATCCTGCCTCCTGTGAGGAAAATGTTTAACAAAATTGATTCAAATAGACTTCAATCGAGTTTAACTTATTACTTATTTCAGACTAGAAAAAATACACCAACCTTCCTTCATTATATAAATGAAAAGAGTAAATTATGATGGTTATCTCAAGTATACATTGACAACTGAAGGATACAAACAAGTAAAACACCCGAGGCGACACAAAAATATAACTTATGCAACGCTGTACGGCTGACAATTACATTGCTCCCTAATTTTTAATGTTTACTTTTTTGTTTATTTTTAATGTTTATCTTATGTTAAACTTTTTATCTGTTTATTTACAATTCAGTTATTTCAGAATTTCATTCATTTTCACAGGTTTTGTTCTGATCTCTGGATAAAAAAAATTAAATTCCAGGTGCCATATTGCCTCCATCTTTCCATTGACCATTAGCTCTGAATATGTCAACCGTGACATTATTGGTGACAGCCTGGGCGAAACGAGGTTGAAAAGAACACAAACACTATCGCTCTTCTCTTTTGATCCTTCTCTTTCACCCAAATCCTCGCACGATGTCAGTTCCTGAATTGGCTGCAACACCATTAGTTACCAAGGTCGAACATTGTAGAGGAATCTATGAGACCGTGTCACCAAAGCACTGAATACATCTCTTAGCTAGTAGCTATATCAGATGTAGCCACAATAAGCCAGAAAAAATATGATCTTGCTAGGACCCACAGCGTCTCCATTGCTGTAAGATTTTACAGCATCATACACAAGGCATTTAAATGTCAATAAAGAGGTGTAAAAGAGACCAACCGCATTACAATAAAAAAGCTGTAAATTCCAACCCTTTTCATTTCAGTAATATAAAGTAAATTAAGTAGTTCTTTTGGGTCAAATACCTGGACAGCAATTCAGTGAATCATGTGTCCTAACATACATAGATTTATTTGTAAAACAAACACTCACTAACAAGATTAAATAATTTAGTCTCCAAAGGATCACCTGATACTGCTTGACGATGAGTTCAGGCTTGTGAGCGCGCAGCAACAGGGACTCAAACAGCTGATAGTTGCTGGCCAGGAAGGCTTGTTTAGCCTGAGCGTGCAACACCTGACCTAGTGACTCTTCATCATGCTCCTGGGCTACTCTCTCTGCACTCTCCCAGTCTTGACTGTGCATGTACCTGTTTATGCAGACATCACACCATATAGGTTAACTATTTTTTTATATCTTATATATTTTTTGCCTATTGGGGAAACAAAAACCAAAACAAACATATTTGTTCAAAGAAAATATAATTAGGTCAAACATTTTTTAAAGAGGTTGGCAGCCTCCACCTTGCATTTGCCCATCCACATAGGCTATGGGTGTGTGGAACGTATCCAGCAAAGCAAGGGGTGCGCGCCAGTACAGTACAAGGTTGAACTGTACTGATAAAAAGTAGCGGCAGTGGCCAGGATCCGAACCCACGACATCACTGCCTTGGGCCTAGAGTTCATGACTTAAAATGTGTTAAAATGAACGTGCATTTTCCGTAGGTATGAGAAGGGAAATCCCGTCTCGATCTTGTCTAAATATTTTATGAGAAATAAAAAATCCTGTCTTGTATTGTCTCAAACTAAAAATCCAATCTCGTCCATTCCTAATTGTAGGTAATTTATTTTAAGCCTAGCACTTCATAAAGTCTACTTCTTAAAAGAAGCATTAAAAAAGGTTTAGTGAATAAAAATTGTGTAAATAAAGTGCTTCAAACTTTCTTTTGGGACAATCAAAATTTATGACCAAATAAGGCTTTACACAAAGTTTAACCTTTCAAAAATTTATTTCTTTAGTATCCTTAAACAAATTTCAGGAGGAAAATTCAGTTATAATAATTCAATATACAAATATATTTGTTCCCCAAATCACCTTATTAGTTTCAAAATTGTTAATAATTTTTGAACTAATAGAAAGCCATATTCACATCATTACTGCTTCCTTGGGTTTCCCTGCTTTGATGAATTGTTCCTCGGCTTCCTTAAACTTGCCGTCATCTTCCAGAGCCATGGCATACTTGTAATGTATGTCAGACATTTTCCACTTGATGCCTGACTTGGCCAACTCAAATGCAAACTCAAACTGAAATCATAATATGAGTATGAGATCATTCCCTCTTGTTAACTATCATGCTTACACCTTAAACACTTATATTGGTGAGTTGTATACGTTACTTTTCACCACACTACCAGAAACAATTTCAATCAGACAGTAGATTTGAGGTAATTTCTTTCTACTTAACTAACCATTACTTTATGATGTGTAATTGCACAGTATTCTATTCCCTAAGTTAATCCATTTTATTTTATGTCACTAATAATAAATTAATTTGTAAATGATTATAATATTTCATACAATGGCAGGCGTAAATCAAAGTGATTCAAACTAATGAGATATTTGCATTGTTGCGGAAGACCTAGACAAGTCTATAGCGAGAGGGGAATCTTTGTTTAGTTTTAAATTGACTTTTTAATAATTAGTGGTAAATTAACTGTACTCTAGCTGGCTTCAACGATTCCCTATTTGTAAACAACGACTTTCTGGTCCAAAAAGAGGACAGAAACTAGCTGCTTACTGAACAATGTGTAAAAAACTAATTTTTCCTACTCAGTGTTGGATTTAATGGAGTACCCAGTCCGTATCACTCCGCTATTTTTCCTCGGCAAGAAATGTGCTCCGCGACTTGAGAATATAGTTCCACATGTTTTTGTAATTTGAAGTCGTTTCCGCGCCTAAAAAAAATGCTTTAAAGGTATTTTCTTGTTTATTAAGATTGTAGGAATGTTTTAAAAACGTTTAAAAGAAAAGAACAGAAAGTTCAGAAATACCGAAACTATAAACACGAAATGACAGGTTAAATCGTAGTTATAATAGTCAATCAGCTGCTCATAGTATTATTATCTTTAAGTGTTGCCAACCTATTTCTAAGCGTACACGGATTACGTGCATAATAGAACCACACTGTTTTGTGTTGTTTCGTTGGAATCCTGATGTGCGCCAAAGTATAAACCGTACGACAAAGTATAAATATGCAGCAGTTAGCAGCTTTCTGTACTATAAACAGTACAAGGAAGCCAACTTTGTCGGGTGACTGAAGGAAAAATAACTTTGATTGACCTTTATAAATATGTATATCAAGCCAAAAACACATAATACCTGATAACTGTCACACGCATAATCTATACAAGTCTCGAGTAAACCAAACTTGGAGAGAAGTTTGACAGCGGAATCTCCACCTAAAGACTTTGCCCAGAGAAAAGCAACTTGTTGTCCTGCCTGCTCCCCACCACCAGTCTTGGCCACCTGAGATAGAACCAATCATTAGCCGTCATTAGCTGCAAAAACAATTTACAGTAAAGACCTGACCATACATAATAAAGAATCGACAATTCACTATCAGCTGACACCTCCCCCCTCCCCAAAGGTCAATGTCACCAACTGGACAATGGCTAGTTGCGTTGCGTACAGCCTGCGTCGGTCTGTTCTGGATTTCAGTGTGGACGGCCTATTGTTTAAATGTATTTTAATTTTCGTGTTGTATTGATATATTTTATCTAATGAGGTTTCTTTGATAATATTTCAGCATCCCCTTTTAAATTCAATGTCGGTACTAATAATGGGTCACTTGACCCAAAACTAGCAATCCACTTCATACTCAATAAGAATGAAGACAGCAATACGTTACCCATTATATATTCCAATTTATTGGTCTCGGTGGAAGGAATGTTAAAGCTTCTTTTGTGTTTGGCCTTACTTTAACCACGATCTTAAAGTACCAATCCATCCAACAAGTGGAATAACATTTACTCACCCTATAAGCATCGTCCCACATGTCCAACCCTCGGTACATCTTGACTGCCAGTTTCCACTGGTCAGCAGCCAAGTAGTGTTGCTCAGCACCTCTCAGGTTACCCTCGGACTCCAGTTGCTGAGCCAGATGATGGTGAGTAGTCAGCACCAGGTCAGCACGATGCTGCTGTACCAGCCTCATCATCTGACACACAGTAACTAATAAATGCTAACTACTCAACTATTTGTTCACAACTACCAGCATTTCTTTGCTTAAATGGAATGTATAAGTTAATATTAAAAACAGAAAACAAAGACACGATATCAGAGACTTGAGTACGGTAGCTGTGAGGTGAGCAAAAACACAGTTTTAGACTGAGACAGATATTTATTGTTTACAATAGTTATATTGAGATTGAGACACACAATTTTGTTACAGAGAGGGTTCCATTTTGCTTTAAACAAGTTTAACTCTCGTAAATTTTGTTCCATGTAGATGAAAATTAAACTTGTTAGAGTTTATAAAATCTTATAGAGGTTTTTCATTCCTAACACTCCACAAGCTTGAACAATTTAATGTCATCAAAGCACTGCTCCTCAATGTCTAAATTTTAAGAAACCAGTGAAAGTCACGTGAATCTAAGTCTAGACTGTAGGTGGTCCGGTGAACATCATCCATTTGATTTAATGAAGGAGATATTGTGGGTTATTTGTCGGGCATTGTCATGTAAAAATAAAATTGTTGACGTAGACTTTAATTTGGCAAATTTTTTACTGAATGCACAATTTACAGACAGAGTTTTTTTTTATAATGTTATTTCCATACATTCTGCACATTTGACAATGCATTTCTGTATGTTTTAATAAGTAGGGATGTTAACACCCGACACGTTTGCTAAAACTTTACAGTTGAAAAATGACCGTGCCAGGATTGTGCAGGGTTACGATGATGTTTCCGTGACCGCGGGAGACAATGATCATGTCTACATGGTCGTGGTAAATGTTCAGAATTTTTCCACAACTGTGGGATGATTATGATGTTCACCCGACCGCAAAAACGACAATGATTTTATTTAAAAAGCTACTGGCATCTATCTATATATTAATAGGCAAGCATGTTTCTTTAAAACAAAACCTTTTTTCTCAGCTCGTGTGCATCGCAGGGAAAATCTACGCATACTGTTGGAAAGATATTTTCCTGTAGATGTGCAGAATCCCTTTATAAATTAAAATAGGCTCAAAAATAAGCACAAAAAATGAATTTGAAAACTTAAAAAAAATAACATGGGAGTTATGGGTTGCCATGTTGGTGACGAAATAACAACAAAATATAAACAGAAAATCAAAACAAATTCCTATCACATGTTTTATTTACAGTGTGGGGTTTACACTGTACATTACATAGTGTAAGAAACGGCCATGTGGCCCTAACTTTGTCTGAATAAATATATAATTTTTCATTTCATATAATTTTAATTTTTTAATTTCATTTCATTTACATATTTTTGGTCGAGTTTTCGACCGCTGGGCGACCTCTAGTAAGTACTAAAAACAGAGCATTACACTAAGGTGTGCCTGTACCTGGTCATACTGACGCTGACTCTTGTACATAGCTATGGCCATATCAGGCTGGTCCACGGCCACGTACAGTTTCTCTGCCTCCTTCAGTTTGCCGACGGTCTCCAGCGCCTGACCCTGCTTGAGGAACATCCGAGTCACCTGGTCAGGCTCCAGGTGTCGTGTGGCCAGGGTGTGCGCCTTGTCCCAGTCACCTGCAATATCAATATCATCTTGGTTTCAAGGCATCTCCTACAGAAGTGTGAAGTGGCAAAACTGGTTGACAAACTAGTATTAGTTCTAGTACCAGGGGACCGAGCATTGCTCTTGGTGTTTGGTTTGATCAAGAGGTTAAACAAATGAAATTTATAAGCCTACAAATATTTTCAGTTTTGCTACGTTAATTTGTTTTCGGCAGACATTCACTCATTCTTAATTTACCTAACAATTAACAAACGTTTTCATGTGGACAAGCAATCTATATTGAAAATTGCTACAATAAACTTCAATAGAAAAACTCATTAATAAGTTCTGTTGACCGTTATTGCGTTATTCACTGGGATCACAAAACGTCGTAACTAATTACGGTATTGTGGAACAACACATCAATTCCGGCGGCACATCGTCGAATACTACAAAACATCCTTGGCCTTTCCTCTATACTTATAGTTTAATATTAGTGTATAATGTTTTGCAGTAAAAGACTTTACGTTTTTGAACAGTCACAATTATTACAGTTAGTAATACATCACACACCCCAAATGTATTATATAATCAATGTTCAATAGCATTCATAGGAATGTCCTTTACCTTTGTACTGTTTTCTGTAATTTGCTACTGTACGGTACTGTAGACTGTTTACATTTTCATTTTAGTTAAACTGCCATAGCTACTTGACAATCCATAAGACTAATGTTAAATATATTAAAATTAAATTTTAAGTTTTTGGTGAAAAACAAATTTTCCCAGAACAGAGCCTAGCATGGATGTTGTTTTTAGAATAAAACAAAGATATTTCTAACAATTTCGAGGAAATCATAGGAGCCGTTTTTGAAATCATTGTGCGCAAACGTTAATCATAGTATAGACACAAGGTGATAACTGAAATATTTGCCTCCACTAGATGCTACATTCCAGTGGTGTGATATCTAAAAACTTATAACACTACAAATACTCTGACTCTGTTAGTTTTCTTAACAATGACAAGATGATCCATATAACCAATGACACGGGGACGCCACGCCACTACTGTGTATTTCAACTTAAATATGAATGGTTGATGAGTGAAATAAATTGAGTAACATTGTTTAAACATTCTTGCCACCAAGACTGATTGTACGAGATAATCTAAAGGTCACATACCTCTGTCAATCTTCAGTCTTAAAAAATAGTCCGGGGATGACTAGTTTTGGGTCAAGGATCCATTATCAAATCCACATCAAATTGAAAGTCTATAATCTGACGGAAGTCTTTATCAAACGTACATACAAGTCAACACATAAAAATTGTATTTAAACACAGATACATTTATATACATTATTTTTTTTATAGATTAAAAAAAAAGTTTTATTTATGGATGTAAATGTATCTGTGTGTAAATACGAACTTTATGTGTTGACTTGTATATACGTTTGATGAAGACTTCCGTCGGATTATAGACTTTCAATTTGATGTGGATTTGATATTGGGTCCTTGACCCGAAACTAGTAATCCCCAGACTATTTTTTATGACTGGAGAAAGGCAGAGGTATGTAGCCTTTCATATTATTTTAGTAACATTGTTACTGGTGAAGATAGGCTGTGTTAGCCAGGATCATCTATTACTGTCAAGGAAAGCAGGGTTAATATTTTGAACATTCAGAAAGCTACTCACTTTTCTCTATTACAATCTATTAAACTGTTGATCTTTTGAATGTTAATTGAACACTATAACCAGAACCACTCAGATACCTTGTATATGGTACCAGTTATCAACTACAAATAATTTCAAATGCCTGAGGTCAAGTGGTCTGGGTCACTTCCAAAAAATTGTGTTTATAAGAAAATTTTAAAAATACTAATTTCTGAATCATTTCTTTTGTCAAAACAGCTGAAATCTAAGTTAGATACTCTTCATTTGGGTTAGAAATCAAGCTAACCAGCATAGTTGGAAAAGTTAGTCAAAAATTCTAACTAGTTAGAAACTATAAGTTAGTCCCGTAAAAAGTAACTGATAGAAGTTATAAGTTAGTTAGTTTAAAAAGTAACTCATAGAAGTTATTAGTTAGTTGAAAAACTAACTGATAGAAAATAAAGTTAGTTTTAGTAGAAACTAGTTAACCGCCCGTGCTCCGCCACGGGAATATTGTCAGCAATAAAAGAAATAATAATTAACAAATACTGTTTATCTTTGTATTTTATTTAGGGGTTGTTTAATTTTTTACATGAAATAGAACTGATAGTTGATAGTTTGCTTGTATAAACTATTTTATGTTAATCAAACCGATATATTATTTTAACCAAATGAATGTTTTATATTAATTCGAGTTTCATTTGAAAAATAAATAGTATATGAACTGGGCAATGCTGATAACCTAATAAGCAGCTATTTATGATATTTAGATAATTTGCTCAAGTATATTCCTATATTCGTCGTTTTTTTTTTTTATTACATTTGTTGTATGGACTAAAGATAGTCACTTAGCCTACATGTAAATCACGCATCAGCAGTTGGTCGCATTTCACGAATCTTTGACCCATACTGTGAGTAAAAGATGTGTTTACGTCGTATATATAAAGTTGGGCATACTTTGTTCAATGATAGAGGGTATTAATGGTCCAATTTGATGGAAAAGGAGTCGTGGATTTTAAAACTATGTAGACTACCACTACCAGAAAGATGTTGATTCAAGTGAGACTTAGAACTGGCCATTTCAAATGCAGATTTGTATTATATTTTACTCAAATAGTTGTTTGTCTCTTTTGACCCTTAATACTTTTTTATAGTCGCTGTTGATAAGATTTTCCATAAACTCAAAATGTTGATAAGGAGATCATTTTACCTTCCTCTAGTGACAACATAAAGAAAAAATATTTGTGTCCCAGTTAGTCTGTTCTGACTCAAAATTCATAGATTTGCAGTACTAACAAATCCAATCTACCGACCCCAATTCAAAAATATTGGTATTTTTTAGAAGGGACTTCCAGAGCACATTTAACACCATCACTGCTCTTCACCTTTTTAGTTCGATGGTTCCCTACATGTATTTTCGTTCTGTATGTCTCTTTACACCCGGTTAATGATTACCTTTTCTTTTTCTTTTTGTACTTTTCACACCCTGGGGTTAATGATAAAGTTTTGTAACGCTATAATGACCCGAGTCAACATTGCCATTAAACATCAAGTCACATACTTCTTCGCCAGAACCGAATGGTAAGTCACAGTTTCTCAAGCAACTTCCCTGTGTACTTGAAAAAAGAATTCACTGATATATTGTAGTTCCACGTATCCCAGCGTACTCGCCATCTCGAGAAGGTAAAGTTTGGTACCACTGAACGTCTAACACTGATCTTGAGTAAGATTCGTCACCTACCTACTATAAAATGTTTGTATGTTTCCCACTCATTAGCAATTATATGTACAACTTGCAAGCGGATTTTCCCATGATTATTCTGGTGGCCGTAGAGAATAAATTATATTGATCAAAACAATAAGTTTTCGTCCCCTACTATGGGTATTATTTTACATTCCATACTCAAACTTAAACTCAATTACCACTATCCTTCAGATCACTTTGCAGGAAAACTAAAACATTTTTGTGTCCCAGTTAGTCTGTTCTGACTCGAAATTCATTGATTTGAAGTAGTGACGAATCCAATCTAACGACCCCAATTCAAAAGAGTTGGTATTTTTTTGTAGGGACTTCCAGAGCACATTTAACACCAACACCTTTACCTTTTTAGTTCGATGGTTCTCTACATTTTTTTTCGTTCGGTATGTCTCTTATTTCTTATTTCACATTCCATACTCAAACTTAAACTCAATTACCCCTTTCCTTCAGATCACTTTGCAGGAAAATTAAAACATTTCAAAAATAAGTTAACAAATACACTTTCCTTGATCAAAATCGTGTGTTTATAAACAGAAACTCCAAGTTTAATAATTGGATACTGAAAGTGAGGTTATAAAAATAATAACAAATGTCTGACAAACATTAAACAGCTGACGAATAATTTATAAACTGTGTATTATATTATTCAATAAGAATTGTATTGACTTGACCTTTAAAGGGCTGTAGGTCGTAGCCCTTAGAAATAACGTAAATTCTAAGGAAGTTCGGCAAATCTACACACTATCCCCTTTAATTTGAGACATAAATCTTGTAGATCGGTCCAGTAATTACTGAGAAAACAGTGTTACAACTGTGTATTAAATATATAGATCTTTGTATTTTATTTAGGGGTTGTTTAATTTTTTACATGAAATAGAACTGATAGTTGATAGTTTGCTTGTATAAACTATTTTATGTTAATCAAACCGATATATTATTTTAACCAAATGAATGTTTTATATTAATTCGAGTTTCATTTGAAAAATAAATAGTATATGAACTGGGCAATGCTGATAACCTAATAAGCAGCTATTTATGATATTTAGATAATTTGCTCAAGTATATTCCTATATTCGTCGTTTTTTTTTTTATTACATTTGTTGTATGGACTAAAGATAGTCACTTAGCCTACATGTAAATCACGCATCAGCAGTTGGTCGCATTTCACGAATCTTTGACCCATACTGTGAGTAAAAGATGTGTTTACGTCGTATATATAAAGTTGGGCATACTTTGTTCAATGATAGAGGGTATTAATGGTCCAATTTGATGGAAAAGGAGTCGTGGATTTTAAAACTATGTAGACTACCACTACCAGAAAGATGTTGATTCAAGTGAGACTTAGAACTGGCCATTTCAAATGCAGATTTGTATTATATTTTACTCAAATAGTTGTTTGTCTCTTTTGACCCTTAATACTTTTTTATAGTCGCTGTTGATAAGATTTTCCATAAACTCAAAATGTTGATAAGGAGATCATTTTACCTTCCTCTAGTGACAACATAAAGAAAAAATATTTGTGTCCCAGTTAGTCTGTTCTGACTCAAAATTCATAGATTTGCAGTACTAACAAATCCAATCTACCGACCCCAATTCAAAAATATTGGTATTTTTTAGAAGGGACTTCCAGAGCACATTTAACACCATCACTGCTCTTCACCTTTTTAGTTCGATGGTTCCCTACATGTATTTTCGTTCTGTATGTCTCTTTACACCCGGTTAATGATTACCTTTTCTTTTTCTTTTTGTACTTTTCACACCCTGGGGTTAATGATAAAGTTTTGTAACGCTATAATGACCCGAGTCAACATTGCCATTAAACATCAAGTCACATACTTCTTCGCCAGAACCGAATGGTAAGTCACAGTTTCTCAAGCAACTTCCCTGTGTACTTGAAAAAAGAATTCACTGATATATTGTAGTTCCACGTATCCCAGCGTACTCGCCATCTCGAGAAGGTAAAGTTTGGTACCACTGAACGTCTAACACTGATCTTGAGTAAGATTCGTCACCTACCTACTATAAAATGTTTGTATGTTTCCCACTCATTAGCAATTATATGTACAACTTGCAAGCGGATTTTCCCATGATTATTCTGGTGGCCGTAGAGAATAAATTATATTGATCAAAACAATAAGTTTTCGTCCCCTACTATGGGTATTATTTTACATTCCATACTCAAACTTAAACTCAATTACCACTATCCTTCAGATCACTTTGCAGGAAAACTAAAACATTTTTGTGTCCCAGTTAGTCTGTTCTGACTCGAAATTCATTAATTTGAAGTAGTGACGAATCCAATCTAACGACCCCAATTCAAAAGAGTTGGTATTTTTTTGTAGGGACTTCCAGAGCACATTTAACACCAACACCTTTACCTTTTTAGTTCGATGGTTCTCTGCATTTTTTTTCGTTCGGTATGTCTCTTATTTCTTATTTCACATTCCATACTCAAACTTAAACTCAATTACCCCTTTCCTTCAGATCACTTTGCAGGAAAATTAAAACATTTCAAAAATAAGTTAACAAATACACTTTCCTTGATCAAAATCGTGTGTTTATAAACAGAAACTCCAAGTTTAATAATTGGATACTGAAAGTGAGGTTATAAAAATAATAACAAATGTCTGACAAACATTAAACAGCTGACGAATAATTTATAAACTGTGTATTATATTATTCAATAAGAATTGTATTGACTCGACCTTTAAAGGGCTGTAGGTCGTAGCCCTTAGAAATAACGTAAATTCTAAGGAAGTTCGGCAAATCTACACACTATCCCCTTTAATTTGAGACATAAATCTTGTAGATCGGTCCAGTAATTACTGAGAAAACAGTGTTACAACTGTGTATTAAATATATAGATTAGCTGTTCGTTGGGCAGTTGTTTTTAAAAAATTTTTTATGTCACATCTTGGTTACTAATATATACTATAATATGAGTAAAGATTGCGCACGATATGATTTTTAAAATGGCTCCTACGATTTCCTCCAATTTCAATGCCATTGAAAATTGCTTGTATAATACATTTGCATTGTATGATGTCTTACTAACCAAAGGAATAATTACGACTATTCAAAAACATTAAGTGTTTTACTGCAAAACAATATACACTGACATTGAACTAAAAATCTAAAGGAAAGGCCAAGGAGATTTGTATTTTTCGACGATGCACCGCACGAATTGATGCGTTATTACACCATCCCGTAATTATAGTTGCAACGTTCCACGATCCCAGTGACTTAATGCAATAACGGTCGTCAGATAACAGATGTTATGTATCATGAGCTTTATATTGATTGAAGCTTATTGTGGACATTTTATAGATTGATCGTCCAGATTAAAAAGTTTTGTAGACTAAATTGAGGATAAGTGGATGTCTAACAAAAACGAATTGACTTTACTACTTAATTAATCGTAGTAAGACTGAAAATATGTGTAGGCTTATAAGCTCTATTTTTTACCTCTTGAACAAATCAAACACCTCGAGCAAGATCGGTCCCCTGGTACTTGTCTTTTAATCAAACATTGTCACATTTTACATTACTACAACATAAACAAATGACATAAAACTTGTCAGATAATGAACATCAACTAAAGACAATGTTTTGACACTTGAGATGATATATCAATCACCAAACAAACATTTCCCCTTCCCACCCATCAGTGCTTGCTTGGGGTGTTGATAATGGCCGTCACTACCCTTCCACAGGCCCACTGCATTCCAAAGCAACTGGACTTTGACTTTCTCTTTCCCCACCCCCCGCGTTGTTAGTCTACAAGGGCACTGACCTCTCACGTACGCAACCCTCACTGATCACGTGAAATAAATAACCCGTATTTTGGCTGCTTCCGCATAATTGGGCAAGTTAGTTGAAAATTCTAACTAGTTAGAAGTTATTAGTTAGTCCCGTAAAAAGTAACTGATAGAAGTTATTAGTTAGTCAATTTAAAAACGAACGAATAAAATAGAAGCTAGCCAAAAAAACTAACTGATAGTGCTATTCGATAGAATTTCTATTAGTTATTCCCAAGTATGCTAACCAGACAAGCATGTAACTAAGGTAAGGGCAAACGTTTTCAGTACAACAGTCACAGACTGATCTGGAACTTGTCCTCAAATTAATTTATACAGGGTGGTAAAAAAGTCCCAGGACAGTTTAATATTTTAAAAAAATAATGTAGATAGAGCTACAATACTTGGTACAAAGTTACAGGGCATAAAACTCTATTTTAACACATATTCAGTGATCCAATAACTCTTTAGGGGGACGGCCCACAAGGAGTCGGAAGAAAATCTTAAAGGGAAGCATAGGTCAATATGCACATCAAATTAAAGGTCTTTTTTAGTAGAATACAATGCCGCAAACCGCACTTCAAAAGGTTGATCCTGCGTAAAATGGCAGATGTTCAAAGATTTCTTGAATCCGCCATTTTGAATCTTTGAACGACTGCCATTTTTTACTCAGGCATTCTTTTGAGCTTGAATTTACGGCATCGTAATCTACAAGTGAAGACCTTTAATTTGATGTGCATATCGACCTATTCTTACGTTAACGATTCCTAGGGCTGTGCCCCCCTGAGGAGAAAGCGTATAATAGCAATGTAAATTAAATGAATCTTTGAAAAACTGTCATTTTGCGCAGGATCAACCTTATGAAGTGCGGTTTGCGGCATTGTATTCTACTAAAAAAAGACCTTTAATTTGATGTGCATATTGACCTATGCTTCTATTTAAGATTTTCTTCCAACTCCTTGTGGGCCGTCCCCCTGAAGAGTTATTGGATCACTGAATATGTGTTAAAATAGAGTTTTATGCCCTGTAACTTTGTACCAAGTATTTTAGCTCTATCTGCATTATTTTTAAAAATATTTAACTGTCCTGGGACTTTTTTACCACCCTGTATATTCGTGTTAAACTTAACAAAACCCACTACTTATGTGGAAGGTGTACACAGCCCACTCCTGGATCTAATAGTGTTGAATTGGATATTGACATCTCCTTAGTGCTGATGAATGATAACATTTAGATGTTGATATAACAAACTGTATGGAACGCAGTAGACCCTACCTGCATGGATGTACATTTCTATTGCTTCTCTGTAGAGGCCAGCTTGAGAGAAGAGATGCTCAGCTAGTTTGTAGTCTTTGACTGAGGCAAAGTGACGACCCAGCTGTGCATAGTGCTTGGCTACCAGGCTAGTGTCTTCAATAACCTGTGGCATTGGCATTACAAAGTGACTTCACCTTGTGTCTTATTTGTAGAGGTAAACTTTAAACAAATTCTGACAGTAAAAATTAGTAGTCCCTAATACTTGGTTTCAACAAAAACCATTACGAACACCTAAACAATGATATGAATGCACTATGCAACTTGCTAAGATTTCATTCTGCCTACTTTGATGCAACACAGGCACATTCTTATCCCAAACATTATAAATGTTTCACAATCTTCAGTTACAATATTACCTGTATGATCTGCACAGCCTTCTTCCACTGTCGAGAGCCGAGAGCTGCGTCCAGTGCCTTGACAGTCTTGCCAGCCTCTATGTAGTGACTGATAGCAGCGTCCAGTTGCTTGTTAGTTGTCAAGTAGTCACCCCACTGCTCCTCCAGTACTACCACTTCTACGACAACACATCAATTGCTACTACCTTACATTAGTACTAAGTACATTACAGTAGAAACAATTACGGGACGTATACCAATAAATACAGTATACAATAAAGAACTACTGTACTGTCTACTGTGTGACTTACAACAAGTACAGCAATGAGGCGTTCGGATTAGTGGACGTTCGGATTACGAGGGTTTGGATTAAAGAGGTTCTACTGTAGTCACCCACTGAATTTTAAATGGTAAAACAGTAGTTTATTTAATGTTCTAGTACACATTAAAAGAACACAAATATATCACTGATATTTTCTCCAGAGATTAGGTTGGGAACATTTCTCTTCAATCTACGCTCTGAAAATTTCCTGTATTAGGACAAAATATTAATGCTATGTTTTGTGTTCTTTTATTGTTTAAGTTGTATCAACTCCTTTAAATTTTTTTAGATGAGCCAACTGAACTTTATCCCTTTTACAACAGATCCTAATCTACCAAATGGCTTTGCTTTAAATAACCTAAATCTTATAAAGGGTGATCCAGTTAGAGGTTACAATTTTAAGTTGGTAGCACTGGTTCCGTATTCAAGATAAACAGCTGATGTTTTGTTATTGGGCATTGTTGTGTATTGACATTTGTTGTTATGGAGCGTTATTCGAATGAAGAACGTGTTTTAATTGTAAAACCCTTTTAAAAAAATGGGGAAAACTTTACTAAAACGATTCGAGCACTGCTAAATGATTTTGGTAACTATAACCGTCCATCACGTGCGGCGATTAGAAAACTGATTGATAAATTTAATGTGACGGGTTCAGTGTTAGATGTTAAAACACCAGTACGCCATCGGAGTGGCCGATCAGTAGAAAATATCGCTGCAACAAGTGCCAGTGTTTGAGAAAATCCGTCAACCTCAACTCGTCATCGTTCCTAGCAATTAGGCCTTTCCTACGGTACAACTCAGCGCATTTTGACTAAAGATCTAAATTTGCATGCGTACAATATTCAATTGACACAAGAATTGAAACCAGGAGATCACCAACAGAGGCTTGAATGTGTTAACTGTGTGTTGGAGGGTAATCAACGTGATGAAAAATTTGTGAACAAAATCTTCTTTTCTGATGAAGTTCATTTTTATATCAATGGCTATGTAAACAAACAAAACTGTCGCATTTGGGTAGGGATGGTCAAGTCTCGAAATTTCGGGAAATTTTTGGGAAATTTTACATCTCGTTACACGAGACGAGATTTCTTTTTGGCCGAGATTTTTATCGAGACGAGAATAAAAAAAAAAATAAAAAATAAATTAAAAACGCCTGCAGAAAGTCAATGCAATACCCGCAATACAGGAGCGTGTTGTAGTTGCGTTTCCTTTGCGAAGGCGTTCTTATTTAATTAATTCTTTAAATGTAAATATTACTTTAATTATTTTAATAATATTACTTTAATAACATTTGAGAAGTTTTGTTAAGTGTAAGCAGTGTGAGGAATGTTTTATTACTATAAAAAGTCAAAACAAGTAACTATTTTATAAAAATGAATATTGCTTTTATTTTATGATTTATTTTATTTTAGGATAAGATGAACTCTATCCTAACTGATATCACTATGTTTCCTAATTGTAGGCATTTTTAATAAGTTAGACGTGATTAATAAAAAAATGTTATGCTGATGTTTTTTAATAAAAGATTGTAAATATTCTTGCCTATTATCATTATTTTTGTATTTAAACAGTCATCTAACAATGTTACAAAATCAGGTAAAAATTTTGAACGTGCATTTCCCGTTGTGTATGAGAAGGGAAATCCCGTCTCGATCTCGTCTCGAAATTTTATGAGAAATAAAAAATCTCGTCTCGTCTCGTCTCAAACTAAAAATCCAATCTCGTCCATCCCTACATTTGGGTAACTGAAAATCCTCATGCTATTCACCCGAAAGAAATGAATCCAAAAAAGGTAACTGTTTGGTGTGGATTGTGGGTTGGTGGCGTGATTGGCCCTTACTTTTTTTGAAAATGACCATGGCGATGCAGTTACAGTCAATAGAGAACGTTATCAGGAGATGATAAGCGATTATTTTTGGCAGCAGTTGGAAGAATTGGTTGTCAATAACGAGTTGAACGACTTGTGGTTTCAACAAGATGCACTTGTCATACAGCACGAGAAACAGTGCAGTTGTTGCACACAAAGTTTCCCGGCCGTTTAATCTTTCGTTTCGGTGATCAGCATTGGCCAGCAAGATCATGTGACCTCACACCAATGGACTATTTCCTTTGGGGATATTTGAAGCAGAAGGTTTTCGCAAACAAGCCCAACTCGATTCTGGAGCTGAAGGACGAGATTCGCAGAGTAATCCATCAAATTCCACAACAAATGATGAACGAATGATAACAAATGATGGTGACGAGAAAGTGATGGAAAATTTCATCAAAAGGGTTGAAGTCTGCAGGGATTCACGTGGCGGTCATTTGACGGATATTATTTTCCATATGTAATGTCAATCTTTAATAAATTTGTATAAATAAAAAAATACCTTGTAAGTAAACTACAATACGTATTATTTAATTTTTTGTAACCTCTAACGGGATCACCCTTTATTAGCTATATTTTGCCAGCATCTGACTTGTCTCACAACCTTTAGGCGATACATATCTGGCCAGCTCCACTGCCTTGGCGTATGCATTCCCCTTCCTGTAGCACTCCATGGCCTTGTCCACCTGACTGATGGCCTCGTACAGTTGGCCAGCCTGTGTGAAGTGTTCTCCCTTTAGCAGGGCTGCCACTACACGAGCCACCACCTCCTCATTGCCCACCAGCTCTGGCACACTTGTCACCAGTCTGTTGTGAACATTCATTTCAATAATCTTTTACTTAACAATTAATTGGTTTTTATAACAGATTCTTTTAACCTTCCCCTTGCCCATTTACAAAGCCTCCGACCTGTGCTTGGAACACATTTAGCAAAGCTAGGGGTGAACGTGTTCAGTACAAGAATGTGTACTGATAAATATTAGTGGATACACCAGGAAACAAACTCAAACAAACTTGGATTTATAGTCTGTCAAATTACTAATTACTCCACTAACTCGTCAATTCTGATTTTTTTAAATTTTCAACTATACATTTTTTTACTAACTAATTTAGCTTATAAAATGGACTCATCACATCTGACCTAAAGATAATCAACCTTCCCATATTACTTAGAGCAGACTTATGTTTGCTGGCACAACTTTCTGTCAGTAACATGTTCTGTCCTAGCATCAATTACTCTCGAAACATGGGAAAGAGATAACTCCTGAAATCCCCTCATATAGGCCCACAATACCGGCATGTTGTAAAAAATCTTAACCTTGCAGCCTTTGCAGGCATGTTGGCCTTCAGGTATAGACTGAGTGCAGCTGTGTACTCTCCAGTCTTCTCCTTCAGTTCTGCAGCTCTCTCCTCCTGTCTTGTGTCCAACAACCACTGGAGATGACGAGCTTGCAACTCAGGCAGACCTGAGTAACCCTTCGTCTCAGCCAATGAGATAGCTACAACACAACAACTGTGTGTTTACAGGTAGAAACTTAAAGAGCTACATTTAATGGTATCACACTGTTACAAGCTGTAAAAGCTGTTACAACCTGTTTTAAGACAGAAACCGAACTATTAAACCGTGATAAAGCTTATTATAAAATATATTGATTAATTTTTTTACAATTAGTATATTGTCTCTTTTCAAATAGATTTATATTTGGTTTGTTTGAATTTTAATTATTTCCAATGAATTCTGAGGTTGCAGATGATGACCTGAAATATGAAATGGTTTTAGGTAAATGTCCATGAAAACCCCCACAAAACCTTTTTTAAGTTGTTGGGACAAACTATATTAAATGAATCGTACCTATTGCAAACACTGCAATAGGTGATTGCTATTGTAGGGTTATTGTAATTATTGCAATAATGTATTCAATTCACTGAAAAGTATTGGTATAGGTATAATAATGATTTGCTTTTGTTGAGAATCAGTCAGATGCCTACCTTGGTCCCACTTATGCAGTCTGATGTACATGTCCAGGGCCTTGTCCAGTTGGTTCTGCTCCAGGTATATTGTCTCTGCAGTCTTGAGCTGTTTGTTGAGGATGGCCATGCGAGCCCATACTTCTGGGCAGTCCATCCCGTCTCCCCCTGTGTAAACAAGTTGTTCAATTTACAATGCAGACAGTGCAATAAGTAGGTGTAAGGATTGTCTTGACATGAACAACTGTGCCTCTCATGTAAGTATCTTGTATGCTTCTTACCATCAGGATGTTATCATGAATAGAGAACATATCTTCAAAGATAGTGAGATCAAAAATTGACAACTATGAAGTTTCTGAGATCATGGGATGATAATGAGGTATTTGCGACTGCGAGAGGTGTTAAATAGTTTTCCACAATAGTATTTCATTTCATTTGATATTTCTCTTACCGCAGGAGATATTCAGGATTTGGGTGTAACTGTAGAAGGCGATGATAATGTCTACACTATGGCTGAACAGGTTCCAAATATTTTGTAAGTTATAAAATTTTTAAAAAGAGTTAAGCTATTTATAGTTTGAATATTTATTTATTTACCTACTTACTTACTGGAGTGGCCACTGGTACCCTAAGAGGTACTTGGCCTCGCCCACACACTGCCTTATTTGCACAAATCAAATAATCTTTATTCATTTTTTGTATTTACATGAATACATTTTGTCTCTTATTCTATGACTAATTTTCAGAATACTAGCCCTTTAAACCAAATACAATAAGGTAATATTCTTACCTTTGTTTCATATATCCAACCCTAAATCATAACATTAGATCCCAGGTTTGTCCAACGTAATAAATTTCACTTATCTTAGAATATAAAATAAACTTATTGTTTAAACTGCAAAGTTTCCCCTCTCACCATGTTGAGCAGCAAAGTCTGTCGCTATCTTGAGAGTCTCCCGGAGATAGTGAGTTCTAGACATGTCACCAAGAGCAGCATAACACCTATGGGATGGATAATAATCTGGTTGAGATCTTATAACTAATCACATCTGCAAACAACCTTTGAAACAAAAAACCCGCTGTTTGAATCTAAGATTAAAATTGAACAGTACATTAAATACAGTAGCAACATATTGCCAGAGAAAAAAGGCAAATTGAGTAGGTAGGCTATACATTTATGAAAAAAAAACGTAACTGGCATACAACATAGCAAAAATAAATCATTTTGCGACTGTTGATTTATTCTAATAAACCAACAAGTTAAAATTCATAGAAAATTGACTTTCATTTCATTATTTTCCTTTATGAGAAGAGAATGATTCTAAAGGAGTGTGGTGTACCCCTCAAACATAATGCTTGGACTGTCTTTGGACTTTTTTTGAAGTAAAACCCACTGAAGTTGCAGTAAAACAGTCACGTCGGTCTATTTAACTTTACAGAGGCTGTTTCAACTTTTGAGGTAACCTAAAATGAACCAAAATGGAAAATGTCAATCTAAATTTGCCTGTTGCAGTGAAATATGAGCCAATATTTGGAACATAAAAAAATCAAACAATTGTTTTTATCTTTTTATTGAACTGTAAATTGAATTGATATAATGGACTGTATAGTTGAGAATGTAAAAGATTTGCTAAACTAAACCCGATTTGCACTATATTTTAAACTATTACTAATGCATTACGTGAAGTACCTCTCATGCCTCTCATCTATATATATATAAAATCCAATGTATGTTTGTCCTTTATGGACTCCGAAACCGTTCGACAGATTGTAATGAAACTTTCAGGCATTATTAAGCATTATTCAAGGATGGTTTGTGTGAAGTTTGGTGCAGATCCGTCAAAAGGGCTCTGCCCCAGTGGCTCTGGAGTTTCCCATGTTAACCTTGTGAGTACTCATATTTAAATGGAATTAAAGAATCTTAACAGCTGGTTCAACTAAACTATCTGATTCTGTGATGTTCAATAGCATTAAAAAGTTAATAGGTTTACCAACAGGGTGCAGCACTATATTTTTTTTTAATTTATGAGAACAGCTAACTTGCAACCAAAAGGTGAGCGAGCGTAGCGAACGAACTTCAACCTGGAGGTGAGTTAGCGTAGCGAACGAGCTAACCTGAAGGCAAGTGAGCGCAGCGAACGAGCTCCAACCTAAAGGTGAGTGAGCGTAGCGAACGAACTTCAACAGCTAATTAGCAACCAAACTAACCAGGACATGTTTGAGCCATGCGAACAAACTCATCTTGAAAATGAACGAGCATTTGACATAAATCCACACTAGGACAGGACGACGTCTGTCGGGCCAGCTAGTGTCTTATAAGTAGGGATCTGCGGTGCACCGAAAAAGTCGGTACGGTACAAGCTTAAATACCGTCATCGGTTCGGTACAGCATTTTACACGGTACAAATTCGGTTCGGTGTACAGCCTATTATAATAATAAATTACTTTCAGTTTACTATCGTCAATAACAGTTGGTTCCAAGCACAAAAAAGTCTAATCAGACGTATGTTTACGATCTTCATAATTTATTACTAAGGTGATGATGCAATTAAAAACCCATTAGCAGTCCCAAATCCATTAACATTTTATCACGACAATAATTGTTGTATTCAAATTCAAATTTTATTTTTTTTATTTCTTTACGCCTTCCCCCAATTCTATTTTATCATAAAAATAATAGTTTTATGATGACTGTTAAATGTTATCTCTAACTCAGTCAGTATTTTCGTGAATATTCAATTTGCCGCTGGCCATTGCCTACTGCCATAAAACTGTTTATGGCTACATATTAAACTTGTAACTAATCTACAATCTTATTTTATAAGTTAAAATATTTGTTATGGATATTTTATCTTTCTATTGATGAAACCACAAGCATAGTTGTTGTTGTTTGCATAATTTTTTTTTTCATTATTCAAGCCTACTCGGTCTCAAATTATGTCATTGCATGTTCTGTACCTTGTCTTATATTGTTAGATGTGGCTGTTTAAGGCTTAAATGTTTTTTAGTTTCCTGTATTTTTTATTGTGTTAAAAGTACTTTATGCGATCTAAATATTATGAACTAGATAGTGATTTTGCTACCCTCATTGTAACCTAATCAATTTATATATAGGCCCTCCTAAATAATTAGGTCTAGGCCTGGGTCTTTTGACTCTTTGAAAGAGCTTTAAAATATACTAAGAAAATTGGATTGAGCCTGAGATAATGATTGATATTGTGGATGTTAACTTTGTAAATGAAAAACAATAATCTTACTCTGTGATAATCCAAATTTTAGTTTCAGAAAAAAACTTTGCAAGAGTTGTATCCATCTTATAACTAGTTTTGAAGCTGGTAAAAAAAAGATGCTCTTTGCCATTACTTCATCATATCCTCCAGTTGTTCATTGTCGTCTGCTGTGAACAGCTGGCAACTACACTTTTGTACTGAATGCTTTTATTTTATATGTTTTTAAAAATCTAAAAAACAACTAGACATTGTGTTGGTTGGAAATAATTTACCAGTTGTGTGAAATTATCTTGCCAATAAATTTTCAAACATTTTTATTCCTAAAAACGCTTGTCCTATTTTTAAAACCACTTTTATCATGGCTATTCAAAGTATCTCAGAGTAAAGTAGGCAAAGCCTTTATCTTAGGCCGGGCGCGCACTATCCCGACCACGACCACGACCACGACCAAACGCCCGACCAGTGGTTGTAATTCGCCATGCGACCAGAGCACGACCCGACCAAGGCAACGAATGTTTTACAAACTTCAGTGCCAAGATGATTGTTGAAGAAGTAGTTGTTATGGTGCATTTGTATTGTATGTACGTTAAGCGGAAGAAGACACTATACTGGGTATATCTAATGTTAACTGTTAGGTCTGAAAGGGCATTTTGTAACATTTTATGAAGAGCTACGTCAATATGAAGACAGGTTTCAAAAGTGTCAAAATCCTGCGACATTTTACCAAATGAGTCACTTCACAGACCGGCGCAAAAAACTAGTGCTCACCGTTTGATTAGTCTAGGAATACTGGGGGTTGAGTGGTGTACTGGTCGGGTCGGAGGCAAGTTGGAGGTAGTGCGCGTCGTCCCATTAAATTGTGTGCTATTTTTGGCTGCAACGACCAGCGGGTCGGGCCCGACCAAACTGGAAAATTTTGGTCGTGCGACCAGGGCCCGACCAGGGTCCGACCAGTCGACCAGTGCGCGCTGTTCCATTTATTCCTATTATAAAACTGGTCGTATCCGACCAGTCGGAGTCGTGGTCGTGGTCGTGGTCGGGATAGTGCGCGCCGGCCCTTAACTGTGATTTTTCTTGACACAATCCTCGTAGTCAAATCAAATCAAATCAAATCAAAAAATCCTTTATTCAAACAGTACATTTCTATACATGAATTGTGTCAAGTCAAGAATAAACATAACTAGTAGTAAAAGGTTTTGTTTTAATAATGTGTGGTACAGTAATTGTTGTTAGAATACCATGAATGTAGGATACTATAAATTTTCATAGTAATGTCAATGTATTAAAGTTAAAAATAATGGTTTAGATACAGTTCTGAGCAGAAAACCACAAAAATACGGGTAGCCGCGTACCATACCGATTTTGTACCGAGAACCGAGGTACAAAATATTGTACCGTGCCGAACCGTACCGACCTTAAATTTTCTGTACCGCAGACCCCTACTTATAAGTGAATGCATAAGATGCGAACAATGAATTCTATTTTGTTTCTTGAATATCTAACTACTGATCAGACACCGCCCTTGGCCAAGGTTTGGAGAACAGTTCCAGGGACAGCAAGGGAGGGTCGTCGGTTTATGTCATTATTATTCCTTCACAGAAGGGCGGGTTGAAATTACTTTGCTAAAAGCCAACAAGTGGCCTTAACTGAAAGAATGTGTAGCTCGATGAGTTACTTAAGAACTCTAAGTGCAATACAGTATACTCCCAACTAACCTCTGAGACTACAGCTGTAACCGAGAATCTCGTACAACATGGAGGTCACTTAGATATTGAGGTTAGGGGTCACAGTACCACATTAGGTAGTCAAATACTTAGAAAGGTAGTACACATTATGTAGTACTTGAATGGACTAAAAATGTATCGGTGCACTTACAGTCCCTGGCACTTCATTGTTTCAACAACATTTTTGGTCAACTTTCATATTGTAACTGACAATAAACATCGCCACCATTTTACTATACAACTTGACGTACACAAGGCCTACCTCTCCGCCACTCGAAGGTTCCCCAGCTGCAGTGCAATGTCAGCCAGGTTCTGCCACATCCCCTCGGCGTCTACGTTCTGTCCAAGGCTCTCCAGGAACAACACAGCTCGACCAAAGTCACTATCATGTACAGCCGTGCCAAACTCCACAAGCCCTTCATCCAGTTCATAGCCCAGCTGGTGGTTCCCATCTTGAGAAAGTATCTGGACAGATTGTTTTACATCAGTGCTGGTCAATATAAGATAGCACATAAACTACTAACCATTCTGTGTTATAACTGGAATCTGTGTTAAATAGTTTCTAGAATGCCTCAGTGACTGACTAGATAAATGCTACAACTGAACTTGATTATCTATGTTCCAACTGATGTACAGAACACAGCGCCATTTCCCTGCCTTTTTTGGAAGTTGTACAGCAAGCTCCCCCCAGAGATCAGCAGTCTCCGGGGAAAAAAACGTTTGCCAGGGTTGTACGAGATAGGCTTCTTCAAAGGACCCCTACTCCGTGAAAGAGTATATTGATGACAAATGGTAGAGTGCACACTGCACATCACCTCCGTAGTCCCCGTCAAGTTTTATTTTGAAACCTTTTTAATTTAATTCCTTGAAAGATACATGTCTTATTTTCTTATTGTAAATAAATTATATTAATATTTAAAAATTTACGCAGTTTATCCAGCTATGCTCGTCAACGCAGCCTTGGTAATAAGGTAATACGGTAGAGATATTAAATCAAAATTAACTACGAATATAGGGAACATTTTTCATTATACACACAATAACTCTCATGAGTCTAGAAAATGTAGAACAAGGTTCTAGTTTAGAAACCATGTCTTATATTACGGTGTACAACAAGTTCTAGAGCTATCCTTTAATGTAAGCCTAACAATGAGTCAAGCGTGAGCTCACAAAGTTAAATCGACCAATTGATGTACCACCAATTGAAGTGTTGACAGTTTAGTTGTGTGATTAGTGGTATGGCTTTTGCAATATTTTAGCGAACTAATTTACAAACTGCCAGATTTACTGGCAAAAAAATTTATTTTTAAACTTGTTTAAGACTCAGCTAATTACTATTTGCAAATAAACGTCAAAGTATTTTATATTAAATTAACCTTGAAGTGGCTAAATTTATGATTTTTTTTACACGACTCTGTATAATATTAAGTAAGAGCAATATAGCACATATGTAGTTGTGCGTTAAATCCCTTCTAACCTTTAACAAAAACTTAACTTCACCCATTGTGTCCAAACTAAAACTGGAGCAAGTAATAACAAAATGGACTTAATGTGAAACTTGTTCTCACCTCAGTTTTGCCATCAGCCCTCACCACATCAACGATCTCTCCTCTCACAGGGAACATAGAGACTCTGTCAGGAGTGTCAATGTTGTACCAGACACAGGCGTTGTTGCGGGACTGTGCAACTACCACGTCACTACCCGGCACCCACTGCACCACCATACAAACACAATGTTAACAGACAGATGTTAGTGTAAGAATAAATTGGAAAAATGGAATCAATCTAGAGTTCTGTTTTGCAAAGGGATTACAACTAAGGTGTATTTTAACTGAGAGGATCAGTATAGCTTCGAGAGATTGGTCTAAACCATCAAAAAGTTACTGAGTATTCTACGGATCTAGCAGCTTCAAATTTACTAAGTGAGCACAGCAACCACTCAACATCCCAGCTAACCCAAGCAGTTTTACCACAACTGGAGGGTGAGTGATGGCTCATACACATATTATTTCCCAAAGCAGAACGTTTTTAAACTTTCTGCAATGGACTTTAGAAAATCAAAAAATTTTCTACTGGCTTACACGGTCCAAATTGGGTGTAAATGAACCGCATGTGTGATAGTTTTAATAAATATTTGGAAATAAATAAGATTTCAAATGCTCGTATCGGTTCTAAAACCCCTATATAATAAAAAAAAACAGTAGGGCAGGCTGGGCTTTCTGCAGCTCTCAGTTGACAATGTAGCAATGTCGCCCGTGGTTCTGCTTTGGGGATATTGTTTACCTGTACAAACGTGCAGTAGCTGAGTATCGCATGTCTCTGGCCAGTACGAGTGTCTAGCAGTGTCAGTCGCATCTTCTTGTCTCTGTACAGCAACTTGTGTCCTGTCTCATTCAGCTCCAACCAGTCTATCTTGGAGTCATGAGCCAGCTGCAGAAGAGTCATCCCATACACCAGGTCCACTACCAGCATCCCACGGGTTGTTAGTTGGAAACATTTACAGAATTGTGCACTAACCAAGAGATACTGTTTAGTTTGATTTATTCCACTTATTTAGTGGAAGTACTCAAGTCTTTTAAAGGAAAGTTTTTCTCACCTAAGAGATCACCCGTCCTTTTTGCATGGATAGGATTTACAGCTTCGGTTGGGCTTCAAACTACCAGTTATTACTAAAAACCATTTGGGATTAGTGGTATTTGATTGAACCCAAGCCTGTAGAACAAAATCCTACACTCAACCTACTGAACAGTGAACTTGTTCCCATTCAGTTTAATTTAGCATTTATGTTACTGTACTGTTAAAAAAAATTATCATTTTGTACTGGGGTGTACCATGTTTAACTTATAGATAAAACACGTTTTATTGATTGACATTATTTTTTTTTTTTTTACACGTCACTTGGATTTAAGAAGTTATGTTGATTGAACTAGCCAACAGATTAGCAACAACCATTATGAAACGTTTTATGGTTTCAGCTTACCAAAATAGACATAGTAAAACACTAGAGGACGGTTTAGAATTAGTTATCTAGTCCCATTTTATATGGCCATTGGTATAGTTTAATCATAAATCCTTTTATGAGACTTAAGCTGTACATTTATATAGGAAAACGGTACTGCACTCTTAGTATTTTAGCGCAATGTTGTAAAAACGTGTAATAGTTTGATTTTAAACGTTACCATCTTATAAACACCTATGAAACTGGATTTAGAGCATCATGTAAAAGTCAGGAAAATATATTACAATGACTAATCTTAGTTGATTGTTAATTTTAAAGCCATACTTATTTCTTAGAATAAGAGGTGTCACAACAATGTGCTTTATGGTGCAACAAACTCTGTGGAGAACTAATGCTAGAAGTGAGCACTTAAGTATCTGAGATACTAAAGGGTACTTGGTGAAGTATCATTTAATCACTGTGCTATAGAACATTGAAAGTTTAAGTAAAATAAAAAAAAGTAAACCACTATTTTCAAGTCAAAGTACTCATTGAAATTTGTGTTTGCATAAACAAACTGACCCAAAAAATATTATTGAAACACTTTTTTTTAATTCGGCGGCCCTAAAAAGTTGTGAGCTTTAGGTCTCAGGTGGTTTTTGTTAATGTTGAAAACAAACCCAAAGGGGAAATTACTAGACAATTTCAGGTCAAACAGTGTGACATAAAAACAGATTACTCAATTTTGAAATAACCAGTAAGCTAACCACGCAACAAGCTACTGGTACTGCTGTGCTAAAATAAATGTGCTTAAGCATACATGTGAGTAATGAACATGAATTCATTTTACCAATACAAATCGTCTTCAAGTCTAAAAGATAAGCCAACTTCTTATTGTCTTCACTGGAATTGAGCTGCTTTCGTTCATTCAGCCGAACACTTATTAGATGTGGATTCATGAATTCAGTTCTAAATAAAGATTAATGTCATTACCTTAAAGGCCATCATATACTTCTAGTTTTGATCAATTAAAACTAACCATTTTCATTGTACCAATATGCTCTTCTTCATTTTGCACTGAAAACTTCTATCACTTCCAATATAAAATCTAAAGCTATTCTAAATTTAAAGTCTTTAAGCTTTCTGGAAAATGTATTATTTTATTGACTCATCAATTGTTAAAGAGCACAAAGTGTACCATTTTTAATACTAATTGTTGCTAATTTTGGAGGAATATATCATGAATAATTTAGCTGAATCATTGACACAAACTTACAAACCTATAACAGGTTACGTACCTTGACGTCCACAATTCCTTAGTCGGTATTCGTTGACTATAGTTTCGACTACTGCGTAGTCATTATCAAAACGGAACGTTAAAATATTACATTCGTTGAATGTCGTCGAATCTTAATACATCGAACACATAAAACAAACATAACACGAACACGGTAGACATTTAACATAATTGGCCGGCCGGCACACGTCACTGAATGCCGGCCAATTATGTTAAATGTCTACCGTGTTCGTGTTATGTTTGTTTTATGTGTTCGATGTATTAAGATTCGACGACATTCAACGAATGTAATATTTTAACGTTCCGTTTTGATAATGACTACGCAGTAGTCGAAACTATAGTCAACGAATACCGACTAAGGAATTGTGGACGTCAAGGTACGTAACCTGTTATAATTGATTACCAATTCCGGAAGGCTTCAACATGAATAAATTACAAACCTATACTTTGACTGAAAATTAAATCGAGCTTTACAAAAGTGTAGCCTACAGTAGATTGTTTTTCACGACCAAAATCAAATATCATTATAATTTTTGGGAAAATTTATAGCATTATTAGGTATGAACTAAATATCCAGCAAAAGTCAAAGATTTTACTAATCATACCTGACTGATCCAAGAATTTCATTGGTCCCATACTCCACAAGACTGAGCTCCCCAGCATTAAAGATGAGACAAACATTCGGGTTGTCAAAGTAGAACCTCTCCAGCCTGCCAGTGTCTGGCCATGGAACCTCACTGAGCAAGTTACGGTGCAAGTCTCCTACAACAATGTGTGAATTACTTCCAAGAAAAATGTTTATTACTCCAAGAGATACATTTTTTCTAGGCCCACCTTTATATCCTAAGAGGATGCTGGGCGTGTGGAACAGCTATTGCATTACTTCTGGCTAGGTCTAGAGGGTCACAGCATTGTCACTTAGATAAAACCCACTGGTGATGGCAGGATTTGAACCAGTGACCTCAGTGGCCGAAATCCTACACTACTGAAAGAGCATCGTGCTCCCCACACACCAAATGCAACTTGATACTTAAAGATCAAGAATGGCTAGTTTGTGTTAATAAACATAGAATTTTCATCTGGAATATTGCATAAGCAACCAAGAATTCAAAATATATACACATAATATCATAAATTATACAATATGATCAGGGCCATACTTCTTAAACGGCGGACACTGTGAATGCCCGGTGCCTCGCCCTGGGAAGGGGCATAAAAGGAAATTTGTGTCTTAAAAAAATAATTTCAACAATAATCTGTTTGGAAGTTCAATTTTGAGGCGAGCGTTTGTCTTACGATTGCATTCTTTACATTGGACTTAGGACCATTCATCCAAAGCCCAGCAATCAAGAACAACTGGTTCCTATTTTTGAACTGTCAAAAACCAGCTGCTAAACGTAAGTTTAGAAAATGGGAAAAAATAAAGCTTAAGTGAGTGTGAGTGATTCGTATGGAACAGCTTGTCTACTAACCAAGCAGCAATGTATCGGGAGTGCGAGCCACTAGGTATCTGTCCTGTCCCATGATCCTCACATCGTCAATCTCATGTCCAAACTTACTCTTGAGTATGACTCCACGGGTCTGACCCTGCAGTGGCTTGACCAGGACTTGGCTCGGTCCTACATAGGTCATCTCAAACTTGTCCTTCCACACTGTACGTCTGCAAACAGAATGTCAGTGATTCCTCTATTCAAACAAACATACATTTGTGAGGTGTTTATGTCGGGTAGGGCACCTATCGTAAACTTACCTCCGATTTGCTCGGACAGCTCAGGAGTAGTCCAGGGTTCTCGCTAGCAGTCCTTGTCGCTCGCTCGCCGCCTCTCGATCTTCGTATATGTTTTCGTCCTACACGTACCCGAGACTATGGTTGCGTGTCAGCACAACGACGCGCTGACCAGGAATATATCGGCACTAAATACGGTGCTGTTATGAGAATTAAAATAAGTGACCAGCTTCCAGTCTAACGAAAGGCATCGCCTCTCGAATAAAACCAAAAATAAAACTCTCGTAATGAAATAAAAGGTCGACCCGCGCAATAACAAAATAACGAAATGAAATGGCGTCAGCGCTAATATGCCAATGAACTTCTTGGCTTCGAAATATAACTAAATGAAATACTTTTAGGTAAAATAAAATAAAATAACTTCCGATAAATAAACTAAAAAGTGTAGGCTACTGTGGCACCGCACACGCAGTGCCGGCCCGAGAAATACAATATGCTAATCACCTACAACTAAGATTATAGTAAATGGTAACTCTTACTCGCCAAAGTAAAACGGGGAAATAAGATGGTTATTAACGTAATGATATACCACAGTACTTACGTCTGACGATACTTCTCTCGATGTATTATTTTTCGCTTTTATGTTGCCTCGCACGTTACGAATCAAATCGACGACCGCTGCACAGGTCCGCTGCACGCTCTTGAGGAAGGTTGTTAGGCGAACAAGCGCTTGCCGTAGACTGTCCTAAGAACTGTCCACTGTCCACCGGTCTCGGCTTCTCCCCACCACGTCTACGTCAGCGCCCCGAGGTCGCGGCGGTCAAGTCACGAACTAGGAGCCTTGACAAGTGGACAACTGGACATGTTTATTTCCGATAATTGTTGTCGAGCGCACTCTAGCACTTCGTGGTCTTTAAATAATTAAAACGAACCCCCCTAATAAATTTGACCATTACACCCCCTTTTCACTTTGGCGAGAAAAAAAACGAAAAAAAAAAAAAAATACCTCCTGCCTGCAGGTATCAACTCAAACATAATCCCACGAGGCGACAACCTTCGCACCCCGCACGGCGCTCGACCTTCGCTTGGTCGAGTAACCTAACTCGTCCGACTCGTGGGCGGGGAGAACACTCTCCTCCTGCCTCCTTAACGAAACGAAAACACTCTCGTAAATAAATCTAACAAAATAGCTTCTCACTAAGCGATAAACAATAAAACTAGATTAGAACTCTGACCTACTTATCATCTGAATGGAAAGGTTTCAGGTCCTTTACATGGGCCACGGTGGTTTTACCCGTTGCCACGTCCTTTATCACGTACAAATTATACCCTCTCCTTTTGCTCACTACAAAAGGACCATCGAATTTTGGCGCGAGTTTGCTCGCAATCGCGTCGACAGCTGACGACAGTACATGGGTCCGCTTTAAAACCTGTTGACCTATTTCGTACCGAACGTCACGCCTTCGTAGATTATAAGATCTAGCCTGTTGATCAAACACAGCTTTAAGATTCTTCTGAGTGGTGTCATACAACCTCCGGAAACGGTCCATACGTTCCATATGTATGTCAGCCGGCGTCGGTTGTTCGCCTCCTCGACTCGCGACGAACAGCGGGCCTCGAAGTGCCGCAGGGAGCCTAAGTTCACGCCCGTAACACAACATCGCGGGGGTACACTTTGTCGACTCGTGGCACGCTGTGTTTACGGCGAACGCGATCTCCTTCAGATTCGCGTCCCACGTTTGGTGATCGCCTTTCACTGACTGAGCGATAAGAGTCTTAAGAACGCGGTTACGTCGCTCGATGGGATTAGATTGCGGGCTATAGGGCGCAGTCGTCTGAAACTCGATGTCCCATTCCTTCGCCATATCTTTAATTATCCTCGAGGTAAACTGAGTACCGTTGTCCGTGATAAGTACATCAGGCGCGCCAAATCGATACAAGACGAGTTCCTTGAACTTAAGCACCACCTGAGACGCAGTCGCGTCCTTCAAAGGGGCTAGTTCAGTCCACTTACTGTATTGGTCCTGAAATGCGACGACAAAGCGATTTCCTTTCTTTGAACGCGGGAGGGGACCTAATAGATCCGCGGAGACAGTATGCCACGGCCCACCAGGTGGGCAAAAATGCATTTGGCCGGCGGGTTTCGTCGGTTCAACCTTGTAACGTTGACATACGGGACAGTTCCTTACATACTTACGCACGTCACGTCTCCAACCGGGCCAGTAGTACTGTTCGCTTACTTTTCTAGCGGTCTTCTTAACGCCGAACTGTCCAGCCGCAGGGGAGTCGTGCACCTCTCTCAAAACTACAGCCTGTTCGTCCTTAGGAACACACATTTTCCATGTCTGTCTCCGGCCATCTCCTTCCGTAGTTTGCCGACCAATCGAGCGATATAATTTGCCTTCCCGAATGACATATTTGTCGTTCATCCCGGGATTGACGCTCATTTTATCCCAGAGTTTCTCGTACCACTTGTCCGACTGATTACTCGACCTTTCGGGACCGTCTCCAGCGTCAGGACCTCCATCCAATTGAAGTGGACAGACCGCTGTCTCAATAGACGTATGCTCGGCTACACCTACGGGGTGTCGCGATAACGCATCTGCCACCCGGTTGGCGATGCCTTTCCGGTATTGCACCTCGAAATCGTGCTGCTGGAGTTCTAACACCCAGCGTGCTAACCGGCCTGTTGGCTCCTTAAGTCGTAACAACCATTTCAACGCTATATGGTCTGTGACGGCGATGAAGTGGTACCCCTCAGTATAGGGTCGGAACTTCCTCACGGCCCACACCAACGCCAAACACTCCTTCTCTGTCACGGTAAATTTACGTTCTGAGTCAGAGAGAAGTCTACTCGCATAGCCGATAACGTTCTCCTTTCCGTCCTTCTTCTGTGTGAGCGCGGCACCGAGCCCGTCGTCCGACGCATCAACTTGCAGTACGAACGGCTTACCGAAATCGGGACAAGCTAATATCGGTGTCGTGGTCAACTTCCGTTTCAGCCCGAGGAACGCCTCCTCTTGGCTTTCAGTCCAGCTCCATTTCGTCGATTTCTTTAGGAGACACGTCAGTGGAGTAGTAAGTCGCGCGAACTGGTCTATAAAGCGTCGATACCATGACGCGAGTCCTAGGAAGCTTCTAAGGCTCTTTACGTTAGTTGGACGCGGAAATTCGGCGATTGCTTTAACCTTTTCCGGGTCTGTACCAATACCGTTCGCATTAATGACGTGGCCGAGATACTTCAGTTCGGTCCGACAGAACTGGCACTTCTCAACATTGAGCTTTAGCCCCGCCTTTCTGAGTCTACCCAGCACTTCGCATAACAAATCGAGATGTTCCTCGAAGGTTTCAGAGATCATAACGAGGTCGTCCAGGTACGCGAACGCCCTAGGCTCCAATTCCGGACCGACTACCTTATCCAGCAACCTTTGAAAGGTCGCGCCAGCCGAATGAAGACCGAATGGCATCGATGTGAACTGATACAGCCCGCGCCCAGGAACCGTAAAGGCAGTGAGAGGCCGGCTCGCCGCCGCCAACGGCACTTGCCAATATCCATTAGCCAAGTCGAGTGTGGAAATAAATCGTGCCTTTCGCAACTTTTCAAGTATGGCCGATATTCTTGGGAGGGGGTAAGCATCCTTCTCTGAACAATCATTTAGACGTCGAAAGTCTATACAGAACCGATATTTTCCACTCGGTTTCTTAATAAGCACTACAGGGGAACTCCATCCACTAGTAGATGCTTCGATTACCCCGTCACTTAGCATACGATCCACTTCAGCGTTTATCACTTCCTGCATAGCGGGATTTCGCGGGTAATACCGCTGCTTGATTGGACTTACTCCTTTCTTTAAACGGATTTCGTGTTGGATCAGTTCCGTGCGGCCAGAAACGCTTCCAAATAAAGGCAATTCGGCCTTTAGAAATTCGCCTAATCGTTTCTTTTGGCCCTCAGTCAAGTCCGATATTGCGCTTAATTCGACAATCTCGCCGGCGACGTTCGTCCTACTAGTATCTAACGCGACGTTATACGTCACCAAGTCCAGTCGTTCGAGAGTGTCGATACCGAGAACCACGTCACTAGTGAGAGTGGGGAGATACAATGTATAGAACTCCTCGTCGCGACCTTGAATCGAACCCTTAAAACGATAGGATTGGTCCGATTTCGAACAGCTACCGTTCGCGAGTCTCACTACCGTGGGAGTCGAAACAGACATAATTCCAGACCGTTCCAAGTGACGTGCAACCGCCGTGCCGATCAACGTGACTACTGCACCTGTATCTATTAGCGCGGCGAACTCTCGCCCTGCTATCGTCACTGATACGTGCGGTCGTCTGTCGTTGGTCTGAATCTGAGCGTTCTCGGTTTCCGGGAATTTCCTAATTTTTTCTAACCAAGCGCACCAGTCCGGGGAGGTCTTCGTAATAGGCACTACTGAGGATTCAGGCGACCTCCTTCTTCCTGAACCCGTCGATCGTTTCCCTGGCACCGACAGTCGTGGGTGCGGATGCCCACCTTTTTACAATAGAAACACTTAAGTGTTCTCGGCATACGGCAGTCACGAAACATGTGGCCTTTCTTGTCACAGTTCCAACATGTGATAGTAGACTTGTCACGCACATTATCGGGCAATCGCGAAACTGTATTGTTCTCTCGGGGTGAACCTTCGCGCTCACGCTCCGAGTGACGTCGTGGGCTCGTAGATGATGAGGTCATCGTAAAATTACCCGTCCGAGGGTTCGGAGAGTTCTCTCGTGACCTACGTGGTCTTGCCTCTGACCGGAAGCCTACGCGCTTCTCGGTTAGTCGTCCCGTCACGCCGTTCGATGACTGACAGTCGCCAATCGTCGAAACTCCGAAATTATCTCCTGATTTATTATCGCGTCCTCGTCTCGGGTGATAAGCCGTTTCGGGGACCAACGCTGCCGACGGAGGGGGAGGGGGACGGAAAAGAGATTTTTCCCTAAAATAGCTCTCAACGTGTTCCGCTTGTCTGAGCATTTCGTCGACCGAGAAAAAATCGTGTCTCCTCATCGTCAACTTATATTCGGGTCTCATATTCGTATACAAAATATTCAATTGTTCGTGGAGACTGAGGGTTCCTTTGCGCCGCATGAGTGTCGTTAAAGCCACAACAAAGTTTCTAAAAGCTTCGTTGTCACCTTGAGTCCGACGCCGAATTTCTTCATCTAGATTTCGCTGGTATCCCGGTGGTAGGAATTGTAGTTCGAAACTCGATCTAAATGACTCATAATTATGCCAGGAGTCTTTATAGTTTCGATACCACAACAGTGCATTACTATGTAGTAGCTCGGGGAGTGCTCGTATAATATCGTTCTTATTTATTTCGTAGGCCTCCATAAGCTCTTCCAGGCGTTCCAAGAAAGAAACGGGGTCTTTTGAGCCGTCAAAACGAACGTTCCACTTTCGAACTAGATTACACAACGCCGATACGTCAACGCCAACCTTACGAATTACGTTCGAATTTTCGTGACACGCAGGCAAACCACTACTGAATCCGTGATTCACGCTTGCCTGTGTAGCAATACCTAGTTGTTCGCTCGCGAACCCACCGTACGGTTGCTGACCGGTACCGGGCACCGTAGTTCGATGAATCGAATCTGTAGAGTGGGAGGTGTCGAAAGCATAGTTAACACTTGGTCTGGTTAGTGTACTATAGTTGGTTGAACTGACCTTATGAATAGAGCTTTAAGGGTAGTGGACCGTTGGTGCCAGGATGTTGGGCTCACTATAAATCCCAGGAAAGTTGTAATGGTACCCTTCACAAGAAGGAGGAAACTGGACGGGATCGGCCCACTAAGACTGCAGGGTACTGTAATAGAGCTGCAGAATCAGGTGAAGTATCTTGGTGTAATTTTGGACAGATCACTTCACTGGGGACCACACCTTCAAAAAGTTATTGAGCGTGGCAAATGGTCCCTTATGGCATGCAGGCGGATGGTAAGTGGCACATGGGGGTTACAGCCTAAACTTATGCACTGGCTGTATGTATCTGTTGTTCGACCCGCCCTTACATATGGTTCGCTTGTGTGGTGGCCAAAGATGGAATCAACTATAGCTGTCAAAGCTTTAGCAGGAGTTCAGAGGCTTGCTCTTATTATGATAACTGGGGCAGTAAGTAGCTGTCCTGGAGCGACACTTGACTGTCTGCTTGACATGCTACCTATTGACATTTATATTAAGGTGGTAGCAAGTAAAACAGCCCAACGCCTTAGATGCGAAAACTTATGGATAGCCTCAGGGAACAATAAAGGGCACTCTAAAATTGTTCAGGTGGTACATAATGATGAATTGGACTTACCTTCAGATCACATGTCCAAAAAATACTCCTTTGGAAAGCCTTTCAAAGTACTAATACCAGATAGGAAGGATTGGTCTGGCGGAAAAGGACCCATACCCACAGGTGACTTAGAATGCTATACTGATGGTTCTAAGATCAAAAATGGGGGCACTGGAGCAGGTGTGCATTGGATGAATGGAGGCACTGGTATTTGTCTTCCAATGGGGGTGTACCCAACTGTCTTTCAAGCGGAGGTCACTGCCATTCTAGTTTGTGCTCAAGAACATCTTAACAAAGATATCAGAGACAAAACAATCAATATCTTTACTGATAGTCAAGCGACCTTAAAAGCATTAAACTCTTACGAATTCAACTCCAGGCTCGTGTGGGATTGTCTTGCTTCTGTGTCTGAGTTGGGTAGGAGAAATGACCTTACGCTTTGCTGGGTACCAGGACACTCAGGCATCGAAGGAAATGAAGCTGCAGACAGATTGGCAAATACTGCCTCTGCGACATCATTGTTAGGCCCGCAACCCTTCTGTGGCATCTCACGAAACAGTGTATGTTCTGCGATTGCGTCATGGGCCAAGGAAAAGCATCGCAAACGCTGGGTCGATGTTCCCCTTCTTAGGGTCAGCAAGCTTACTCTGTTTAGGCCTTCCAAAAAGGTTGCCTGTGACCTCTTGAGACTAGACAGACGAAGAATTAAATTAATTGTTGAACTGATAACTGGTCATGGAAGATTCAGGAAACATCTACAACGGATGGGCTTATATGAGGGTGAACCGATCTGTAGGTACTGTGATAGGTCAGAAGAGACAGCTGATCACTTACTCTTTGATTGTATTGAGCTCTCTGACGCTAGATTGATAACTCTTGGAAATATGGCTAGAGGTAGATTTCTTCCTGAGGATGAACTAATTGGGAAGTTACAGGCATTCATTGGGCGCCTCAACTTGTAGGTCAACAAGAAAGCAATTAAGTATCTGGGGTGCGCAATAATTCGATTTCGGATGAAGTGCTTTAAGGTCTCGACCTGCCCCTGTCAGATAAGATAAGATAAGATAGTGTACTATACACTAACCCCTCGGAATTTGTAAAACGATCTGATTGTGTTATATTGACTGGATAATTACTAGCCTGATTGTTGGCCTGATTGTTATCAGCGCGCATTGTTAGGCTTGATAACAAACGACAAACGTCCTCAAAGTTGGTTCCTGGAGGCAAACCAACTATCTCCCGTACTCTGTCAAGTTCCGCACTTCGTATGTCACTGGCACCTGGTCGCGAGTCGACATATCCCGTGTCGTACTGGTGTGGAAGTGCAGTCGCACCGTCCACGCTATCGTTCACGTCCTTACCGTACACTGCTCGGGGAATGCCATGTTTCCAAAATTTACAAAACGACTTGCGAAGTTCGTCGACTGTCCCCATATTAGGCAAACCGTATCGACTCATTTCGTAACGAAGTTCATCCTTGGTTAACGTGTGAATCCACCCAATTCGCGGGTCATCCTCTGAGGGACTCTTAGACGTCAACGTACGATCAGTCGTAGTAAGTAAATTTAAAGTCGTTGGTACCATTAACTGTGACGTAGTTGTACCTACTTGAGGCTGAGTAGCCTCTGCGGTCGTAGTGGGAAAACTTAAAGTCGATGGCACAGTTGGTTGTGAAATAGTTTGTGCTACTTGAGCTTGTAAAGAACCTGCAGTCGTAGTCGTGGTTGTCGTGGTCGATTCAGTCACTGCTTTGACCGTTTTAGGCGTAGTTTTCGCGCTAACACTCGATCCTACCATTTTCGCTTTTTCTTATATTCCAAAGAAAAACCACTACGATATCGATTTTACCGTTCGGGCGCCAATACTTGAAGTATGTTCGAATATTACGATAATAACGGAAATTCAATGTCCCTGTTCGGGCGCCACTTTGTGAGGTGTTTATGTCGGGTAGGGCACCTATCGTAAACTTACCTCCGATTTGCTCGGACAGCTCAGGAGTAGTCCAGGGTTCTCGCTAGCAGTCCTCGTCGCTCGCTCGCCGCCTCTCGATCTTCGTATATGTTTTCGTCCTACACGTACCCGAGACTATGGTTGCGTGTCAGCACAACGACGCGCTGACCAGGAATATATCGGCACTAAATACGGTGCTGTTATGAGAATTAAAATAAGTGACCAGCTTCCAGTCTAACGAAAGGCATCGCCTCTCGCATAAAACCAAAAATAAAACTCTCGTAATGAAATAAAAGGTCGACCCGCGCAATAACAAAATAACGAAATGAAATGGCGTCAGCGCTAATATGCCAATGAACTTCTTGGCTTCGAAATATAACTAAATGAAATACTTTTAGGTAAAATAAAATAAAATAACTTCCGATAAATAAACTAAAAAGTGTAGGCTACTGTGGCACCGCACACGCAGTGCCGGCCCGAGAAATACAATACGCTAATCACCTACAACTAAGATTATAGTAAATGGTAACTCTTACTCGCCAAAGTAAAACGGGGAAATAAGATGGTTATTAACGTAATGATATACCACAGTACTTACGTCTGACGATACTTCTCTCGATGTATTATTTTTCGCTTTTATGTTGCCTCGCACGTTACGAATCAAATCGACGACCGCTGCACAGGTCCGCTGCACGCTCTTGAGGAAGGTTGTTAGGCAAACAAGCGCTCGCCGTAGACTGTCCTAAGAACTGTCCACTGTCCACCGGTCTCGGCTTCTCCCCACCACGTCTACGTCAGCGCCCCGAGGTCGCGGCGGTCAAGTCACGAACTAGGAGCCTTGACAAGTGGACAACTGGACATGTTTATTTCCGATAATTGTTGTCGAGCGCACTCTAGCACTTCGTGGTCTTTAAATAATTAAAACGAACCCCCCTAATAAATTTGACCATTACACATTCATCAAGCATAGAGCTACTAGAGTAGAATCACGACTATCCTATTCTTCCTGTTGGCGATCGAGTGCCAAATGGAATGCTATTTCCGTGTGTTATGACACTACACTTTAGCGGTTCTATCTAGCTAAACCCTTTTGCTGGAATTTCAAACTATGCATTGGACTTACTCCAATAGTACAAACAGAAAAATTAAACAATAACACTAAATATAACGATTTCTTGGAAGATAACAACTTAAACTTACCATAATTTCAAATCATTGAATTGAATGAAAGGATGTACTGTTTTAATGTATTATATTAGGTTAAGCAGCTTTAAGCAGTAATATTTACATATTTCAGCCATTAAGGACAATATTCTTGTGGGAATATCTATGAAGAATTATTATTTTAAAGGATGTTTTTTTAGAAAAGAAAAAGATGGATCTTATTTTAAAACAAAGCCAAAAGTAGTTAAGCACAAAGTTTTCTTACACTTCTAATCAACACAGTGTAAAAAAATCAACCCCAGCCAAACATAGTTCTACTAAGTACTAAACTAATTTACTTATTGGTGATCTCCCCCACCCCACTAATCTCAATGTCTTACTCTAAAATCAACCCATCAAAACAGTTACACAGCAACCAAAACATTTGTTTGTAGCCTACACATACTTGAGGACGGACTCAAAGAGCTCGACAGATCCACAGAGAGCGCCACACACTACTCTAGAGCCGTCTCTCTTCCAGGCTAGAGCGGAGACAGTGTACAGGTCAGGGATCTCCTTGGCTGGCTGCTCAGTCCACGCAGACTGACGCGGGCTCCATGCAAACACGCGCACCCTGCCTCAAACAAGACAACATGATGCCCAATCTTCATCAAGAACTTTTAATATTGGTTTCAATCAGTTTTAAAATATAAACTTCACCGATAATTTAAAATAAACATGTTCAAGTTGTAGATAACTCTACCACAACAGAGGAAAATATGAGGGTAAAAGAGTTAAGGTCTTCAATGAGCTACTGTCAAAGCCAAGAGCTACCTCAATCTGACCCAAGTGGCATGCTCCTTATTTAATCCACTACTATGACTATTCAAGCAATTTGCCACCCCTATGCAATACTATAAGTTTCCTTATAGTAGCCTAAAACAATATTGATATTAATAGAGAAAATTGACGCTCCCCCAAGTATGAACACGTTCTGTGATTAGGTTTCGGAAGGAAGTGGGTCAACACCTGTTGATACTTACAGATGTAAGGTAGATGATAGCCTACCATTGATACTATCTGACTGTGTCATGAAAATATTTTGTCAATCCTTTCCACAATTAGGGATACAATTTGACGCTTGCAAGGCGAAGGGGTACATAGCTTGATATTATTCCTATTAGAATTTCCTAGCGAATTCGTCTTACAAACAACAAATTTTAAGTTTGAGCAAGTATTTAACAACATTACACACTGTGACAACATTGTTTGGGCCGTCATGTTGAACAATTACTCACCAAAGTTTCTTCTGGCATCTACGCATTAAATAGGCAAAAAAAGTTTGTGAAAAAGAATCTCTGAAAGTTGTTTAGTTTTCTTACATCCATTCAGTGATATCCTTTGGGTTACCTCTGTATGGAGCAACTACTAAAGAAAACTTAAACTCTATTTTGATAATGTATAAAATCCATTAGAATTACTGGTATTCGTAATTTACAACCTCGAACTTCAGTTAAAGATTATTTTAAATTAGAAAACATCATGACTGTTTGTGGAATGTATGTTTTTGAAACAGTTTTATCCATAAAGAATAGATTTCAGGAATTGGACCTAATCGGTATTAATCATGAATATAACACTAAAAATCGGGACTGTATCGCCGGGAGCTCTCACGCTCTGGAACTTTTCAAAAAGAAACCTAAATATGCTTGTTCAAAATTGTATAGAAAAATTCCAGAGGCTGTTTACTTGTTTCCTGTCTGGGGGCGATAACGCTGAGCACGATCGGTTTGCCGAAAAGCCGATTGCAGATGTTGCCGTAATGTGATGATCACCACTGTATAGATGATAACGGATGTTAACGCCGTCGTGGGAGGTGATTACCAAAGTCGCGGAGACTGCAAGTTACGCTCAAAGGTGTTGTCGCAGTCGCAGAGGATGATTACCAAAGTCGAGGAGACTGCAAGTTGCGCTCACGGGTGTTGCCGCAGTCATGGGAGACAATTACCGAAGTCATGAAGCCTGAAGGTTATGCTCCTCCCGATATCCAACCTTGCCGCAAACCCGTCACGGTACTGTACGGCAATTAAAATAATGGATCAAAAAATATTGAGCAATTATTGAGGAAAAAATCATAGTTTGAATGATATTAGTTATTAATTTAATTTAAAATAACTTTAGGTAATAATAAAATTAAAATTATTATTTGAAGTAGGGATGACCTTAATACAATTGGTACAAACAAGCGAGTTGAGTTTTTACCCACCTGTCGTAACTGCCAATAGCCACGGCTTGTCCACTAGGACTACAACAAGCTACTGTGAACTCTTGCTCATTAGGATAGTCAAACTGTTTGATGACTCTACCTCCAGTGTCATACACAGTGACTCGACGGTCACACCCGGCTGCCACTATGTGACCGGCTGCCCACCCTAGAGCATAGGGAGGTACTGGGTGTGTCACCACCCGGCCCTGCAAGTAATATTATGATTGTTGTTTGCTAACGTCTTGGGCATTGTGATCATTGTTTGAATGTTTAAAGTAATCATTTGTTTCAGAAAACCCTTCACATTTACTATTATACATTGTCGATCAAACCAAGTAAATTCTATTGACTAGGCAAGCACGATAACACAACACTTGCCCAGCTACATTTTAAATATAAAATATGCCCACACATAACACTTTGCAGCAGTAGACCTATAGACTGAATTTTTATTTGTATGATAAATGTTTCAAATGAATAGTATTTACAATAAGAATAAGACAACATTACTATAATGTCTACAACCATAAACACAGAGTTTTGTTCAGTGTGTCAATTTAAAGTTCAGTATTAATTACAACTATTAAAAAACCGCTGTTAATAATTTATAATCAAGACAAAGCATTTGCAAATGAAATCCAGGCATATTACACCTACCGGTACACTAACAAATAGCAAAACTATTTCACATCTTGAATGAGAATCCTACATACCTGCTGTTCACTTGCATTACTATCCTCTGCCACATAATATCTCACAATAGTACCATCAGCATGGCCTGACAGAAACCCTGTACCTCTAACACTGAAAACAGACACAAGTGTCAATACAACTAGATGCCTATGTATTGAAGTCCATCAAAATACTTTTTCAGTACCGGTAATTAGTTTAGTAATCCCTCAAACAAAAGATAAACTTACTAGGCCCAATCATAAACAAATTTCATCTGTGTAAGAAGATACAAATTACAAAGTATTAGTGTGTTTACTGTTTAAAATATGTTTGTAATTTTATGCGGTGGGTACCGCATATTCCTGACAAACAACTTTAGAAATACGGTAATCATTCTCAACACACCTTTAAATAGTAGTCGACAATGTCAGAAGCATGTTCAACAAGACATTAGAAAGTGAAGCTACGAAAAAGAAACTTTTTAGACAGGAGTTTTTTATATACCGGTAACTAATAATTTTAAAAAACTATACAAGCATTATTTTTTATCCTTAGAAATATTAGTAAATTATTTATTTGACCAAGTATAAGTACTATTTAATAGTCACAATTTTATAAAATAAATTTGTACCATAATGAAAACAATGTTTACAACTAGAGTAGAGAGTTTTTGTAAGTCTTTTGTACTTTGTTGACTCAACCATTGACTTTTGCATAGGCCCGATGAACCCAAAGCTATACAACACAATATACTCAATATCAAGTTCTAACTAGAATTTCACTGCTATTCCAGCTAGTTTTAACAATAATTTAAGCTGATTTGGTTGTCGGTTAGTTTAATTTAGTTATACTACACCATTTTCAATAGCAAAGTATTATGAGTTCAACAAATCATTCTGCTGCCTCTTCATTGATTTTTCAAAGGCTTATGACTCCATAAATAGAAAAAAAAGTTGTTGATAAACATGGAGCATCTAGGTATACCAAGAAAACTTATAGAACTAGCAAAATTGAGTGTTTTAGGTTCTAAGTGCAAAGTTAGAGTAAATGGAGACGTATCGGAAGACTTTGAGGTGAACACGGGTGTGAGGCAGGGAGACGAGATATCTCCATTGCTGTTAGCCATAGAAACAGCCCTTCAGGAAATAAGAAAGGCAGAAGTAGGGATTGAGATAGGAACAAACATATAAACTTGCTAGCTTTTGCAGATGACATAGTATTAATTACACATACAATATAGAAGAAATGAAAGATGTAACAAAAATGCTTATTGAACATACAAGAAAAATGGGGCTATACATAAATGAAGAGAAAACCAAGTTTATGACATGTGGAAGAAAACATGATGATGACCAACCAAGATACCAAAATAACAACTACATTGAAATTGAAGAGTATAAATTTGAATAAAGTAACAAATTTCAAGTATTTGGGAGTCATCCTCACCAGCGATAATGATGAAGAGCTAGAAATACAAAATAGATTAAACCTAGCACAAAAAAGTGTTTTGGCCTGTCACAAGTTACTAACTTCAAAAATAATATCCCACACCACCAAACTCAGGATTTATAAGACAATCATCAGACCAGTTCTCCTGTATGGTTCAGAAAATTGGATCTTAAGCAAGAAATCAGAAAGGAAAGCTATTGTATTTGAGAACAAGATTTTGAGGAAAGTGTACGGACCGATTTTTGAGGATGGACAATGGAGATTGAGACATAATTGGGAACTTAGATAATTATTTAAGGATCCGGATATTTATCGCTGAGGTATGGAGCAGAAAACTGAGATGGGCAGGGCATATTCTAAGAAAAGATGACAACTCCCTATCAAAGAACAACTTGAGGAATAACCCAGAAGGTAGAAGACCCCTTGGGAGACCGAAACTTAGAGGGTTCGACCAAGTGGAGAAAGACCTGAGGAAGCTAGGGAGAAGGAAGGAGCAAGAAGCAGAGACCTATGGAGGCAGTGTGTTGGGGAGGCCAAGTACCATCTAGGGTACCTGTGGCCACAGCAGTAAGTAAGTAAGTATAATACACCATTTTACCAAAAATTAAATGAAACTGGTCATTTAAATTCTGAAACGGATCATTCTGTGTTCTGAATTCTGAATTTGATTATTTTCTCCAAATAGAATAGCTTATCATAAATAGAATACAGTTTTACAAATTATCGATTTTCTAAAAACATAACAATGTAAAAATCATATTTTCTACGCTTTAGTCAACTGTCTGGCTAATTGGATGACTGGTTACTCACTTGGGTGCCAGCGCGATAACATGGGAGTTGGTGGCGTAGAGAGTCTGAGATTTATTGGCCTTTACATGGGCTGCCCTGACCTTCCCGTCCGCCTGTCCGTAGACCACTGGACCCTCAGTCAGCCATATCAAACACGTCACCGGACACTGCTGTATAAACTTGTTGCAAATCACCTTCTTATCTCCCCTACAACCATTATACAAACTTGTAACAACTTCACTTATAATGATTTTATAATTTCTTTACCCTTGAATTTTGTTAAGTTATGTCAAACCCATAGTCTTTCAACATGTGTGTCCAGTTATGAACAAAATAGGAGCGATAAATCAATGTGTCCCTCTTTCTTCAATAGTAGGCCTACGAAGTAAAAAGAGGCCAAACTCAATAATTCCATCAAAATCCACCAGATAAAAAAATTTTACTTACGGTATTGAAAATATTAAAATATTAAAATTCTACCTACTTATTGAGGTTAAATATTGAGAGACTTCGACTTATAAAGGTGGCCTACTTTTAACATTATGGTTAATGTGGATTTCAAGGGGATTAAAAAAAACCAGATATTAAGGAATTCGAGATATTAGGGTTCGAGTAATTGAGGTTCTACTGTAATTAATGGACCATGATAAACTGAGTATAAACACGTGTTATCATTGTTGTTTGTGCTCTATTTCATTGGGGGTTCATGTGCTCATGTTCTCCTATGGACAAGCCGCCACTGATCATAATGACAAAATGCGATGCAAGCCTAAAATGCCCAAGCAAAAATTATCCTGCTAAAGGCTAGTTTACCCTACGTTCTACAGACGACTTGTCCCTTGCCAATGGTACCAAGCTGTAACTTAGTACCTACACTATTAATTGTTCAGGGTGATTTCATTTTTTAGGTTATTTCGGATCATTCGTAGGTTAAAAAATTAGTTTTATGTTACAGTATAAACAAGTTGTCACAAAGTTAGTTTCATTTCTATATAAAACTAAAATACTTACCAATCTTCCCCGAGTTTATAAATGAAAATTATGTTATCAGACTGGGCAACTGCTAGTTTAGTTGAGTCTGGGGAAAATGATAGACCTTTCACAACGTAGCTCTTCCTCCCATTCTGTGTGAAAAAAAAAGATTGAAATGATTTATCCAATAACATTGATTTTTCACATAGTAGAACTGGATACCAAAAAGTAAAGGTGTAATCTAAGGTACATTATAGCATCCAATTTATTTGTGGTGGTAGTTGATTGGAGAACGGTGCCCACAATATGAAAAGTTGAATTAAACTGTAAGTCAATAGCCTATAGCCTATTCACAATAAAAAAATAAACCACATATAATTTTACATCAAATACAGTTAAGTTACCTAGGTTAGGTTAGCGAAAATGAACTTTAAAAGATTGTTTTATTTTGATACCACCAAGCCCAAATTGGGTGAAAGATGGAAGACTTGGCAATAAGGTAGTAATAATAATAATAACTTAATAATAGATTAGACTTATTAAAAGCAATACCCTACCTTAGGATCTGAAGGCTTTGTAGGGAATTTATCTTTCTTTTCACCCGTTTCGTCAAACAAAATGATGATTCTATCAGCATTGCAGACTGCTAGCTTCAAGTTGTTTGGTGACCATGCCAGTGCCATGATTCGGGATGGTCCATCCTTGAAAATTACAGTACGGTACAGTGAGGAACTAAAAGTTGATTAAAGGGAAGGAAAGTTCTACTTTGTAATCCAAGAAATGTATTTGGAGATTTAGGCGTGGGATACCAATTATCAATTATCAATCATTGAGATGGGGACGCCACCTAGGTGCATATTTTAACCCAAATATGAGTGAAGGATGGGTGTAGAATGGTGTGATATGATCTGTGTAGCTTTGTTACTGACCAAGATCAGCTGTTTCATTAGCCAGGATAATTTATTTAAAGCCCAATGATCAGGAACAGCTGGGTCCAGTTTCGAACCATCAAAAAACTACTGACTTTTCTCAGGATCGAACCAGCGACCTTTTGATTATTAGGCGAGCACTATAACCACTCAGCTACCCAGTAACTTACTAGGGGTAGACTTCTGTATCTGATGGCACAAAAAACCAAATGAAAATATCAAATGAAACAATCGAATAATCGATATTTTCATTCGGTAGTTTGTGCCAACAGATACGGAAGTCTACCCACTTAGACCTAGCTAAGGCTATTAATTAAACTTAGTTATTCTAAATGTGTGGAATCAAATACACTATCTAACCTACTTTAACTTTTTCCCTGTAAGTTACATAAATGAGTTTAGTGGGTTTTATCGGAGAGATTCTTGCTTGTTCCGCAAAACTGATGCGTGATAAAACCAAAACCTGGGCTGTGTGATTTTGACATTTAAGACAGGTTGAATAACTTAAACTTAGAATCGATAATCTTGCAATGTTAATTTCATTCGGTTGTTTGTGCCAACAGATATGGAAGTGTACCCAAGATCAGAGGCGGCGTTTAGGGGGGGCCAGGGGGGGCAGTTGCCCCCCCACTTTCACAAGGAATATTTATCAAAATTATAAAATAGAATTATGTCAACAATAAATCTAGATTTCGCCCCCCACCTCTCAAGCCCAATCGCCACCACTGCCCAAGATTAGGCTAAGAAGCAAAAGAGGTTGTGTCAAAATTACACCATGAGAGTCAGATAAAACAATGCAGCATTTGCAGTAGGTATATATATTGAGATTATCCAGGCTTATAATCTAACAGGCTTATAACCAACAAGTGATGATAATAAGTTATTTTACAAATAAGTTTCAGTGGAATGACAGCTTTTTGACACAAACCAAACAACAAGCCTAGCATCAACTCACTTGTGCAGGAATTAACGTTTTTAGATGTTTCAATTGCATTCCAACTTGAATATTCCTAACTCCTTACAATGACAATATACTTTGTAAATAATAACAGTTAAAAATGGGAAGTCAATAATTATAGTGCACGAGTTGCAAGTAAGTTTGCATTTTGCATTGCCGAGCCGACCCGACATCCATTCCAGGTTGCCATGACAACAACTACAATCAAAACAAATGAGTGACAGAAAAAACATGACCCTAGCTCTGGATTCTTTGACATTGATTATGAGATAGAAGTCTATTATAGCCATCGTACTATATGTAAAACCCCATCGTGAGTTTTTGTAGTTGTAGAGCTTGATTTTAACGAATTTCCCTATAGGGAAGTATATATTATCGTAGATGGCACGGTAAGACCTAGGCTTGGGACTGATTTACTTTTTCATTTTTATGTCCCTAGAGGCCAAAAACATCATTTGTTCAAATTTTTATATCCGTGAGCACGATAACTTGAGTAATTTTTGTCAGATTTTTATGAAATTTGGTTTAAAAGTGTAAGGTGGGATAAACTTGAATGATTTCGCGAACCAGCATGATCGGACCATGGGAACGGGGTTTTACGGGGTAAAAATGCTTTTTCTCATTTTTGATGCTCAAAACACAAAATTTCCCAATTTCTAAAGAGCTTAAAAAACAAATAACTTAATATATTATCAAAGTGTTTTTGTACGGTACAGTACAGCATTTGGTAACGGAGGAAATTGAAAAAATTGTAAATTTAAAATTCCCATGTTATTCTTACGGAGAATATTGTAAAATGTTGTAGTTTGCTTGTTTATGGAAATATTTTGATAAGACTTAGCAAATGTATTTATTTTACAGTAAGCTACTAAGTTTACTAAAAAAAATAACTTTATTAGTTTCCTTGTAGCAGCAAAACTTAGGTACTCGTTAAACCTAATGCTTTATAAATATATTTCATCGAAAATCAATTTAGACAAATGGAAATTTGCTTAGCTGGCAGGTTTGCTGTGTCGGGGGTAATTAGAGAGGATGGTACCTATCAGAAATTATTGTGGAAATCTAAAAATAAAAACTATCAATATTTTAAGAGCAACACAAATTAAGTAATTTATTGTCGATGTATACGCATGTTTATAATATCGATATGTTTGTTGTTTTTGTGATACTACATAATTAAAAATCTTTATTCACTCGAGCAAAGCATCTTGATAAGTAAAATGTCCATATATGCCGTCTATCACTGTCAAGCAATAACTTTATATCTTAGATAAAATAAAACATACTACCTTAGCTTATATTAGGCCTATATGTATTTTTATCTTATCGACCGTTGCGTAACTTAAACGTTGAACAGTTTTGTGGATAGGCTGTGTTAAAAAATAATTGCAAAAGGAATACTTAAAGGTCAATTTGCTCAGTAGTCAAATTCAGGATATATAGTTTAGAGTCTTTGTGCTAAAAATAGTGGTAATTAAAACATTATTTGGGACTGGGTCAATTGTGTTATGAATGATGCACATCGAAAACAACTAACCCACTTGTGATTGTAGGATGATTGCTTTTAGTCTAGCAATGTTAGTAAAAAGTAAAAATATATTTGCAATTTGCTGAAAAAATTTACCCTTTAGTTTTTGATTTAAAACTAAAAGTGCACTTACATGAAATGATCTACATCTCATTTTAATCATGATGTAGTAACGAATGTTTGCAAAACGCCAGCCATAGTCTAAACATTATTCCTTACATTAAAAGTCAATGAATCCACTTTCAACTTCCATGCACTGGTAGTTATTCATACACTGGCTACATGTTATGATAATTTGCACGTAAAAAAGCAATCGCCAAAAGCTAAGAAAACCATTATTATCGTTCAAGTTCAACAGCTGTTTACTTTAGCTTCAGCCAGCAGCAGAAGCAAAGAAACCAACACCAACTTAGCCAACACAACAAAACAAATTCAAATTTAAACTAAACATTACAAATTCGTCAATTAACTCTGAAAACAAACAAACTGTTGACAGTTTTGGCATAATAAGTTTTGAATTTTTTACTATAAACAAATTAGTCATACTAAAATATCAGATACACTATACAGTCACTTCAATTATTGTGTACTAAAGATGAACTAAATTTTCAATGTTGGTGTTTGTTACTGCCAATGTTAACTAACATTTCTGTCTTCTCACTTCTGTCTGATTCACACGACCAAACCAACACAATATGGCAGTTCCTTCACGTAGGAGGCTGAATGTTAGTGGGTTTTTATTTTATCCTTAGTGATTTTCGAAGTCGACTGTAACATTTTTCTGTGCAGATGTCTACTATTTACTGATTGCATGTAGCTGTAATGGGTGCTAAGGCGAGTACAGCAAATAGTGATGAGTCAAATACACGAGACAGAACTTTTTCAACAAGCAGTGGTTCAGATGTTGTAGCAGGAAGCACAGGATTTAGTTTACTTCGGTCTATCCCAAGTGTTGTGTCAAGTGATAGACAAAGGGCACGATCTCTTTCAAGTGTCCCTGATGGACATGATTCAATCGGAATCCAAAATTCCAGTGATGGAGCTTTTGATATATCTGAATCTCAAGAAACTGACAGTAGTTCCACCGAGGATCATGGATTGGATAGTCCCTTAGCCAACATAAGTCTTGGGAGGGTATATGCTGCCCATTCCTTACCTTCACATATTTTTTCATGGAATGGTAAGTCAGTCAATCCAAGTCTACTTAATTTTTACTTAGGCTTAGCTCAAAAAAGGTTCCTATAGGCCTGCTAAGGCTCAGTAGGCCTTCCTAAGCGTGCAGGCTCAGTAGGCTTAAATGTCAGGGAGTTTTTATTTACGATTACAGTTCCTTAACATAGGACTAAGTTAGTACCTTCGTATCATATGGCCAGGAGTATTGGGTTCTCAACTGCAATATTGCTAGGTTACTTAGTCTTTTTTCATTGTGGAATGGCCTCTGGATCGTCTGAATTAACTATATAGTGGTTTAAATTACCTTGTTACTGTCAAAACGATCCTTTGTAGTTAGTAGACTACAGCTGTTTCATGCTACGAATGGAGCACATCATCAGGTCAGAAGAATGTCAAGTAGTCTTCATATTCCTCGCAGTGGAGTTCGTCAAAAGTTTAATAATAAATAGAGAACAAAACACATAACACACGGAAACACGAAACATTTAGGTAAATGAAACATGTAACATTTAAATGTTTCGTGTTTCCGTGTGTTATGTGTTTTGTTCTCTATTTATTATTAAACTTTTGACGAACTCCACTGCGAGGAATATGAAGACTACTTGACATTCTTCTGACCTGATGATGTGCTCCATTCGTAGCATGAAACAGCTGTAGTCTACTAACTACAAAGGATCGTTTTGACAGTAACAAGGTAATTTAAACCACTATATAGTTACTTAGTCTTTACCTAAAAGGTAAAACGGCAAATATTTGATATATCAACAATGCGATATCCTGTAATTTTTAGATGTCTACTTACAGTATTTTTCACGCTGAATCCAAAAATGCAATCAGTTTTTGTCGGAGAGATTCATAAGTGGCCGTAAAACGAAGGTTAAAATTACGAATCTATGGTTCATTGAGCTATACTGATGGTAATATGGCGTGGTCTGGATGGGTCGGTATGTGGACTGTGGACTGAGTGAGTAGGAGAGCAAACATCTGTTTATGCTAGACTTAATGCGGAATGAAATCAATTCGTTTTGAAACCAAATAATCAGCTCTCATTTAGGCATGTGAGGAAGGTAGGTCGGATTTTATGCGGATTCGTGACTGTATTAAGTGTTTTAAAGTGAGGTTAGATTAGGAAGGTAAAGGTTAGGTTATAATGAACCGACTCATTAATTTATGCTACTTCCAGACTGTTTTTGCACAATTAAATAAACTTAGTGGGTGAAACACAATGAAATAACGATATCAAAAATGTGCAAGCTGCCCATTTTTACCCCATTAAACACCCCATAAACCCCCGGTCCCATGGTTTGATTATGCTGGTTCGCGAACTCGTTCGAATAAACGTAGGTTTAAACGTTTGTACCAAATTTCATCAAAATCGGATCATTTTGCTCGAGTTATCGTGCTAACGGACACATAAATATATATATATATATATATATATATATACTTACTTACTGCCCTGGCCATTTGTAGGCTACCCCAGTCGGTACTTGGCCTCAGCAACACAGCGCCTCCATCCGTCTCTTTCTTCAGCATCCTCCTCTCCAATTCCCAGCCGCCTCATGTCTTGTTGCACCTGGTTCCACCATTTAGTCTTTGGTCGACCCCTGGGTCTTCGTCCCTCTAGTGTTCCCCTCAGAATGTTCTTCAGGCTTGACTCTTCTTCTCTTCTTAGTATGTGTCCTGCCTATTTTAGTCTCAGACTTCTTATTTCTCCGATGATGTCTGCATTTTTGTACATTTCTCTTACTTCCTGGTTGTGCCTCTTCCTCCACTCTCCATTTTCTAGCGTTGGGCCAAAAATTTGATTCCTCAATACTTCATTTTCAAAAACTATTTTTTTTCTTTCTTCTTTTTTGTTCAGGATCCAAGTCTCTGAGCCATATACAAATTTGAACGGATGGTGTTTTTGGCCTCTAGGGACCACAAAACGAAAAATTAAATCGCTCCCGGGTCCAGCTCTTACCATGAGTAGGCCTACTACTGTAGCTTAAGGGGAGACTGAACCTTTTATGTCTTAAAAAATTAAATTTTTGTTTTTCGTCAAAAATTAATCTCCGTTTCTTCCTGATTAAGAAAATATATAATACTTAGAATATTAGAAAGCTTCTTATGATAACAATAAATAAACAAAGCTAACTCTACCGAGGTTTCGGCCACACTATTCTTATGGCTTTGAGTGTGTGCTGTAAAGCTTTAAGTGTGTTTTTCCGAAAGTTTGTTTTTTTTATCTTTAGGTACACATAGTTTAAAATCTGTAATACATAGGGACTTAAAATTTTGCATGCATTAGTCTGGGTACTAGGTGAGTACATTAAACCAATCATATATTGATTAGTTATAAATTTTCATTTAAAAAATAATTTATTTATATTTTTTGAATATCGCATAAAAATTTGTATTTTTAAAATGATAGAAAATAATTTTTATATTGATATAGTTATTTGAAAATTGGTTTAACATAAAGATATGGATGTGATTATTAAGTGTGCAAAAAATCAGTGTGATAGGTTTAGTAGTTTTTGTGCTATATGTACTTGAAATTGTTGAGAATATCCATTTAAATAGCATTGAACCAGAAAAGATACAGTCTCCCCTTAAGTAATAGCCTAAGGGAAATCAACTAAAAAAAATGATCTGCAAGTTAAAAAATTGCTAACTTACATTAACGCCAAAACTCACAACTTCATTGTCTCGGTCCACATACACCAAAATTTGACAGAAAACTACCGGTATTTAAAAACAAACAAGTGGAAAAAGTTGTCATTTGCCATTGCCAACCCCAAAACCTAAATTCCCCGCGATTCCTCTAGCCCCGATGCGACTTATGCCTGATTACACTAGCTCAACGACCATTTCTACGTAGGCGCGAGCTCCCAAACCCGGTTTTTGATCTGCCTACTAAAGTTAGGCGTGCCCGCGCCTAACACTGGGAACGTACTAGCTGGGCTCAAGCTCCCAAACTTTGCCTCATTAAGTCCTAAGCTTACGGTATATGAATTTGTAGGCTATGGATAGTGTTTTTAGGCCTCAGGGGAACTTGAAACTAAAAAGTAAATCGGACTAGTTGTTATACTTACTATACCTCTGATGGTTTAAAGCTTTCCCTACAGTACCTGGGAAATTCGATAATGGAGAAAAATATAAAAACTAACCAACGCCATTAAGAAAGTTAAAGGCCAGTCAAAGAAAGTGAGCCCTCCGTTATAGACAAATCAATAATTAATTGTCTGCTGCATTAATTCCTACCAATACCTACGTATTCCTATAGCTTGTCCTCTGAATGAAGATGCCTATGACTTGTCCTGTGAAAGACATGTTTAAATTTAATACCTACAGTATTTAAAAATGGACCTTAATACTACAAACCCTAATATTTCTTGATATTTCTGAATACCTGGAAAAATATTAGGCCTAATAAAGTTGTTGTCACTACTTATCAGATTCGATATAGCCTATTGAAGTTTCTCTGATATACCGGTAGTCACTAGGTTTAAACATGGTTTAGACTGATAGAAATGAATGAAGCTTACATTTCTATAGCACTACACTTGACTACCTAACAGATTAGAATGGTCTACAATGTCCTGTAAATACTTAAGTTGGTAGACATGGCCTTTTGGACTATTACACACTTAACACAATATGATCTGGTACGGAGTCCTTAAACTGGTTGGGGAAGGCGTTTGGAAGGCAGCAATACACACATAATTTCAGGCCTGATGATCGCCAACAGTGTAGATGGTGGTGGTGACATGTCTGAACTGAATCTGTACGCTTGGTCTATAAGAACAATATTTCAGCGTTTGAGTAAGCTATATAAACCCAGCCCAATGTAGGCAATCACTTTCAACCACACTGCATTGTGGGTAGCCCTGTTTTGTTTTGCTCAATCTCTGAAGATTTGTGACTTTGGTGTTTGAATAAATATTAGTTTATCCGCAATACGTTCTGGCCATTTCGCTTCGGCCAATTTCCAGATAAAATGCCCACTCCTCAACTTTAGTGTTTCACTCGGTCTACATGGACTTTGTCCGAAACAGGATTTTCAGCATAATGAATTTGATGAACGGATGGTGTTTTTGGCCTTCGAGGACATACAAATGAAAAATCCTGTGTCTAGGTCTTACAACGAGACCCACGGTAATTGCTTATTCCCTATAATATTTTCTCACAAATATAAATGTAAGGAAAGCTATTATTCTATTTAATATGGAATAAAAGCTGATATTTTTCTAATATAAATAGACTGGCATGAACACACTGTGTACTTGATTTTCAATCAATTATTGTTGGTCATGTTATTTTAGTGTCTTGGTTGTGTTGTAATGCAACTCTTCCTCTCACCATGCTAGGTGTAAACTGTTATGCAACAGTTTAGCTGTTGGTAAACAACAAAGACCTCATATAGGCAACTTATCTAATCTGTGAACAAGAGGCCAGCGCGGCTCCCTGACTTCCTCATCGTGTACCCTTCCCTTGTTTGAAATGCAATTTTTTTTAAATTTTATAAATGTTCCGAGTAAGGCATGTTTTGGATTACTAAACATAATAACAGTTTAGTATGTGCTGTTTAGTACTTCTATTTTAATTTTACGACCATCCCTTGGATTCAAAGGATTACAGTATTAAGAAATTATAAGGTAGTAAAAAGCTTGCACACTTTTAGCGAATTTCCCTATAGGGAAAAGTAGTTATTACCTATTAGAAAAAGATTTACAATCATCTCTAGGTAACCTACCTAGGTCTCTATGTAACCTACCTTACATTGGTTTTAAATCCTTTGAGTAACTTTTGTTTAGCTAAGTTGGAATCTTTTAGAAAAATTACTAATGGCACAGATTCAAAATCAAAGAATTTCACAATTTAAAGTGATCATAAAACACCTTTCTTATTATTTGTGTGTGGTAAATAAGCTTTGAGAACATTTGGTTAAATTAAATGAACAGAGATCAAGCAACTAGTGATTAATAAATTCTATTTCTATGTAATATATTTGTGTAGGGT